GAGCAGAGAACATCTTTGGGGAATCCTTCATTGCAGTGGACCCCTCATCTGGAAGAAGGGTTGTTTTTGGTCTTATCATCATTGCAGAAGTAAAACTAAAGGTTTCCCAGGAATATACATTTCCAAGAGAGGAAGCTGCCTTACACCAAGTCAGGTCATAGATCTAGCTAGCTCAGTGTCATTTACCCTGAGGGACAGCAACTCTCCAGAATTTCAGTCCAACCTGGAGATGTCAGGTATCGAACTTCGGGTTTTCTTCATGCAAAGCAGATGCTTCACAACTGAACTACAACCCTTCCGTCACATAATACATCACTATGGACGGTGAGAAAACTAAGGAATAGGCACATTTTAGTTGGTTTGCTACCAGGTCATCCCTTTATGCCACTTTAATGGCAAAACTGTGAATGGCAAACATCTTCAGTGCTGCAAGAATGAAGAAAACCCAGAGGATGGGCCTGGAGTCCTACTTTTGTAAGACTGCATGTTTAATCAGGGTTTTGAACACTAATTAAAGATGAAGTCAGTTGGTGAAGGGAGAGAAGACGACGATGTGGACAAGATTGTCTATGTTCATCTCTTTCTCCCCACCCAAATCTAGCGCTGAACAATGCCCCCAATTTGGTTTGGGGCTGGGTAGGAACATAGAATCATAGAGTTGGAAGAGACCACAAGGGCCATTGAGTCCAACCCCCTGCCAAGCAGGAAACACCATCAGAGCACTCCTGACATATGGTTGTCAAGCCTCTGCTTAAAGACCTCCAAAGAAGGAGACTCCACCACACTCCTTGGCAGCAAATTCCACTGTCGAACAGATCTTACTGTCAGGAAGTTCTTCCTAATGTTTAGGTGGAATCTTCTTTCTTGTAGTTTGGATCCATTGCTCCGTGTCCGCTTCTCTGGAGCAGCAGAAAACAACCTTTCTCCCTCCTCTATGTGACATCCTCTTATATATTTGAACATGGCTATCATATCACCCCTTAACCTCCTCTTCTCCAGGCTAAACATGCCCAGCTCCCTTAGCCGTTCCTCATAAGGCATCGTTTCCAGGCCTTTGACCATTTTGGTTGCCCTCCTCTCGACACGTTCCAGTTTGTCAGTGTCCTTCTTGAACTGTGGTGCCCAGAACTGGACACACTACTCCAGGTGAGGTCTGACCAGAGCAGAATACAGTGGCACTATTACTTCCCTTGATCTAGATGCTATACTCCTATTGATGAGGCCCAGAATTGCATTGGCTTTTTTAGCTGCCGCGTCACACTGTTGGCTCATGACAAGTTTGTGGTCAACCAAGACTCCTAGATCCTTTTCACATGTACTGCTTTCAAGCCAGGTGTCCCCCATCTTGTATTTGTGCCTCTCATTTTTTTTTGCCCAAGTGAAATACTTTACATTTCTCCCTGTTCAAATTCATCTTGTTTGTTTTGGCCCAGTTCTCTAATCTGTCAAGGTCGTTTTGAAGTGTGATCCTGTCCTCTGGGGTGTTAGCCACCCCTCCCAGTTTGGTGTCATCTGCAAATTTGATCAGGATGCCCTTGAGTCCATCATCCAAGTCGTTGATAAAGATGTTGAATAAGACCGGGCCCAAGACAGAACCCTGTGGCACCCCACTAGTCACTCTTCTCCAGGATGAAGAGGAACCATGGATGAGCACCCTTTGGGTTCGGTCAGTCAGCCAGTTACAAATCCACTGAGTGGTAGCATAGTCAAGACCGCATTTTACCAGCTTCTTTACAAGAATATCATGGGGCACCTTGTCAAATGCCTTGCTGAAATCAAGGTAGGCTACATCCACTGCGTTCCCTTCATCTACCAGGCTTGTAATTCTGTCAAAAATGAGATCAGGTTAGTCTGACATGACTTATTTTTCAGAAATCCATGCTGACTATTGGTGATCACAGCATTCCTTTCTAGGTGCTCACAGACTGCTTGCTTAATGATCTGCTCCAGAATCTTCCCTGGTATTGATGTCAGACTGACTGGGCGGTAATTATTTGGGTCCTCTCTTTTCCCCTTTTTGAAAATAGGGACAACATTTGCCCTCCTCCAGTCTGCCGGGACTTCGCCTGTTCTCCAGGAATTCTCAAAGATGACTGCCAGTGGTTCTGAGATCACATCTGCCAGTTCTTTTAATACTCTTGGATGCAGTTCATCTGGCCCTGGAGACTTGAATACATCTAAACTAGCCAAGTATTCTTGTACTATCTCCTTAGTTATTCTGGGCTGTGTTTCCTTTGCTGAATCATTTGCTCCAAATTCTTCAGGTCGGGCATTGTTTTCTTTATCGGAGAAGACTGAGGCAAAGAAGGCATTGAGGAGTTCAGCCCTTTCTGTGTCCCCTGTTTGCATTTCACCATCTTCTCCTCTGAGTGACTCCACGGTTTCTTTGTTCTTCCTTTTGCTACGAACATACCCATAAAAGCCTTTTTTGTTGCTTTTAACCTCTCTAGCAAGCCTGAGTTCATTCTGTGCTTTAGCTTTTCTGACTTTGTGTCTACACGTGCTGGCTATTTGTTTGAATTCCTCTTTGGTGGTTTCCCCCTTTTCCATTTTTGTACACATCCTTTTTAATCTTAACTCAGTTAAAAGTTCTTTAGATAGCCACCATGGCTTCTTTAGGCACCTTCCATGTTTCCGTCTCATTGGTATTGCCTGAAGTTGTGCTTTTACTATCTCCTCTTAACAAACTCCCAGCCATCATGAACTCCCTTTCCTTTTAGTATTACTGTCCATGGGATCTCACCCAGCACTTCCCTAAGTTTTATGAAGTCGGCTTTCTTAAAGTCAAGAAATTGAGTCCTAGTATGCTTGGCTGCTCCTTTCCGCTGTATAGTAAACTTCAGAAGAGCATGATCACTCGCGCCTAATGATCCTTCCACTTCTACCCCACTAACCAGGTTAGGACCAGATCTAAAATGGCTGTTCCTCTTGTTGCTTCTCCCACTTTCTGGACAATGAAGTTGTCTGCAAGGCCAGTGAGGAATCTGTTTGACCTTATGCTCTTGGCTGAGTTTGACATCCAACAAATATCTGGGTAATTGAAGTCCCCCATTACTATTATCTCCCTTCCTTTTGCATGCTTGGCCATCTGTTCCAGGAAGACATCATCTATGTCCTCCGTTTGGCTTGGGGATCTATAGTAAACTCCCACAATGAGGTCACTGTTATTCTTCTCTCCCTTAATTTTGACCCAAATGCTCTCACTTTGGCTTTGAGGTTCTAAATCTTGGATCTCTTCACAGGTATACACATCCCTGACATATAACGCCACTCCTCCTCCTTTCTTTCTGGTCTGTTTCTCTGAAATAGATTGTATCCCTCCATATTACATTCCAATCGTGGGACTTATCCCTCCTGGTTTCAGTGATGCCTATTATGTCATATTTAGTTTGCTGTACCAAGAGCTCAAGCTCATCTTGTTCATTTCCCATGCTTTGCGCATTAGTGTACAGACATCGAAGTCCATTAATCATTCCCCCGTGTCTCTTATTTAAGGATTTTTTCCTCCCACCACTAGTTCTGCGTGCTGTTTGCTCCATTTGGTCTATGACATTTGGATGATCATCTTCATCAATTGATAGACTCCTACCTTCAGGAGCACTGTCTCCCTCCCCCACATTAGTCAGTTTAAAGCCCTCCTGATGAGGTTTCTGAGATTTTTGGCAAAAACATTCCTCCCAACCATGCAGCCCATCGCTTGCCAGAAGTCCATCTTCAAGAAACTGCAGTCCATGATCTAAGAATCCAAACCATTCCTGTTTACACCATTTGCGAAGCCAGCTGTTCACTTCCACTATTTTTCCCTCTATCCCTGGGCCACATCGTTCAACTGGGAGGACAGATGAGATGACAATTTGTGCATTTAATTGCTTCAATTTCCTGCCCAGAGCCTCGTAGTCTCTTTTGATCTTCAGTTTGCCTCAGATCAGGGCCTGATCAGGATTGGAGCTGAATCAGGTGCTAAACTGAATTGTGGCTCCTTTGCAATGCCCTAATGTCTGGAGAGATTCCTAGTTGTATAGCTGTTGTTTCCAGTGGCAGTCATATGTGTTCCATTGTATCTCATTTCGTACTCAATTGCTGCCACATTCATCCCTTCTCCACTCTTGCATGAGCAACTGAGTCTATGAAATATTGCTGGCTGGACCTGCTGAGAACTACAGATACATAGGGTTTTCTAGCCATTTTTAAAAATCCCCTGCACTTGCTTCATTGTTATACTTCATTAGCCCCAATTCAGGACTTGGCTACATTGGCAAAGAAAAAGCTCTTTATATGCTTTGTATATGCATTATAACACCGTGACGCCAGATGGCGCTGTGGAGTTCCATGTTTGCCAACGCGATTTCTTATACAAAGTTTACAACGCGTTTAACTGAAACGCTTCTTTGATGTGTCTAGATCCCGCCCTGGTGGCTATGCGAACATAATGAAGGCAGAAGGATTTTGTGCGAAACTTCATTTTCAGCAGGCTCCTCTTTTATGTACATTTTCCTGAATACTGGGGTGAGGCAAGTGGGTGGGAAGACAACCTAATCAACTGCATCTGGTAAGATTCTCTTCTCCCATTCATTCGGGAATATTGACTGCGCATCGGGTTTCTCTCAATGTCATGCAATCTATAGGGACACCTGCTCGGTTGCCTCTTTTAAAAACAGTGTGGGAAAGAGCTCCTGTTCTAAACCCAGAGCAGAGAATTTGGCTTTGGAGGCTCCCTCCTTTCACATCCCAGCTCCTCCGAACCCCCTTCTGGAATCCCTGAAAGCACAGTAGCCTTTATGTGCCCAGCTCTCGCTCCCACACACGGCGTTACATGCCCCTCGCTCCGAGAAAGGGAACAAAACCACCAAACCCTGGAAAGTTCCCTTCACAAAGTAGTAAAAGTTCTCCATTGAGGTGCACACACTGGCACTGCGTGTATTTGTATTGAGAGCTTGCGCACTCGCACACCCCCACACGCAGTCACACAGACACACAGACACACATAGAGTATTCTCCAAGTCAGAATGTTCTTTTTACCCTTGAAGTTGCCAGGGCAACCGAGAAGGAGCAACTGAAAAGCAAGTTGCTTGCAATGCGCTGTATAATCCTCTGTTTTCTAAACACGGTTTGAGCAGGGGCTGGAATCAGCCGAGGAAGCTCCGGTGTCAGTCGTGGACATTAGCTTTTATCTCAGTCGAAAGGGTGAATCTCTTAATTTTGGTTTCTTTCAGTTTCTCATTTCCCAAGGCTTCCGCTCTCCACATAAGCTTGCATTTTTTCCCAAATTAAAAATAAAGCACAAGAATTCGTCAGCATTTCACTGTGAACTTCTCCTAAAAGACACATGTTTGCATGTAATTTTGCAATATTATGCATGTAATTTTGCAATATTATAATATTGCAAGACATTGTTCCCTGACGTAATGCAGATTTCATTCATAGCTGCTTTTCTAGACACCTTTTACTCTACCATATGCATTTTTTCAGACATATGACTTGGCCGGAGAACTGAAATTACAAAATTTGGGGAAGTGCAAAATTCAAAGGACGGCTGTGTTTGGTTTGTGATGTGTACGGTAGACCCACCTTTCAAATGTCAGTCAGCTGTTGCACATGGGAAGGAGGTGAGGCACCAACATGGCTATATTCTTTCAGAGGCAGTATGCCTCTGCATGCCAGTTGCTGGAAATCATCTTCATCTCTCAGGGACATTCGATGAATCTGAATATTGAAAGACACACAAAAAAGGGTACTTTTTTCAAAGCAGCATGTAGTTGAACCATGGAACTTGCTCTCACAAAAGGCAGCGATGGCCACCAATTTGGATGCCTTTAAAAGAGGGTTAGAGAAAAGTCCAAGGGGTGTTTTTCTGCAAAAAAACACACAGAAAGTACCAAATAGGCCTAGGATTAAATTAGGAGTTAATTAAATAAATGAGATTTAGAATGTTAAGAAAAGTTAAGATATTTGATTAAAACTGGAATATTGTTTTGGAATAATGATATTGGAAAACTGCTACATTCGGTTACAAGGAAATTCAGATGTGAGGGATTAGAGGAAGTCAAGTAATATGTTTATGAAGTTAGAAATTTAATTTATTAATCAATTTGTATTGTTTATGTGTTTGTTGTTATATCTTCTGTGTTTATTCTTTATTTGTTTTATTTGTTTTATTTGTTTTATTTGTTTTATTTGTTTTATTTGTTTTATTTGTTTTATTTATATTTTGTTTTAGTTGTTTTACAGTATGTGTTGTATATGTATGAAACTTAATAAATATTATTGGGGGGGGACACACAGACTGAAGGAAAGAAGTTGGATGTCGTTGGCTGGGTGCAGAATACTGACTATGGTACTGTGCAAGGCCAAAGAAGATTCCACCTAAACATTAGGAAGAACTTCCTGACAGTAAGAGCTGTTCGACAGTGGAATTTGCTGCCAAGGAGTGTGGTGGAGTCTCCTTCTTTGGAGGTCTTTAAGCAGAGGCTTGACAACCATATGTCAGGAGTGCTCTGATGGTGTTTCCTGCTTGGCAGGGGGTTGGACTCGATGGCCCTTGTGGTCTCTTCCAACTCTATAATTCTATGATTCTATGAAATCCAAGGTCCTACTGTTAAGGTGCAACAACTTCAAGAATGGCTTCAGAAGACCAGAAGCCCCAAGTCCCGCATTGACAGAGCTGAACTCCGCAATGAGAAGACGATTGCTTGTTTAGGGCATAGTGACTTTTGTATTGTCAAATGATAGTGCCCCGGGGGGAAAGCACTATATTTATAGTAAGAACAATAAGCTCCTTGGGAAGAAAGCGCTCCCTTTAGTTTTTATATTAATTGTCTATATACAGATTTATTCACTTTTAACTATATATTTAAATTATTTATTTACATTGGGATTACATTGGTTACACTGAATGTTCTAAGAACTTGATGTGTTAAGAGTTGTTAATAAAGTGTATGCTTAGGTTTGTTTGGGGACATGGGTGGTGCTGTGGGTTAAACCACAGAGCCTAGGTCGGCGGTTTGAATCCCCTCGAAGGGGTGAGCTCCCGTTGCTCGGTCCCTGCTCCTGCCAACTTAGCAGTTCGAAAGCAGGTCAAAGTGCAAGTAGATAAATAGGTACCACTCCTGAGGGAAGGTAAACGGTGTTTCCGTGCACTGCTCTGGTTCGCCAGAAGTGGCTTAGTTATGCTGGCCACATGACCGGGAAGCTGTACACTGGCTCCCTCGGCCAATAAAACGAGATGAGTGCCGCAACCCCAGAGTCGGTCACGACTGAACCTAATGGTCAGGGGTCCGTTTACCTTTTACCTTAGGTTTGTTTTTTTTAAAAAAGAGGCTTAGAGAAATTAGTAGAGAATACGTCTATTAATGGCTACTAGCCATGCTGGCTTTGTTCCAGCTCTGCTCCCAGAGGCAGTGTACTTCTGAGTACCAGTTGCTAATAATCATGGGCATCTGGTTGGCCACTGTGAGAAGAGAGTGGTGGCTTAATCCAGCAGGGCAAGTTCTTATGTCCTTATACTTGCTTTGCCTCAGGCAGCAAAACATATTGGGTTGCCCCTGGCAGAGGCAAAAGTTACATGGAGGTCTACACAGCACGTCATTTGGCCTTCATAGTCCTCCCTGGTTCCAGAAGATGCCAGGAATTCATTAACTGTGAGAAGAGAGAACTCCGACGAGCGCAAACATAAACTAACACAGTACCAAATTAAAGCATCACTCGCATTTCACACTGCCCCTGCTTTGGGCTAATTAGTAGAGAAATTAAAACTCGTACTTGTCAGCCGCAGCAGAATCACGCTGAAATCATTTTGGAGGCGGTTGCACAGTGTTAAGATAACATGAAAATATTTGTATTTCAAATAGCGCTAACCTTAAAGCCATTAAAATCTCTGCTTAGGAACTGGCTCAGACCCACTGATCACTTTCTCAGCTGTGGATTTATTTAAGTTAAATATGCTGAAGACATATGGCTGACTGACTTTATACAATTGCATCTGAACCTTACGGGGGGGGGGGGGCGGATATGGCATGGATGCTATGGAATCTCATCTATTTCCTTCCTCAGAGGCCAGCTTTCTGATTACAGGGACTACTCCCGATCCTTTTCAATCCAAAGCTCCTCTGCATTAATTCCTTATGACAGCATCAAACTGTAACTGGTGTTCAATGGTGTTTTGCGTTAGAAGGCAAAATTGGCACAGCCCGCAGGTTAGAGGTCTGCAAGGGATATACAGAAGGCAGGGCAAACTGGGCTGGCTTTCATAAATCCTTGGCACATACTGGTAGAAGACAGTGTGGGAGTGAGGTCTGGGCATGGGGCCCTGCGAATCGGCCTTAGGCAGCTTGCTTTTTCCAGTTTGAGTGATTTCAAAATATGGCCACCTCCAATAATCAGATGACATTTACCTCAAATGCTGGTCACAATAACCTCTGCCAACTAGTAACATTGTGTGTGTGCCTTTAGATACCTTAAAGCTCAGGTTGTACTGAGCAGCACCCAATTTAATTTGCTGGGGAAAGTAGTGCTTTCGCAAGAGTGGCATTTCCTCCCCAAATCCCTTAAACGTGTGAGCATTTGTTTTCCTTGATCCTGTCTGCTGCCATTTATTCCACCATCTGCAACAGCCTCAGCAGCACACTTTTCTGGTTCAAACTCCCCTCTCCTTCTCAGAATGATCACAGACAGTTAAGGACCGCATAATAAATAGGATGATGTCACAATGCCACACAGCCAATCAGATCAAGCTATGCACTGACATCGTTAAGAGCAAACAAGTCTGAGCTAGAGTAAAGGGGGGAAACTTTAGTAATTGGATTTAGTAATTAAAATGTTTTAAAATTTAAAAAATACTTACAAGGCAGACTAATGGCCGCTGAGTTCCTTCTTTTTTATTATTGATTGCAAGGGCATAGCTCTCACCATGAAACCATAGGGAAGGCAGGGGTGGCTAATTTGTGACCCTCTAGATATTGTTGGACTCCAACTCCCGCCAGCCCCAGCCAGCATGCCCAGTGGTCAGGGATGATGAGAGCTGGAGATCCAATAACACCTGCAGCACTGCAGGTCAACCACACCTACTACATAACCACCCTGACAGCGATAGTACTTTATGAGATCGCAACATTCTCAAGGGAGAATTGCAGACATATTGCCAAGATGTGAGACAAGAGCTGATCCAAGCAGCTGCTATTTATTAAGGAAGAAAGGAAGGAGTCCTTAGTCCACCATATCATGGAACCTAGTAGGAGAACAACTATGTCCCAAAGCACTGGAAGACACAAGATCTACCTACCAGGGAAGAATGGCAGATGAAGCTGATGGATTACATGGAACTGGCGGAAATGACTGGCAGAATCCGAGACCAGGGAGAAGAGTCGGTGGAAGAAGATTGGAAAAAAATTAAAGTATATTTACAGAAATACTGTAAAATTAATGAATGTTAGAAGGATGCTGGAAAGAAGTTATATGACTTTAGCAGAAATATTATAAAGAATTAAGTATGAATAGATTGACATTGGGTAAAGGTGTAAATTTAAGGCTAAATTGCGTTAAGATAAATTATGGAACTAAATTTGAGAAAGAGGGAAAGGACTTGCTGGAACAATTAATTGAACTAGAATACCAAAAAGGAGGTGTGAGGAAGTCGAGGAAATAAGCAAATGAAAGAGATGGATATGAAAATACGGGGTTTCTTTTTTTGCTTTTTTCCCCCCTTCTATTTTTTTAAAGGTTTGTGTGTTTTTTAAATGTTTCGTTTTTTTCTTTTTCTTTTTTTAATGTTTTGATGTACTGTTGATGTTTTATTTTATTGTATTTTCCTTTGTCTTTGAGGCTTTGTAACTGTTTATTGCATGTATTTCTTTTTTTCTTTTATTTTTGTAATACTTAAATTCTAATAAATATCTTTAAAGAAAAAAGAAAAAAGGAAGGAGTCCTTAGTCCACCATTTCATGGAACCTAGTAGGAGAACAACTATGTCCCAGCCACATATTAAACCTAGAGTGCACAGATCAAGTGAATTCACTCCAGTCAAATTCCTTTCCCACCGCACTGATGAACCCTGTACCAGCTTATTTCCAGACCTGATGCCCAGACTGCCTCCTACAGATGCCACCTACTTCTTTTCTTGTTTTCTTCATTAGCCTTATCTGAGCTGTTTCCTATTTTTATTCTATTCCGGATTTTACCAGCTTGAATTTTGTATACGCTTTTGCCTGGGATTATGAGTTCTGAAGTCAAGCTTAAAACGCAAATATGAACATTAAGCTGATAATGAGTTTAACGCTTGGAATTTTAATTGCCTTGGTAGACACACCATTGAAATTAACATAATAGCAGGTCAGCAGTACTGAAGTGGATAGAAAGCTCTACTGGAAAACTTCATCCGGTGCCCCTAGATAATTTTCTCTATCATTACACGGTAAAGTTTTAAAATCAGGAGAGCACCTGATTGCATGCAGATTAGAGTGGGGGGTGGGGGGAGGAACCCACACACCCTCAATACTGATGTATGAAATCATTATTGCCTCCATCTCGATGGCACTTAAGCTCAAAATGAAAGAAGAGAAGGGAATGGGAGAGGCAGTCATTCTTCTCGGCTTCTGATGACCTGTAAGAAACCACTTATGGGGGATTGGATGGCACTCAGCAATGAAACCTGAAACTTTTTAACAGCTATAGACCAAAGCTGCTTCATCATCTCACTTGAGTCGCACACTGCAGCCCCGATCCGGAGAACCTTGCACACAAAGAAACTCTGCTCTGAATGGATGGTTGAAATTGAAAAATCTGCCGGCAATGCTCATCATCTAGAGGAAGTTGGGGGAGTGGGGAAAGGACTCGGAATCAGTTCCCCCAGAACTGAGAGCATGAACCATAACTGGGACTGGTGTAGTGGCCATCCATGCTGGCATGCATACCTAAGTTTTGGAAGTGGGGTATTTCCCCCGTGCAGCACTATTGTTGGGAAGAGCCATAGCTCAGTGGCTAGAGCATCTTCCTTGCATGTAGAACGTCCCAGGTTCAAGCCCCAGCATTTCCAGGTAGGGCTGGTAAAACCTCCTGTATGAAGCCTTGGAGAGCAGCTGCCGGTCAATTTAGACAACACTGAGCTAAGATGCACCGATCTGGGCTTTTAAGAGGGTTCTGATGTGCAAAACGGGGCTTGATGGAAGCATGCCTGCTCTTCATGTGATTGTTGGCATGTGAACAATCTAAATGCTGAAGTGGGTGTTTTTCTCTCTGGCATCCAAAGCAGGTGTGTGGGGCAGGGATGGAAGGTAGCAACGTTGTCCCTTGCCGAGCCCAATCTGTTTAATTTATTGTAAAGGTAAAGGGTCACGGGTGTCGCTGTGGTCTAAATCACTGAGCCTCTTGGGCTTGCAGATCAGAAGGTCGGCGGTTCGTATCTCCGTAATGGAGTGAGCTCCCGTTGCTCTGCCCCAACTTCTGCCAACCTAGCAGTTTGAAAGCATGCCAGTGCAAGCAGATAAATAGGTACCACTGCGGCAGGAAGGTAAACAGCATTTCCGTGCCATGGTGTTCCATTGAGCCAAAAGTGGTTTAGTCATGCTGGCCACATGACCCGGAAAGCCATCTGTGGACAAACACTGACTCCCTTGGCCTGAAAGTGAGATGAGTGCTGCACCCTGTGGTCACCTTTGACTTGACTTAACCATCCAGGGGTCCTTTACCATTTTATTTTATTTCATTTTATTTATTATTTTATCTGTCGATGACCTGGCCTTTGTATTCTGAAACCAGGGGTTGTTCTTCAGTGGCTGCATCCATCATTGACATTCTTCTGCTGCTACTTAATCATCCTCTAAAAGACGGAACTGGTTGGATCTCATGGAAAAAAAAGAACTTATTAAAAATGCTTTGTACATGTGAATTTAATTTTTTAAATATGTTTACAAGACACTCAACGATGTGTGAAATTATGCAATTATTCCATAACTGCACTTCATTAATTAATATTTTCATTAAACTGTAATTTGGCGGCTTCTTTTTCCTCCTTACATTATATTTTAAGACCACAAGCACAAACACCTTCTTCCTATGCATGCAGCTTAGTTGGTGGAGGGTTGAAAAATGCTTTGCAGATGCATGTTTTATCCCCAAAGTTTCAATGGAAAAGGCCAGTGACAAATGGATGGATGGATAGGGAAGGGGGGCTTGTTTTTTTATTCCCCTTGCAAAGCAATAATTCCCAAAATGGGTTAACAGTCAATTACCCTTCCTGGGGAACTCTGGGAATTGTAGCTCTGGGAGAGGAAGAGAGGTCTCCTAACATTCCTCAGCGTCCTTTACAAACTACAGTTCCCATGATTCTCTGGGGTATCATAGTGCTTTAGTGTAAAGTGCAGGTCCTAAATCCCACCAGGTTCAGTGGGGCTTAGTCGCAGGTAGGTGGGCATAGAACTGCAGCCTTATTGTTTGCCTTTTAATTATGCAGTTAACGATAGAGCATTAAATGATCATTCCAATAAATCTTTCTGCAAATCATAATTTTAAAGCAGCACTCAAATACTTTTGTTACATTGTGCCATATTTCTTCCCTCTGTTCATATTGAAGATGAATTTGTGCTTTCATTAATATTGAGAAAAACAACAAAACACAGTTTCGGTTCAAGTCAAGATACATTTTCCTCTTAAACCCCTACTTTTCACACCCTCCCCATTTCCAATGCATTATCTTTCAGTCCTTTCCCTCCTGTCTCCTACAATCCTCTATATGATATTGATTTAGGAGGCTTCAAGTCCGCAGAGAAAACATGGCTCATCCCAGTGATTATGCTTTTGTATGTGACGTAAGATGAAAAGGATTATATGTGCCTAGTGCATGGAGAACAATCAGCATTCTGACTAGCGCGGAGAGAGAGAGAGAGAGAGAGAGAAAGAGAGAGAAATTAAAGTGCATCAGGAATAGATTATGCACATTGTAGATTGGAAGAGAACTTGAGGTTTCCTTTCCTTCCAGAGAAGTTCATCCACTGCAATAGCTCACAGCATAATGCTCTGTAATGAGGAAACTTGAGATAAAAACACCTTGAGATTTCCGATTGCTAAAAACGCAGGCAGCACTCTCCATGCCTGCGTATGGACAGCTCCTATTTGTTTCTATATTTGGCACTGACTCATCCATGCCACGGCTAAGCTATGCATGCGTGAGATGTCAGGTGCACAAGAGTTTACATCATCTGCCATGCTGATGCATGAATTTTTTAAACCTGACCTTGACAACAACTCAGCAGCATGGAAGGCAAAGGTCAGGGATCAAAATCTCAGACAAAAATGACAAGTGCAATATTTTTAGAGGCTGTTCCTCAGCTGAAAGGCACGTCACAGGAATTGAGCCAGATTGTTGCTTAAAAAACAATTCAGGGGAAAACAGCTTAGAATTAACACAGCGGTATTTATTTCCTTAACCCACTGATTATTATAAAACAACACTCATCACAAATGTGTCTAGAGAGCTCATAAACAAATCAGATATAGAATTGCACTTTCCGGTTTCCAGTTTCTTTCCCCATATGTGACCAACTTCAGAGGGGCGGGGAGGCTGGCTACCAGAGAGATCAGCCTGTCTGCCCTGGAATTGCAAACCATCTGTGATGAGACAACAACACATTTCTGGCAATATTGTGTGTGTGTGTGTGTGTGTGTGTGTGTAGGGGGGTGCTAATATGCTCACTGCTCATGCAAGTTGTCAGCCAAGCCTGTTGTTCCTCACCAGTTCTGATTTATTTATTTATTTAAAGTTATATCCCACTTCTCAGCACACTTTATGAAGTGCAAACCCAATAGCACGTGAATAAAGTTTTGCTCCCAAGTTTAGTGGGGTGCAGGTGGCGCTGTGGTCTAAACCACAGAGCCTAGGGCTTGCCGATCAGAAGGTCGGCGGTTTGAATCCCAGCAACAGGGTGAGGTCCTGTTGCTTGGTCCCAGCTCCTGCCCACCTAGCAGTCGAAAGTATGTCATGTGCAAGTAGATAAATAGGTACCACTCCAGCGGGGAGGTAAACGGCATTTCCATGTGCTGCTCTGGTTCACCAGAAGCGGCTTAGTCATGCTGGCCACATGACCCGGAAGCTATCTGTGAACAAATGCCGGCTCCCTCAGCCTATAGGGCGAGATGAGTGCCGCAACCCCAGAGTCGTCTGTGACTGGACCTTTACCTTTACCCAAGCTTAGTGTCCTCATTGATGGGCCTCTAACAAGCTTCCAAGGATCCTCAGGGTTACCCAGAACCAGGGCTGGTGTTAGGAGTTGGGACAAGACTGCCACCCTAAAGTTCTTTCTAATATTGTGTTGCAGTCTCCTTTCTTGTAATTTGAATGCATTGGTTCAAGTCCTGCCCCCTGGAGCAGGGGAAAACAAGCTTGCTCCCTCTTCCATGTGACAGCCCTTCAGATATTTAAGGGTGGCTATCTTATCACCTAACAGTCTTTTCTTCTCCAGGCTAAGCATACCCAACTCCCTCAACTATTCCTCTTAAGGCTTAGTTATCCAGACCTTTGATCAACTTGGTTGCTCTCCTCTGCACACATTAAAGGTAAAGGGACCCCTGACCATTGGGTCCAGTCGTGACTGACTCTGGGGTTGCGGCACTCCTCTCGCTTTATTGGCTGAGGGAGACGGCATACAGCTCATGGGGCCAGCATGACTAAGCTGCTTCTGGCGAACCAGAGCAGTGCACGGAAACGCCGGTTACCTTCCTGCCGGAGCGGTACCTATTTATCTACTTGCACTTTGACGTGCTTTGGAACTGCTAGGTTGGCAGGAGCAGGGACCGAGCAACAGGAGCTCACCCCATCACAGGGATTCGAACCGCCGACCTTCTGATCGGCAAGTCCTAGGCTCTGTGGTTTAACCCACAGCGCCACCCGCATCCCTCTGCACACATCACAACTGGTCAATGTCATTCTTAAACTGTGGTGCCCAGAACTGGACACAGCCTGAAGTTCTAAAATGGTTACATATGCACAGAAAACTAAGGGTGTGGGGGGTTTTTTGGTGGGGGGTGCCAAAGAAGTGGCATGTGAATCACAATGCCAAAGGTGGCTGTGCTGCTTTTACCCTTTTACCGCCTTGGCTTTGGTTTGCGAAATCCAGCTTCCTCTGCCCTTGTTTTGCTTTTGTTTAGATTCAGTTCTCACAAATCGCTTGTGCCTGATGAATATTCATGGCACATTAGTTTGCTCTCATTGTGGTGTCGTTACTGCACACATTGTCACGTTGCTCCCAGGTTCCTATCCACAGGCTCTAATAATTAAACAGTGGGGTTGTCACTCCCCCCCCCTCATGGAGGCTCTGGGTCTTTAACGAAAACATGACAAGCAGAATGTCAGTGACTGCAGTTTCCCCCCCCCCCTCCACAGCATGGAGAAACACTTTTGCCTGTTGTGATGGGATTGTTCAAGGCACAGGTCCCGCATCACAAACAGAGCTGGAGATACTAGGCGTGGCCACAACCTATGAATGTTTACTTGGAACAACGTCCCACTGAGTTCAAGGGGATCTGCTTTCAAAGTATGCTTAAGATTGCTGCCTAAAGCAGCTTCTGAGCAGTTGTCCTCCCCCTCCTCTTGTGAATTAATTATGATGTCTTTTACAATGATCTGGTTCACACCTACTGCTAAGACATACCATGGTTTAGCACAGAAAGTGTCAGTGTGAGAGTTCCTGGAGTGGAGATCATGGTTGCTGCACTCCTGCTTCTATGCTCCATATTTGGCTTAGTGCATCACCTGAATCGGAGGTCATGGTTTGTCTCCTTCCAGACAAACCGTGAGCTGTAACCAAGGTTTGTTCTGGACTTTACAGCTCATGTGTTTCTGGCGGGGACAAGCCACAAGCTGGAGTTCATACAACATGCGAAGGTAAACCATAGCTGCGCTCACAGCAGTGCAGCAGCAGAAGGACGTAAGCAGCAGCCACAACCTCCTCTGCGGGTTGCACATTCCCACTAAGCCACAATTGAGCTTAGTGTTATTTGCTGTAACCAGCTGTATGTAGGTCAATGCAGCACCACTCATTGACACCTGCTAAATCTCATTGCATCAATTGAAGGAACCCTGCAAACTGTAGTTCTATGAAGAGTCTATGTATGAGAATTCCATAACATACAACATTACAGTTTGGGGTGGATTTCAAAGGGGAACGATATCAAGGTTTGATGAGGAAACGTTCAAAGATCTGAGTCTGTTTCACATGGAGAAGAAAAGGCTAGGGAAGGACATGATAATATTATCTCAATATCTGAAGGACTACCACATAGGAAACTGCCTTATACTGAGGCAGACTATTGGTTCATCCAGCTCAGTATTCTCTACACTGACTGGCAGAAGCTCTTCATGGTTTCTGGAGATGTCTGGGGTTGAACCTGAGACCTTCTGCATGCAAAGCAGATGATCTACCCACTGATCTACAGCCCTCTTCCTAAGAAGCACCACCCACGTCCCACAGCGCCACCCGCATCCTTGTTTATCCTAATATACATGTGTTCATATGCATTTTTGCCTAATATGATTCATTTTAAAATATTATTTACACTAATATATGCATTTCTATGCACACTTTAGTATATGCATGTTTTTATACAATATTTGGCTAGAGAACTATATTGCAAAATTCAGGGAAGTGTGCATTTCAAAGGATGGCTGTGTTTTGGTTCTTGAGTTGTCTTGGAAAGTGCAAATTAGGTAGGGTCACCTTTACATGTACACTGAATTGAAACCCACCTTCATATACAGTCCACATAAGCTTGCCATGCTCAGCTGGTGACAGTGTGGTGCTGTTAATGCCAAGGTTGCAGGATCGATCCCCGTATGAGAAAGCTGCATGTTCCTGCATTGCAGGGAGTTGAACGAGATGATCCTCCGGGTTCCTTCCAATGCTACAATTCTATGATTCTCTCTCTCCTTCCTTCTCCCTCTCCCCATATTTCTGTAATTAATTAATAAATAGATAAAACTGTATATACCATCCTTTGTCAAAATTGATTCCAGGGCAGTTTACAAGATTAATTACCTAGAATTCAAGGCTGCAACATTAGGTAGATTAGCTGGCCAGATTAATTGATTAACAACATTTAAATTCAATTGATTCAAAATTCCATAATCAGTCAAGTTCATGCTACAAATCTAACCTGTGAACATAACATGCCTTGACTCTGATGTGTTGAAATTGAAATATGCTCATTATTAGAACTGAAATTTATCACAGGTGACATTGCTGTTGCTTCTGTCCACCTGTGGCTCCATGTCAATCGCTTTGCAAACAAAGCACATGTGACAATAGCTAATTTGAGAACACTGTGTCATGGCATGTGACATTATGCCACACAGGTGTGGGTGAGGAATGTTGTCGCTAATGCGCCACCTTTCCAGTAGGGCAATCCTGTACACGTCAGCTGAGAAAGCAGTCTCACTGAGTTCACTATGCTTAATTCCCAGAACAGTGAGCACAGTATACTGTCTAAGATGCATTTCAGTAATGCACATACGATAATATTCAGCTTTGATTCAAAATTTGGAATGTGAGATCTTGAAGTGTAGAAGAGATTTCATCTGAGTTTATGCAGCTGAAATGCAACGGAGTTAGTTTGTGCATCACTACTAAAAAGGGGGCCTCTGCTGAATTAATTGGCACATTTAAAGTATTTGTTAAAAAATTCTTTCAACAACTACTTATGTAAACTTAACTGACTGATTAATTGACAATGATGGAATTGTAAAAGCTAGAAAATGAGACCCATTGAACACAGCGAGGCTTACTTCTGAGTAAGCATCCATAATTGGATTGTAAACCTCATATGAACAATCAGTGAAGAGTTCTTTAAACAGATGATTGCCCCATTATCTATGTTCACACACACACACACACACACACACACACACACACACACACACTTACTGTATATATGTTATGACAAACCTCTAGTCCCCACAGATGTTGCTGGACTACAGCTCCCATTATCCCTGATCATTGTCCATGCTGGCTGGGGATGATGAGAGGTGCAGTCCAACAACATCTGGAGGGCCAGAGGTTCTCCATCCCTCCTATATTTACAGCCTTCTAAGGTGCTACATCTTAAAAAGCAGGGACATCACCTTGCCAACAAAGGTCCGTATAGTTAAAGCTATGGTTTTCCGAGTAGTGATGTATGGAAGTGAGAGCTGGACCACAAAGAAGGCTGATCGCCAAAGAATTGATGCTTTTGAAATACGGTGATGGAGGAGACTCTTGAGAGTCCCGTGCACTGCAAGAAGAACAAACCTCTCCATTCTGAAGGAGATCAGCCCTGAGTGCTCACTGGAAGGACAGATCCTGAAGCTGAGGCTGCAATACTTTGGCCATCTCATGAGAAGAGAAGACTCCCTGATGTTGGGAAAGATTGAGGGCACAAGGAGAAGGGGATGACAGAGGATGAGATGGTTGGACAGTGTTACCAACATGAGTTTGACCAAACTGTGGGAGGCAGTGGAAGACAGGAGTGCCTGGCGTGCTCTGGTCCATGGGGTCACAAAGAGTCAGACACGACTAAACCACAAGGTGCTACAATATTCTTTAGTGTCTCTTTGTGAAACAGTGTGTGTGTGTGCATATGCGTGCGTGCAAGTTCACTGAATGCTATTTTTTTTAGCAAAGGAAACATTCTTTAGCAATCTTTTAAAAGCAGTTAGCATTTTTATGCATTATGAAAAGCTTTCTTTCTTCTTCTTTTTCAAGCAAAAGGTTCCTCAAGGAATGCGAATGGAATGTATAAATATATCACCAGGAGAAGTATGGGATTATTAATAAATAAGGAGGGGGGTGAAATGAATAATGATTAAAGTCACAAAGATACTAAATTCCTTTCCAAGTCTGTCTTTAAGAAGAATAATGAGGGAAGGAAGCAATAAAAAGATAGCTGGAAAGAGGAAGAAGCCGATAGAGAGAGCGCTCTCCTTCCCATCTTGGCTATCAACCAAGGCTTGAAACCAAGGGGCTGCAATGGTCATCTGTGAAATATAAATGTATCTGAACAAAATCTGGGACATCAAGAATCCAGAACACCAAGCTGGCAAGATAAAGGTATAAACACTCTTCTCTTCCTGCCAGGCGATTCTTTCCCAATGTCTCTTTGCATCATGATGGGCTGTCAGGTTGTTATTTCTGGAGTAAAGGGCAGCTACTGATGTCACTGGGGGTGATGGGGAAGCAATCCATCCAGTTTGAATTTTTGCACAAACCCATTTAATTTGCACTTCCTGAAACAATAACAGTAATCCTTTGAAATTTGCACTTAGCCGAATTTTGTTTGGATTCCATTCAACCCCAACGTGCACAAGTATGCCTCTATTAATGAAAATAATGTACACAACTACATTCTAAGAGATAAAATTGCTTGCAAAAATGCATCCATTCAACCAAATTGGATTTTTAATTATTATTTTTAACGCACATGTTAGAAGAGATAATGTATGTCTCAGTTTTTCAGAATGGAGCTCACACATCAGAAGCAGCCATATATTTGTCCTTTTGGGAGTCATTCGGACACTCCTATTCTCCTGGCGGAACTACAATTCCTAGAGTGGTTTATTATCAACCCTTCTTCCCAGGGAACTCTGGGAAATGTGGCTCTGGGCAGGAAATAGGAGAGTCTCCTAACAACTCTCCACACCCTTAGCAAACTAGTTCCTAAAATTGTTTTGGGGAAGCCATGGCTATTTAAAGTGGTATTGCAGTCATTTGAATGCATGTTGTGCATGTGGCCTGAGAAACTAGGGGGCAAGGCAGTGAGAGCTTAGACCGGTGTGGTCACAGCATAGATGCAGCCCTGGGAGCCCTGGGAGACTGGCTCCACTGCCCACACAAGGCTGAGCACCCTCTGCCTTGTCCCCCTTGTACCATCTCAGGATGATTGTTATATTTATTTATACCCCACCTTTTTCCATGACAGGGACTCAAAGCAACTTTCTAGGCACCAGTCACCTGCTCTTTTGGGAAGCCAGAAGAGCAGCAGACACCTCATTGGAGAGACACTGCCTGGGGAGAGGGCTTGGTGGAGAGGGCTGGAGACTTGTATTTCCCTGCTGGGACTGAGGTTTCTCTTTTAAAATAATAATAATAATAATTTTTATTCATTTTAAAACATATTAATTGTCATACATACCACAAAATTTCACATCTTAAACAATCTTTTGGACTTCCATCAGCACCTCTGATGATCCCCCATTTTTATGATTTCTTCTGCATTTCTTAAATTCATATTGCCTTTAATTATCTTAACTAACGTCTTCCTTTTCGTCCAATTATGCAATAATTCAAATTATTCACCTCACAAAACTTCCTGCAAACCTACAAATGTAATCTGATCATCACAATTACTTTTCAAATAGTCCGTAAATTTATGCCAGTCTTCTGTGAATCTCTGGTCCCGCCGGTTTTGAATTCTTCCCGTTAGTTTTTCTAATTCTGCATAGTACATCAATTTCATCCTCCAATCTTCTTTCGTCGGTAATTCTTCTTGCTTCCATTTTTGTGCCAATAATATTCTTGCTGCCGTCATTGCGTATAAATGCAGTGACTGAGGTTTCTCACCACTCCTAGAGATATATGTTTTATCCTCCAGCCGCTGAGGCAGGGGCTTGCAACCCTACTCATTTTGCTTTTCGCTTTTGACTCACGCCCATGGACGCTGTACAATTTTGCCTGTAAGTGCAATGCTCAGATAAGTGCTTGGGATTTATACTTAAGCAATAATGACAGAGAGATAATATATATACCCATCTGGAAAGGTTTTGCTTGGATGCTTAATCCAGATTTTAATTTCATGATTTTAATTGGACATGGTAAATTTGGAGGGCCCTGGGCTGCAATGATATTGTGGAAGCAGAGTGGATTTCTCATGGTGAGAGGCAATTTTGATCATTTTTTAGAGGAAGCCACTTTAAATGGCTTTGCATGTTTTGAGGGAGACAGTAGAAATTGTGTTTTTTGGATGGTCAGGGTATGTTTTCACATTAGTCTCTAAAAATATCAGAAACTTATTTTGAAACTTGTATTTCTAAATAAAAAGCCCAGTCTCTTCTAAATTTGTTTTACAATAATAACTTAGTTGCCTGTGGCCCAGAAGTGACTTTTTTTACACCAACAGAAGATATTCAATAAATGTGTGTGTGGGGGGGGAGTTTTTCCATATAAGCAGGAAAAAACAAAGGATTGTTTCTCTATGTTGTGGCATAAGACCACTGTAGTGCATGTAACAACCTGACTGGAAAACTGCCATGTATTTTGGGGAGGGTTTCTGAATACTGTTCAAAAACATCAATTAGTTTAAAACTTAGCAGGCTGCATATTACTCTGGTACAGTGGTACCTCAGGTTAAGAACTTAATTTGTTCTGGAGGTCCGTTCTTAACCTGAAACTGTTCTTAACCTGAGGGACCACTTTAGCTAATGGGGCCTCCTGCTGCCGCTGCACAATTTCTGTTCTCATCCTGAAGCAAAGTTCTTAACCTGAGGTACTAATTCTGGGTTAGCAGAGTCTGTAACCTGAAGCATCTGTAACCTGAAGTGTCTGTAACCCGAGGTACTACTGTACTCCAAAAAAACTTAGCAGCCTGCAGATTACTCTGGTACTGCAAAAAAACAAAAACTTGTTGGTTTCAGAGTCTACTACAGTATATTCTATGTAGGCTAGATTACTGTACTGCAAAGTGCTCTACATGGGACTGCCTTTGGAGAATGGAAGCTGCATCTGTTAGAGAATGCTGCTGTGAGGCTGGTGTCAGGGGTGACTCTGATGTTTTCCCAAGTACACTGATTCCAGTTTGGGGATCTGAGATCAATTCAGAGTGCTGGTTAGGATAATTTAAACCCTTGGCTGCAGGGTGCCTGAAAGATTGCCTGCTTCTGCTTGAGTCTGATCACTGATGAATATCGTCAGAAAGGGATCTGCTCAGCATTTCCCCTTTACCGGAGGCAGTGGTGGCTGGCAGCCAATGGGACTAGTGGGACAGGAGGGAGGGAGGCCAACAGCAGGTGGCGCTAGAGCCAATGACAGGCACAGCCAGTTAGGTTTGTCCCCATCCACATCCTTGCTGAGTTCTATAGGGACAACACTGAGACTAAAGAGAAGAATCTGTTAGGCAGTGCCACTCCCTGGACTGGCGGTAAGTAAGAAAGCAGGCAGGTGGTGGCTGGCTGAAGGACAGACTGAAGTTGGTGGGGCAGTGCCTTCCTCTGTGTATGTATTGCATGATGGAGGCTTAGGTGAGTACACATCAGAGGGTTGCCACATGGGAATGGCCCAACCTTTTTTAATACAGAAAGTCCCAGGTTCAATCTATGGCACCAATACTGGGTAACAAGGCTGGAGAAGACCTTTGCCTGTGATGTGAGAGATTGGCTGCTGGTTAGAGTAGCCAGTTCCAGGCTGGATAGACCAACTATCTGACTCTCTTTAAGGTTGCTTCATATATGAGAACTTGTGCTCTTAACCTAGCCAGGCTGCTTTATATGCATGCAGCAGAACAGCTTTCTCTTTAATGAGTTATTAAGCACCCCTACTAAAGACTTTCTTGCTTTCCTTGATATTTCCTTTTACAATTCTAAAATACAGTTAATCTGGGGCCTCGTGCCCTGTCAGCGCTTAATAGTTCTAATTAATAGTTCTAATTGCTTGACAATCTGCCCTGGCGTGATCATAAACATTTCCAAAAAATGGATCCCAATATCCGGGACATGACCTTAAGCTTCTTTCATAAAGACTCGGGCACAAATACTCATCCAGCCTCTCCGTAATACTGTCTTCATTTGTCACTGACGACCCATTCCTTCCTACCCTTAATGGCCTTGCCAATTCCTCATCTAGCTGTGCGCTTTTAATACGCTGAAGAAAGCTTTCATTTGGTTTTCTTCATTTCCGTTCCTTTTTTTGGGGAGGGGGGGAAAGCACAAAAAGGCATTTCCGACTTTAGCGTTTCCTGCCAATCTTCCTAAGTGTTTAATTTTGAATGGAATGTCATCATTAGACCTGCTAAATAGAATAATGCGATAAAAAGAGCCGAGAACCCATATCCTGGAAATTCTTGTTCTGTGCCAGGATGAAACTACTGAAAATGGTATTATTAACATTGGGGGAAATTAAATCATTAACTTTGAGGGATTTGCTTTCACAGAAGTAGAATCAGCATTGTATGGGGCATGGCAATTGTCTTAACAGTTCTGCCCAGCACAAGTAGCTGCGTTGTTGTACTGATTTCCCAGTCCCGTAGTGGTAATCAAAGACTGTGAAACCCATCAGAGCACTCCTAGATATAACTAAAGAGAAATTTGGTGCATAAGATTCTTACATGCCAGTCCCACATTTGGAGCTCTGCTAGTGTAATGGAGGGAGTGCTTGGAAGCCCCATTTGCAACGCCCCACACAGTTGGCATTCAACAATTTGCACAGATGTTTCATGAGCATGTCTGCTGAGTTAAATGGCTCTTCGGGCAAAATGGCACAGCTGCTGGTGCTACTTTAGGGGTTTCAGGGAAGAAGAAAGAGGCGCCACCTTTACTTAGGTTTAGGGACGGAAGGATCTGCCCATTTCATTTCTCCCCATTTCTCATTTTCCCAACCTTCAATTTAGTTCCCCACATTTCTGTACCAATTTGCGATTAAAAGAAAAATCATAAGGAAAGTTGATCAACGTTTTAGTGTGGATTTCTACCAATAAACTCATTTCTAAACTCATGCAGTTTGGACTAATGTACACATTTCTTGTAAGCAATTCCCCCTAGAATGATGTATTTTTGTATATCATTTTCAATAATCTTTATACACGCTTACATATGCATGTTTGTCAACATTGTTTGGTTGGAGAACTGTGTTGCAAAATTTGGAGAAGTGTGGATTTTGAAGGATAGCTGTGTTTTAGCTCACATATTGTTCATGATAAGGAAGTTACGCCAACCTCTCTGATCACATTGGTTGTCATAAGAACATCAGAAGAACTTGCTGGATCAGGCCAATGGCCCATCTCTTCCAGCATCCTGTTCTCACAGACCAGATGTCTGCGGGAAACCTGGTCATCTTTTAAAGCTATCTAAATTTGTGACTGTTGTCTTTGTCCATGGAGTTTTCTTGGCAGGGATACTGGAGTGGCTTGCCGGTTCCTCCTCCAGGTTTTTAAAGCTATCTAAATTGGTGACTTCTTGGGAGAAAAGCAATGAGAAACCTAGACAGCATCTTAAAAAGTAGAGACATCACCTTGCCAACAAAGGTCCGTATAATAAAAGCTATGGTTTTCCCAGTGGTGATGTATGGAAGTGAAAGCTGGACCATAAAGAAGGCTAATCGCCGAAGAATTGATGCTTTTGAATGATGGTGCTGGAGGAGACTCTTGAGAGTCCCATGGACTGCAAGAAGATCAAACCTATCCATTCTGAAGGAGATCAGCCCTGAGTGCTCACTGGAAGGACAGATTCTGAAGCTGAGGCTCCAATACTTTGGCCACCTCATGAGAAGAGAAGACTCCCTGGAAAAGACCCTGATGTTGGGAAAGATGGAGGGCACAAGGAGAAGGGGACAACAGAGGACGAGATGGTTGGATAGTGTTCTCGAAGCTACCAGCATGAGTTTGACCAATCTGCGGGAGGCAGTGGAAGACAGGGGTGCCTGGCGTGCTCTTGTCCATGGGCTCACGAAGAGTCGGACACGACTAAACGACTAAACAACAACAGCAAATTGGTGACTGTCACAGTATCCTATGGGATCGAGTTTCAGAATGTCCTGCATGAAAAAGTACTTTCTTTTATCTGCACTCAATTTTTCAACGCTCAGCTTCATTCAGCAAGTTGCTGAATATTCAGCAACAATCATCTTCCTTTTTCTGCACCTTTACCAGCTCAACAACCACCTTTGTTAAGATGCAGTGACCAGAACTGTATGCAGAATGCTAAGTATGGCATCCATTTTCTTAAAGGTATTATTATACTGATTTTTTATTTTTATTGCTTCCCTAATGATCCCTCGCCTGGAGAGTGCCTTTTTCACAGCTGCTGCACATTGGGTCAATGTTTTGGTCCTGACAACACAAGCAGGAAAGAAAACGCTGCATTGTTTTGCTGCCCAAACTAAATTACTCAAAGATCAGAACTTGTTGATCATTGGGAATGGAAGGAAATGTCAATGCAATAGTCACTTGTAGACCACCTTCCCAGCTGCCCTCAATATAAAGACTGTGCAAAGGACTTTCGAGTGTCGATTTTGTGCTGTTTCCTTGAGGAACACATACAGTTGGCTTGCCGCATGAAAAATCAGAAATCCTTCAGCCTAAAACAAGGGGAATGCAGATGACTTAGGGACCGGTAGTCTGTCAAAAAGTGCATAGCAGTAAGATGGAGAAACGGCTCTGGGGCCCTGCAAAATACAGCCTTTCTTGTGCTCTTTATAAAAGTATCTTCACAGGATCTTGATTGAACAAAAGATGAAAAAGCCACTGCCTTGAGATTTGGGGGGGGGGGGGGAGAGGTGATTTACATTTCTGCCGTTACCCTGGCAAGCTCTCACTTGGATAGAGATGTACCACGTTGTGAACTTTCATATCTATTAGTGAGTCTTTTTTTTTTTAGGTGAAAACTGGATCTCTCTCTCTCTCTCTCTCTCTGTGTGTGTGTGTGTGCGTGTGTGCCCCTGCAACATTGTAGCAGATACTGATTATTGCTGCAGACTGTAGCTTCTGTGGTTCTGTGGTACCTGTTCCGCCATTCATTCATTCATTCATTCATTCATTCATTCATTCCACTCTTCCAGTACTTGCTATACTTGGAAGTAAACCTAAAGATGGTCAGATGTACTCTAGTGGCTACAATAATGGTATGGGGAGTGGAGAAGAGACAACAAATTGATGTGTAGCATTCAAGCTGTGTTGGATAGTGGACTATGGCAGGAGTGGGAAACCTCAGGCCCAGAGGCTGAATGTGGCCCTCAAAGCTTCTCTGTCTGGCCCTCCAGACATAGGAAGTTGCCTTACATTCAGTCAAACCATTGGTCCATCAAGGTCAGTACTGTCTACACTTACTAACAGTGACTCTCCAGAGCTTCTGGCTGTTGTCTCTCCCAGTCCTACCTGGAGATGCTGGGGATTGAACCTAATGTAGGAGCTTCTGCACACAAAGCTGATGCTCTAATGCTGAGCTGCATTTTTCTTTATTAATTAAATTTGTACACTTCCTTTCATCCGAAGATCACAGAGCTGTTCACAACATAAGAGTATAAAATGAGAACATAAAATATGTATTAAACAAAAATGACCCAATAACCGTCCTCCCACAAACACTTTAAAAGGCCATAGGATGGTAATCAGCCAAAGTTTTAGGTACAGAGAAATGCTTTCGCCTGGCACCTAAAGATATGTAATGAAAGTGCCAGGCAAACCTCCCTGGGGAAGCATTCCACAAACAGGGAATCATCACAGAAAAAGCCTGTTTTCATGTTGCTACCCTCCAGACCTCTCATGATTGAGGGACCAAAAGAAAGGCTTCAGATGATGATCCCAGAGTCTGGGTCCGTTCATATCAGGAGACTATCCTTGAAGGGCTGTGGTCATGTTGACATGACCCATACTTGTTAGGGCTGGGTCATGGGCAGCTAAAAGCTCTGGAAACAGCCAATGGTCAGGAATGGAGAATACATCACAGTCACAGGGCAAATTAGGAAGCAGAGTTGAGGCACAAACCATCTGGAACAGAATGGGAGGAGAAACCAGAAGGCAGAATCCAAGAGCAAGACAGAAGTCATGACCAATGAACAACCAAGGCTCTGTAAAACAAAGTTGCTCAAGCAAGGTCCAAGTGGAACAAAAATACTTCTCTTTCTTGTTTCAGAGGATCCAATGGCCACCCTGGCTGGGCGGAGTTGCAGGGTACTTCACAGAGAAACTGTCACCTTCAGTTAAAAGGTTCATGGAGGGAGGTCTAGCAGTTCTTGAAACCTCTATGAAACCAGGAACCCTGAGATCTCCTGGGTTCCTGATCACACATGGAGCCCCTTTCATACTAAGGTTGAATGTGCAGAGGTCAAGGAAAGAGGTCAGTGCAGATGCTGAGATTTAGGGTGAACCTGTCTGTCTTCTGTGTGTTCAGTGAACACATAGGGAGGGCAATGTCTGCATAGCCCCCATTGCTATGACTGCATCATAATCCTGCTATTTTTCATTTGTCAAATGCCTACTAAGTGCTAGGTGATGTTCTAGGAGCCCAGTCTCTCTGCCCCATGGGCTCACCGTCTAAAAATAGAATTGAAATCGTTGGAAACCCTAATGAAGGGGAAGAGAGGAGGAGCATCTCCTTGGCCAGAGAGTTAAAATCATCCAGCGTGGATGAAAAACGAGGCTCCTTGCAGTCAAGCTGTAAATACAGCAACTGCAAAATGTAAATGCTTTAAAAATGTGAGCACAATTCAGCTAAGAAAGCGGGGCCCCGAAATTTATATCCTCGTTATCGGTAATTACAGTCAGATTCTTTTTACTGAGCGCTATTCCCAGCTACCACATAAAAGTGTCTGTGCACATTATCCACTTAAAAGTAAGTCACCCTTCGCACACGTGTGCCATGAGGAGGCTGGCTGCGGTGGGAGGCCATGCTCAGACCCAAAGCTCTGCCTTCTCTGCCGCAAATGTATCTGTCTACCATTATAAGCAAAGTAGCTGAAAGCCCCTCAGGGTGTTCTTATGAAATGTAAATTCACTGACTTGGAGACCTCAACATAAAATCATTGCTTTTAATGCATGGCAGCTTAACCCTCTCTTCTCCTAGGAAGCAGAGGGGGGAAAGGAAATGTGTTTCCATCATTCACCCACTTTTCACTCTTAAACAATAGATGCTCCATGTAATTATGACTTCCTTTATGGGTTTAATATAGTATTATGATGATGATCACCAACATTATTTATTAAATCTATCCCGTTGCTTGGTCCCAGCTCCTGCCAACCTAGCAGTTTGAAAGCACGTCCAAGTGCAAGTAGATAAATAGGTACCACTCCAGCAGGAAGGTAAATGGCATTTCTGTGTGCTGCTCTGGTCATGCTGGCCACATGACCCAGAAGCTGTATGCGGCTCCCTCAGCCAGTAAAGCAAGATGAGCACCGCAACCCCAGCATTGTCCACAACTGGACCTAACGGTCAGGGGTCCCTTTACTTTTACCTTTATATCACCCCTCATCCAAAGATTACAGGGCAGTTTACGATATAAATACACAAAAATACCATGATAACTACAGCAGAAAATTATGGGAAGATCTACGCATAGACATATGCAACCACATATTAGAAATTGGTAGTCAAGGATGGGTGTTTGTGAAAGCTGGGGCACAGTGGGGTCATGCTTTGTTCCACTAGATCTTACTGATGGCGTACTGTGGGGGGAGGGGGATGCAGAGGTGTGTAGATCTGGGAGTTTTCAGAGCAGAAGTGATGACTTCATATGTTGGAGCGCTCACCCCCCACCCCCACCCTGGCAAGTGAATGAGACTTTTTTCTTTTTTTCTTTCTAGATTAGCATAGAGGAAGTTGGAAAATAATCAAGTAGAGGCTAGATACTTCCCTGCCTCTTCTTTGACGGGGTTCCTACTTCAAGTTAGTAGTTTAAAAGTCAATTATTATCTGCAAGATTGTTTGTTTGTCAGTGTAGAAGCTGAAGTTTGCATTTCTGTTGGCCGAAGATCTTAGATTAAAAGATCAACGTGTTTTACAAGTTGAACCTATGAAATCAGAAGTAAGCACCATTGAGTTCAATGCATAGGATTGCTGATTCAAATCAGTTGGGCATTATGCTATGTTCTGCTGCTCTTTGGTCTGTGGATGAACACAACTGCTCACATTTTTGGACTGACTCTTCTTAAGCCATAGCCCTGGGGGCTGTTATGATAAGCTCCTGCATTTCAAAATTTAGCACTACAACACCAGTGCACATTGGTAAGAAGAGATGTAAGGTATTTTTCCCTCTTAGTGGTAACCATCTAAATTATCCACAATTGCAATCATAAAGTGCTATCCTTTCAAAGATTGGTGTTTCAATTTTAATATTCTAATAATACTGTTATTGAACACCTTTTCTGTCATGCTACCTGATCTGGCAGTTTCCCCTATGTTTAAGTCAAATTAGCTGACTTTCTGCACAAAGTGTGTGTGTGTGCGTACGCACAACATGTGTGTACATATGTGTCATTTTGATTTTGAAGGAGTTGTTGATGTGCCAAAAATGATGGAGAAAGGAAGGCTTTGCAAATTCCCTTTCCATTCCTCCAAGATAAGACTTTCCCAAGTCCATGCCTTCAAGATGATGTTGGACTACAACTCTCATCACCTCAGACCATTGGCCAAGCTGGGTGGGGTTGATGGGAACTGAAGTCCAACAACATTTGGAAGGTGCCACCTTGGGGAGGTCTGCACTAAGACTACATTCAGGTACCAGAGACATGACTACCTCCTTTGCACCATTCTCTATTTCCCATGTTCCATAGAACATCATAACCAGAACAGGCAAAAACGATTCTGTAGTGGTTTCTCCTCTGAAATTCTTTTTCTCTTCTACACAAAATCCTTTGCCAACAGCTGTTTCTAAATACGTCATTATCATGATTGATTTTTTTCTCTTAAGCAATAAATTAGAATTGGCTACGAGATAAAGTCTAGGATGGAAAGTTTGAATGCACTGAAATATTACTAGCGTATATAAAATTAATGTGGCATCCCTTTCTTTTAAAATGCCTGTTAAAAAGTTAGTGTGAATGCCGCTTAATGATTTATGCAGCAGTTCAGGGGTTTGGTTCAACACTTTTAGAAAAAAAAGTAGAATTGATTTGAGTGACAAAGAAAGATATCTTGTTCATATACTATTTTAAAATGGCATTGTGCTATATTATATCACAGAGTGCAGAATTTCCAGGCATTTTTGTAAAATCAGATGGTCTAGATTCTTTTTGTATCCCTCTATCTGGACTGTGGAAATCCACCATAATAATCCTATTGTGCATTACAGTCTAGGGATGGATGAATTCCAATGCCTCTCAGTGTTTCCCCTGTCTTGAATTCAGTTCTCCACATTTCTGCAGAAATTTGCAAATAAAATATAATAAAATAATCCTTGTGAACATTTGCCAGCATTTTAGTGTGAGTTTCTCATCATCAATATATATTTGTATGCCCTTTTGACTAAAATACACATTTTTGCAAGTAATTTCCCCTAATGCCATGCATTTTTGTATGCTAATTTAACTTATATTTGCATTTTTCTTCACACTTTCACCTAATAACTGCATCTTTGTACATATTATTTGCTTTGAGGAAACTGCATCCCAAAATTTGAACCAGTGCAGTTTTCAAAAGATAACTGTTTCAGTTTGCATATTGGTTCGAGAAGTGTGAATTAGGTGATTTTGCATTAAAATGTGCGGGGGTGTGTGTCAAATTTCTCACAATGTCTGCATATCTCCACATTTTGCAGCAACACTCTCCAGCCAAGCAAAGTGCATAAAAATGCCTTTACTGTGGTAAAAGATGAACAAAAATGCACACATTATTCAAAATAACAAAATGCATTACAATGGAAGAAATGGCTCTGCAAAATATATATTAAGATAAGTTCACACTAAAATGCTGATGGATTTGCATATTTTTTTAAAAAAATTGAAGACTGATGTGGCAATATGGAGAACTTAATACTAGAAAAATGAAAAACTGAGAAACTGAAGTGGGCAAATTTGCCCATCCCTACCATGGAGGAAGAGCTGTAATACAAACATGTGATTCGGGTCATTTTACTTTGTTTTCCTTTTTGCATTAGCCTATAGTTAACATCAGCTGACCCAAACTAATAAAATATTTGCAAAATTATTTGGAGGTATAAGCAAATGATCACAAATGAAATGATGACAAACTAGATTTACTGAATAAACTGGAAGTGAATTTGCATGGATTTTTAATTTTATTTTTAAAGTTAGAACTCAACTGGATTCCAGCAATGATGGGCTTTAAAAATGGTTTGACTGTGAGTTGCTACAGCAGACTGTGATCCTCAGGAGTTCTTGCTTCCACACTGCCACAACTTTCTGATGTGCAAATGGTTCATTCATAATCACATTACTTGCCTGAAGTGACTCCGGTTGCTAATCAGAATGTAGTTGTTGGAAATGAAATATTTGGTTTAACTCCTTCCTCCTTTGTTGTTGTTTAGTCGTTTAGTCGTGTCCAACTCTTCGTGACCCCATGGACCAGAGCACGCCAGGCACTCCTGTCTTCCACTGCCTCCCGCAGATTGGTCAAACTCATGCTGGTAGCTTTGAGAACACTATCCAACCATCTTGTCCTCTGTCGTCCCCTTCTCCTTGTGCCCTCCATCTTTCCCAACATCAGGGTCTTTTCCAGGAGTCTTCTCTTCTCATGAGGTGGCCAAAGTATTGGAGCCTCAGCTTCAGGATCTGTCCTTCCAGTGAGCACTCAGGGCTGATTTCCTTAAGAATGGATAGGTTTGATCTTCTTGCAGTCCATGGGACTCTCAAGAGTCTCCTCCAGCACCATCATTCAAAAGCATCAATTCTTCGGCAATCAGCCTTCTTTATGGTCCAGCTCTCACTTCCATACATCACTACTGGGAAAACCATAGCTTTTACATACGGACCTTTGTTGGCAAGGTGATGTCTCTGCTTTTTAAGATGCTGTCTAGGTTTGTCATTGCCCTTCCTCCTTAGTGCAAATCAAAACAAAGCGCCATTCCAGACTTCTGTTCTCCAGGTGACTGGGAGTGGGGTATATTCTAAAACATGTCATTGATGCAATGGTAACGGATGTGGTGGTGAATTTATACTGGGCCATCGACATGTCATTCCACTTTATTAGTCATCTGCTCATGCTTCCTCAATGTTATTGCATGATTGTCATCTGTAGGTGCAGTTTTCCAGTACCGTGTAACAAAGGAAGACACATGCACACCCCCGGAAGATTTGTGGTATAAAAATCTACAGGATTTTAGCAGGAACCTATGGGATATGCACCAATGGGAAACCAAGCAGTATATCCCCCCTAAAAAACTTTTGCAGGCACAAACTGTATTGAAAGCTTATAACCACTCTAAGAACATCATGATCATCAATGCCCAATAAAAAGTAAGTCTGGAGGGACCCAAATATTAAGTGTGTGCCATAGGAATTATACACACTCCCTGTTGTCTAGGCTTCTCCCCTTGCTCTTCTGCATTACTGAAATAATTCAGTTATTAGTTCTTCTGTGTTACTGAAATTTAGATGGTAAGCTCGTCAGGGCAGGCACCTCTTGCTGTTAAATGTGCACAGATGACATGACAGCAGTGAATGATCATGAAACACTCAGAGCCAAACCACACCCTAACATTATTTACACTTTTTGAAACAGCATGCTTAAATCAGTCACTTTTATCTGAAGAAAAAGCAGCTGTGTAGCCCTGACTTGAAAGGAACAATGTGCTAATTGTTCCACAGTTGCTATGTGTCCCCCCCCCCCCGTGCCCCCCTGGTGTTACTCACAGGAAACAGCACTTTCGAGTGCAAAGAGCACCCAAGAGGGGGCAATTTTTGGCAGGAAACTGGCATGGAGCTCCTATACCAGATTGGAAGCACATCCTAGATTGGGGCCCTAGGGTTGTTTCCCATTTAAAATAAAGGCAGACCATTTAAGCATGGTTTAAAAAGGAGCTAAGTATACTTTGGCCTTCATTCCATTGTTTACAAGACTCCCTGGAACCATGAAATGTTGCCTGTAAAAAATAATAATGGCTCAGTGAATGACACCATCATGGTTGTTATGGTTATTTCTACCTTACCTGACTGAAATAGAAAGGAAACACTGTTATAGGTGCGGCAAGAGATAAGTTGCCAAATGGCTACACGCATTGTGCGTGGTACAAAGACGACTATCTCAGCTGTCACTCTCTGAACTCTGTTTGAACACCTCTGCAAACCAGCACAACGAAAGAGATTGGCGTGCACGCCACCGGCAACACAGTTACTACCATCAGAATTGTCATTGTTGTCGTCATAGCTGCCATGCTTTCATTGGTTGCTAGTCTGAAGGTGCTGAATGGCTGTGTAAGGAAGGTTTCAGACAGAGGGGAAGGAGCATTCTGGAAAGGTAACTAACGGGCTGAATTCTCCATTCACATTGTAGAAATATCCTTGCTTAGTTGTACACACTAAGGATGTACACACACAGTGCAGAGCTCTATCCTTCTCCGATGGAGAAACTGGCAAAATGGGGAGGTAATGAGGACATTTCCATCATTAGGGCTGCCAATCCAGAACCAGCAAGATTATCTATCTGAGGGATTGCTAACTCACCTTTCATGGCACACTGCCCTCGCCGAGGCAATTTGCAGTTTTAAAGCTCAGATAAATAAAATAATTACCAAACGTACCATTAAACTGAAAATCATTAAATTAAAATCAGCAGCAGCTAACAATTCTTGACACAGACCATTAACCAAATACAGACTGGAACAGAAATGTCTTTGGGGGCTCTCTAATGCAGACCCATGACTTTGAAATGCTCTTTCTGGCAATGTCTATAACTGCGTCAATCTGCTGTGCTCTAGCAAGAGCTGGGCTGTGGCCCAGTGGCAGAATAGCTGCCTTGCATGCAGAAGTTCTAAGGTTCAATGCCTGACATTCCTGAGCTTTTCTAATAATCAGAGTGGCTTGGGTTATATGCGTACCAAATGTCACCAACATGTTTTATCTAGTCAATGTGGACACACCACAATCTGTGGGGGTGGCAGTTAGTCTTCATGCTCCTAGCCATGAAGCCAAATTGGTTTATGTGTGTAGCAGATTTCAGCTTTTTATCTTGTGAGAAAAAGCCCCAGCCATTCTAAGAGCCCAATGAATGAGGAAGCCAATCAGGCCCTTCTCTTTATATAAATATTAAAATGCTTTATTTGGAGAGAAAGAAATGTTTTGTGGGAAATGAGATCTTACTATGTCACGGGGACAAATTTCAGTGGATGGATGCTGATATAGTGAAAAGAATAATTTGCTGGATATGCAGATCTGTTGATTTTTATTTAATTGTTTTCATTGTGCAAAAGCAAAGCAACATGGTAAACCACACGCTATAATTGTAGCCCGTGATGAATCCGCATTCAGACTAAATAAATAATAAAAATTCCTTCCAGTAGCGCCTTAGAGACCAACTAAGTTTGTTCTTGGTATGCGCATTCGTGTGCATGCGCACTTTTTCAGCTACACTGAAACAGAAGTCACCAGACCCTTATATATAGTGAGAGGGTGGGGAAGGGTATTCCTCAGAAGGGGCGTGGGAATGGGTGATTGGCTGATAGGTGTGGTAAACCTGTTGACAACTGTTAACGACTGCAGTTGGTCTTACAGGAAAAAGCAAGGGGTGAGATGGCTAAAAGTAGCTTTATCATTTACTGTATAATGAGATAAGAATCCAAAGTCTCTATTTAGACCAGGTCTCTCCATGGTTTTAAGTTTGGTAATAAGTTGCAATTCAGCAACTTCTCTTTCCGGTCTATTTCTGAAATTCTTTTGTAATAAGACAGCTACTTTGAGATCTTGTATAGAATGTCCTGGGAGATAGAAGCGTTCCCCTACTGGTTTCTCTGTCTTGTGATTCCTGATATCAGATTTATGTCAGCATATGTCAGCATATGAACAAAGGTGGATTTTAAAAAATACAACTGCAAATGTATTATATGATTTACACACACACACACACACACAAATTTCTTATACACCAGTACTTGCTTATGCAATATGTCTTGGTGTTTTCTATAGTTCCCAGTGCATGGTGGTAAGTAGATCATCCACTGTCTTGCAGAGTTTGTGACAGATAAGGTGCCCTTCAGATCACCCTCTTAAGGGAGAAATCTTCCTTTTCAAAGAAAACAGTTGACCAATTATTTATGCATCCTTTGTATTCTCCCTTCATAAGACCTCCGGGTTGTTTCCTTCTGACTGCAGCCAGTGAAAGTCTCCCATCCACCACAGTCTTCATTCATTTCAACTAGGTGATTGCTTAGAAGCAGAACAGCTGCAGCTATTAACCCAAACAGAGGCAGACTGTCCTTTTGTCATGGGGGGGGGAGAGAATAACCAGTGCTGGAAATATCCAATAAATGCTCCTCCAGAAATCTGCATAACCCTGATGATGCTTCAGGATGTGGCATATGGCCTCCAATAAGGATAGTGTTATATGTTGTGGAATCCTCAGCGTATAAGCAGCTTCTAATTTTTCTGCAGATTTTTAGTTCTCTGCGTAAATCATGAATACATTTAAAAAGTTTGGGTGAGCCTTCTAACAGCATGCAGCAGAAAGAGATCACGCCAGTGGCAGAAAGATTATGCTACAGGCTGCATAGCTCACGATTCTCCTGATACCTTATAGTTGGCAAAATGCTAGCTTTGGAGTGAAAGTGTGTATATGAGAGAGGAGAGAGAGACAGACAGACAGAGGGAGATTTGCAGCCAGTTTCAATATTTCTAGATATATTCAAGATTAAATTGCATAATGTGGAATATTTTTAGGGTATTTGCTGTGATGACTTTTTATGCTTCATAATAATAAATAGAGGCATTGGGACTCCTGAGACATAATCAGATTTGGTCTAAAACTGAGGTTGGGTACAGCCTTCTGCCTTTCCTAAATGGGGTGCTCAGACTGGTAAACGTTTTCTGGATGTGCTATGATTGCATGCTTGCACCTGATCTTCACAGTAGGGTCAATAACAGGCACCAATACAGTGGTACCTTGGGTTAAGAACTTACCATATTTTTCGCCCTATAGGACGCACTTTTTCCCCTCCAAAAATGAAGGGGAAATGTGTGTGCGTCCTATGGGGCGAATGCAGGCTTTCGCTGAAGCCTGGAGAGCGAGGGGGGTGGGTGCGCACCGACCCCTCTCACTCTCCAGGCTTCAGGAAGCTATCCGCTAGCCGTGGGAGACGCAGCTCTCCCACGGCTAGCAGAGAGCTTGCCGGCACCCAAAAGCTTGGGGCGCGCTGAGTCTGTAACCTGAAGCGTATGTAACCTGAAGCGTATGTAACCTGAGGTACCACTGTATTAAGAAACATGATGGCTGTGTTTCTTCTTTGGCTTATTAAGCATGCTTTATTTAGGCAAAGGAAACCATATTCCCTCGTTGGCGGCAACACTAAACCAGGGATCACACTTGGTGGATCCTGCTCATACTAGGAGAGGAAAGGAGCAGAAGCAATCTCCACATTCATGGTAAACCATTAACTGTGGTTTATCAGCTCTGCAAACTGGATGGACTCTCTGAATCTAGAAGTTCTGTGTAATCATGATGGCTTTTATATACAGATCAGTGATAAAGCTAAGCAGGATCAGGTATGGTTTCAAACTGAATGGAGGGCTGTGTGTTGAGATTCCTACATTTCTGGGTCTCTTCCAACTCTACAATTGTATTGTATTGTATGAAGACGTACATTCTTTTTCTCCTGTTTTGAATCTCCTACTAATAGGGTGGCACTGAGTTCCAGAGTTAGGAGAGACTGAGAAAAATCTTGCATCTACTTTCTCTACTTGCATGATTTTATAACTCTCTATGAGGAGTTGCCTTTCCCCCCTAAAGCCTGAAATGGTGCACCCTTTTCCCACGAGGAAGCCCTGTTCTTACCCTTTCATCTTTTGTCTCTCCACCTGGGAGTTTGATGTGGACTTGAAGATGCTTGCGTCTCAATTTTTGTGTGTGCTGTCCACATGATGCCCTCCTCACACAGCCCTCCTCACACAATTGGCAGCCAGCACTTCCCCCCATTAAATTTGGATTTTCCTGATCCAGGAAGCATGTGATTGAAGGATTCAGCTGAGCTAGCTCAGTCCATAGAGCATGAGAGTCATGAGTTCAAGCCCATGTCAGGCAAAAGATTCCTGCATTTCAGAGTGTTAGATTAGAAGACCCCCGTGATCCCTTCCAACTCTACAATTGTACGATTTTATGATTCTGTGATAAGCAAATCCAGTAAAAATTTGCATGCTTACCTGTTGGTGTCCTTAAATTGGTGGGAGTTTTTATGCACATGGTGATATTTTTCTGAGTGTCATGTGTCACCCTGCCTGCTACTTTGATTTTGTTTCTATCAGCACAGGAAAGGATGTAGTGGTCATGATAATTTTTTTTTAAAAAAAACTGTTTTTATTTTTATTTTTGCTGAACTGCCCAAGTGCATAGCAGCTTCATTAAAAGTTTGTCATTGCAGGTATAGGCAATAAGAAAGGGAAAGGGATAAAACAAGGCCTTCTCTCTCTCTCTCTCTCTCTCTCTCCCTCTCCCTCTCCCTCTCCCTCTCCCTCTCTCTCTTTCTCTCTCTCTCTCAGCAGCCTTTGTGGTGAGTGATGCCCTTGCTTGGCCACATTTATTGTACCCTGAAGCCTTTTCCTTCAGCTGAGGATGGGTGGTACCTAAATTCCTTGCCTGCCTGGATGTTCTTTGACCTTGCATGTCATTCTTCAGTGGGCTGCTGCTGGGGCTGGCCATCTCTGCCTCTCACTTTCTCACTCACACACATTTAATCTGCTCTTTTACTCAACCCTGGCAGGTTGAAAACTTGTATTCCAATAATAATAATAACGATGATGATGATGATGTTTAAAGAGAAAAATGCTGTTTTGTCTTTACTTAAAACATTGGCTTTGGTGGCAGTTTGTTGCTGCATGTTTCCACATTATTAATTTTAAGGTGTGTGCGCACACAGAGATACACAAATACCTGTGTGCATGTCTAGGGCAGACTTCAGATGTCTGGAACTTGTGGAGTGTGGAAAAGGGACAACAACACATGATATGAATACATCACATTAAGCACTGCCCAGTGGTGTGGCTCTGTTTAAATCACTTGTGAGGAAGATGGCACACAAACAGACATTATAATGGCCTAGCGTGGACACAGCCTTCATATTGCTGGCATTTCATAGTGCAAGAGCAGCAAGAGCAATAATTGAGACTGTGCAGGAGGGCTTCTCTCTATCTTCAAGCTAGCAAATAAATGAAGGAGGTATAACCAAAGGGACATTAACAACAACAACAAAAATCTCCTGATTTACATAATATATTTAAATTGGAAAATTGCAAAATGGCTCTGAGTATGAAATAAGCATTTTGCTTCCATTTTCAACTTCTTCTTCTTCCAATGACATTAATTTTAAAAGTTTTCTCTTCTCATCCACAAATATCCTTTATCGCTAATTCCTTTTTAAAACATTTGTGCGCCTAATTTTTCTATATTTGCTGGAAAACAGGTGCTAAACAGTAACAAAGGCTCATGTGCGTAATTTGCACCAAAATAGCATTTAAAAAACAAATGCCTTAATTTCTAACACCAACATAAACTAAGTTTCCATTGGATGCACAATGGAACAATCACTAAAGTGATAAATAGTGAGTTTTCTTTCTCTGAATAAAGAAATGTTTACTCAGGCTAAATGGCAGGAAAATGTCAAGATGCATCATTTATTTTACACAAACAATAAAAATTTAGGTGACAGACTCTATCTTCAATTAGTTGAGATAATAACAGCAATGCTTTCCTCATAAATAACTATGTAATGGCTATGATACGTGGCATTCAGTCATTAAAAACATCTACATTCTCGGAACAACATGGTCCTCAGTTCTTTCAAAATCTCTTCTTTATTGTGACTTTTGCATTTTGATTGAGATGAGACAGATGCTAGCAAAAAACCAACTCCTTTTCCTCCAGGCAGGGGGAAGATTTCTACTCTTTCTACTCAATTGCACAGCAAATTATTAGCAGTATCCACCCACTGGCAAACAGTTTCTGAACATTTTTCTACCAACTGAACTAAACAAATAAGTAGCTGATATTTTGCTCACTTCCACAACCTTAAATGAGGACTGTTATTTCATGAACAAAGGACGTAGCTCTGGGACCGATAATGTTAATCCCTGGTTCAGAGGTGGGGAACTTGGGACCTTCCAGAAGTTGTACTCCAAGTCCCAGCAGCCCCAACCAGCAAAGCAATGGCAAGGGATGATGGGAATTGCAGTGCAACAACAGCTTGCGGAACCCAGGTTCCCCACCTCTGCTCTAGATCTATGTAGATGGTGAAGAACAGAGACATCAAATGCAAACCTAATGTTGCAGTATGTTGATGTTATAACATATTTATTTTAGTGTATGCCGTTTTGAAATTTTTAATTTTAAGATATATAAATAAGAGTGTAAATTAATAAATAAATGTGTGTGCAGTCAGACAAAGGTGGAAGTGGTCAGGAGCAGCTGACTGAGAAGTCAGTCTAGAGTCAGAAGCTTCATAGTACCAAGGGCAAAACTATTGACCCACTGAATCACTTGACTTTCGCTGAGCTACAATATTGCCCTTTAAGTATCTTCAGTGGTGGTACTGAAGTACAGCTGAAAACAGGACAACAGCTCTTCTAGTAAGCAACCATGAGCATTGACAAGCATGCTCCTTATCATCTAAGCCTGGGATGGGGAACATGTGGCCTTCAAGATGTTGGACTCTCAATAGCCTTGGCCAACTTGGCCAATACTCAGGGATTATGGGAGTGGTAGTCCAACAATATCTGGAAGGCTACAAGTTCCCCACCCATGATCTTAGACAGGTTGTGAAGCTGACAAAAACAGGGGCTTGCGTGTGTATCTCCTTCATGTCGGTTTAGTGCCGCTAAACACTGTTGCGGTCTTGAGGCACATCATTCTCCATTGTTAGAGCCTGCCCTACCATTAGGTAGAGGAAGTTGGATGTCATGAGAAAGGGCAGCAAATTGTTGGGAGGGCAGGGAGGGAAAGAGGGATTGGTGGAAATCTTTTGTCCACATATTCAGGCATCATTCGCCGGAACTGATCCTGCAAAATGGGACAGGGTGGTGCACTGGTGCCCATGTTTCCTGTGTGCTTGGATACATGTATTGGTGTCCCCTTCAGACTTGATGTGTTTGATGCAGCAAGCAGCTAGTTACCTGCAGATCTACGCAAGTGGGATTTGGCCCGTAGCTTGGTCCTGAGTAACATTTCAGACAAGAAGCAGGCGAGGAAAGCTGAAACTAAGTGAAACGTTGATGTTCAAGACAGAGTTGACCCAAGTGGCAAGGAATGTGTGGCACACAAATCTCTGAAAGACGAGCACAACAAGGATGCTCTCTGGGATAAAAGCATCCATCTTCACAGGTATGCCAGAGGCCCTCAGATTCTCTTGGCTTGTTGACACTCAACTCTCCCCTAAATCAACCTTCACCTTAATCGATTAGGCAGCTGGTTTACAAGGTTCACTTTATGGAAAGGGAACAATTATATATATGTGCACATGCGTACAAAACAGGGATCCAAGCACCAGATTACCCGGGCTTTGACCGTTGCCGGAGAAACCTTGCAAGGCACCTGCCCTATGTTCCTGGATGGTTGTTAGAACAAACAGCGTAGTTAATAAGTGTTGATGGCTGCAAACTGAGACCACCAAAAAGTTGGTTTGAAAACTGCTGCCTTAGGGCACCTCTCAGCGGTGCAGTAATGGATGCCGTAAAAACAGTATTGTCATTAATAAGCATTTGCAGGGAACGGGAGGGCAGTGTCACAGCAGGCTAAAACACTTATTGTTAGTTGTCGGGTGACAAGTTGTTCATTTTCATTTGGAAGCCACTGGCTTGCGTCTGCGTGTGACAGTTAGTAATTTGGATATGTGGAGGAAGAAAGGGATATTTGATTTGGAAACAGCAACAAAAATGTGAGATTTATTTCCATATCATGCTCATGGGCTGGGCTGGTTCTGTTATCTCCATTAAGCAAATTTCAGTTAATGTAGTTTGCCTATATCTCCTCTGCCCAGATTTTCAGCTCCATCCTTCAGTGAGGGTGCATTGGGTCTGTAAGGCTTTCTCACCTCCCCAAATCTGGTGCCTCCTTGTATTTGGAATTGATGCCAGAAAGAGCATGGAATGTCCTAGGTCCAAATCTGGTTCTCCTTGAGTTCAGAGTAGAGCTTTCTTTATGGTGGAACCCTCCCACAAACTTAGAAGTGGAAGGAAAGAATATACATAACCCAATCGAGATTAGAAACTGTTTCCAGAGGTATTTTAAACAATTATACACACAAGGGCCACAGAAAGAAATGGATATAGACCGATTTTTGAAGACAAATGGATTACAAAAAACTCCCAAGAAAGCAAATTAATGTTGAACTATAAAATATCTGAACAGGAAGTAGAAGGTGCCATTCAAAATATGCAATTGGGCAAATCTCCAGGACCGGATGGGCTGACTTCTAGATATTATAGATCTTTGAAAGAGTGGCTATTACAACCTTTGAATGAAGTCTGCAATGAAATATTGGAAGGGAAAAGGGCACCAGAGTCGTGGAAAGAGGCGTACATTACACTTATAACGAAAACAGAGACTGAAAAGACTCAGTTTAAGAACTACCGCCCTATATCGTTACTTAATGTGGATTACAAAATTTGTGCAGACATTTTGGCCAAGAGATTGAAAAAAGTATTGATGGAAGAGATTCATAAAGACCAAGCGGGCTTTCTCCTGGGAAGACACTTGTCTGATAATTTGAGGAATATAATTGATATTTTGGAAAAATTAGAAGTGAATATAAATACTAAAGCAGTTCTGATATTTGTGGATGCGGAGAAAGCCTTTGACAACATCTCTTGGAGTTTTATGAAGAAGAACCTACAGGGGATGGGGGTAGGCCAAGGTTTTGAAAATGGTATAGGTGCAATATACTCTGAACAAAAGGCTAAATTAATTGTAAATAATGTGGTGACGGAAGAATTTAAGATAGAAAAAGGGACACGACAGGGGTGCCCAATCTCCCCACTGCTTTTTATATCGGTCCTGGAGGTTCTGCTGAATATGATTAGAAGGGACCGGTTGGTTAAAGGCATACAGGTTGGAGCCAAACAGTACAAACTGAGAGCATTTGCAGATGACTTAGTATTGACGTTACAGGAGCCAGAATCTAGTACTAAAAGGGTTTTAGAACTAATTCAAGAATTTGGTCAAGTGGCAGGATTTAAACTGAACAAGTTAAAAACTAAGGTTTTAGAGAAAAATTTAACACCGATTGAAAGAGAGAGGTTTCAGAATGAGACAGGTTTGACTGTGGTTAAGAAAGTGAAATACCTGGGGATTAATATGACAGCCAAAAATGGGAACTTATTTAAAGATAATTATGAAAAATGTTGGACGGAAGTGAAAAAGATTTAGAAATTTGGTCAAATTTGAAGCTTTCACTGTTGGGTCGTATTGCTGTGATAAAAATGAATGTATTGCCTAGAATGCTGTTTTTGTTTCAAACATTGCAAATTGTGGACAAGATGGATTGTTTCAAGAAGTGGCAGAGAGATATTTCTAGATTTGTCTGGCAGGGCAAGAAGCCCAGAATAAAATTTAAGATATTAACTGATGCAAAGGAAAGGGGTGGATTTGCCCTGCCAGACTTTAAACTTTACTATGAATCAGCAGCTTTTTGCTGGTTGAAAGAATGGCTACTTCTTGAAAACACAGACATTTTGGACTTAGAAGGTTTTAACAATGTATTTGGATGGCATGCATATCTGTGGTATGACAAGGTCAAAGCGCATAAAGCATTTAAAAACCATATTGTCAGGAAAGCATTGTTTAATGTTTGGATAAGATACAAGGATTTATTGGAAAACAAAACCCCAAGGTGGCTGTCACCGATGGAAGCGAAAGCTCTGAAAAGGCTCAATATGGAGGCCAATTGGCTGAAATATTGGGAAATTTTGGAACAAGATGGAGATAGACTGAAACTGCAGAGTTTTGAGAAACTAAATAATAATGTGCGTGGCTGGCTTCATTATTATCAGATAATGGAGGCATATAATTTGGACAAGAAAATTGGCTTCCAGGTGGAAAAATCAAAATTAGAAACAGAACTGTTAGAACCCAAAACTAAGAGTTTGTCAAAGATGTATAACTTGCTGTTGAAATGGAATACTCAGGATGAAACGGTGAAATCTGCACAAGATTTCACTAAATGGGCACAAGATTTTGGACATAACATTATGTTTGCTGACTGGGAACAGTTGTGGACCACAGGTATGAAGTTTACGGCATGTAATGCTTTAAGAGAGAATATTATGAAAATGATATACAGGTGGTACATGACCCCAGTCAAGCTTGCAAAAATTTATCATTTGCCCGATAACAAATGTTGGAAATGTAAAGAAACTGAAGGTACATTCTTTCACCTTTGGTGGACGTGCCCAAGGATTAAGGCTTTCTGGGAAATGATATATAATGAACTGAAAAAGGTATTTAAATATACCTTCTTGAAGAAACCAGAGGCCTTTCTCCTGGGCATAGTCGGCCAATTGGTGCCAAAGAAGGATAGAACCTTTTTTTATGTATGCCACAACAGCAGCAAGAATACTCATTGCAAAGTATTGGAAGACACAAGATCTACCCACTCTGGAAGAATGGCAGATGAAGCTGATGGACTATATGGAACTGGCAGAAATGACTGGCAGAATCCGAGACCAGGGAGAAGAGTCGGTGGAAGAAGATTGGAAGAAATTCAAAGACTATCTACAGAATTATTGTAAAATTAATGAATGTTAGAATGATGTTGGATAGAAATTAAGTGGTTTCCAGCTGTAATGCTTTAAGGGATTATGAAAAATGGGTTGTTAATAGGTAAAAATTTAACGTTACTATTTTAAGACTAAAGATTAGGATAAATAAAGAGGGTAAGGATTTGCTGAACCAACAAATTGAACTGGAATACGAAAAAGGGAGGTATGAGGAGGTCCGGGAAACAAGCTAAAGGAAAACAAGCAATGGAAAATCTGTGTGTTTTTAACTATTTTTATTTTGTATTTTTGTTATTCTTTTTTCATTTTTATTGTAATACTTTAAAAAAGCTTAATAAATATCTTATAAAAAAAATATATGGTGGAACCCTCCCTATGGACTCCCCTGATGAGAAAGGATCATCTAGCCACCTTACTAGATGCTTTGACGGAGTAAAAAAATGTTTCTTTACGTGGGATTTGATCTGAATGGTGGCACCATTCATTTCTTAGATGCCATGGTCTGTCTGATCTTAACACTGTGAGGTTTTTTGTTTGTTTGTTTTTAAAAAATCATTTTAATGATTTTAATATTCCAAATATTTAAACATTTTGCTGTTCAGTCAGCCTGAGAGCTACTTTTGTCTAGCTGGTGGCATATGATTTTTAGACTAAATAAATGGCTAAATAAAACTTCCCAGTTCAAATGGCATTTTTGCTCCATTTATTTAAATGGAGCTGAGTTCTAAGTTAGTGCACTTGCATTTGCAACTTTAACCTATGCCCTTCACAAGCATGATATTCATAGCATGCCATTAAATGGATACTCTTTAAGTGGATACTCTCCCCCCCCACCCGCCCCCGTTCTCATATTCCTTGAATATGGCTATGAGCAGTGCAAATTAGTGCTCATTAGGACACGGGTGACGCTGTGGTTGACGCTGTGGTCTAAACCACAGAGCCTAGGGCTTGCCGATCAGAAGGTCGGCAGTTCAAATCCCCATGACGAGGTGAGCTCCCATTGTTTGGTCCCAGCTCTGCCAACCTAGCAGTTTGAAAGCATGCCAAAAAGTGCAAGTAGATAAATAGGTACCACTCTGGCAGAAAGGTAAATGGCTTTTCTGTGTGCTGCTCTGGTTTCGCCAGAAGTGGCTTAGTCATGCTGGCCACATGACCCGGACGCCGTCTGCAGACAAAAACGCCGGCTCCCTCGGCCAGTAAAGCAAGATGAGCGCCGCAACTGGACTTAACTGTCAGGGGTCCCTTTACCTTTTTAGGACCAGTAGGGCAGAAAGCAGGGAGACAAACAGCAGGTGGCACCAGACTGCCAGAGCAAATAACTAGCAGAGCTGGAGGCAATGTGAGGCAGAGCCAACTAGCTCTGCTTTTGCCCCCATATCCCTCCCTGTCAAGCTCTAAAAACGCAGCACTGAAACTAAGGTGGAGAAGACTGGCAGCCAGCCCTTCTCCCTACACTGGCTGCAAGGAAGGAGGTAGGCAGCTGGGAGATGACTGAAGGCAGAGTGAGCTGGTGAGGCTGCAGTGCCTTTCTTGCCTCCCCTGGCTCTGAGTGCACGAGAATTAGAAGGCAAATAAAGATCGATTCATGTGAAGAGAGATTAAAGAAAGAGGCATTTACTGAACCAGAAAGCAGTCTATGTCTTTAAAAAATAATAATATTAAAATGTCGTGATCTCCTGAGAAAAGACTATACCTTGGGAAGCAAAGTTGGCATCCTCTTATCTGGAGCAGTCTCTGGTGGAAGCTGATTATTGCACTGTTGAGAATCTGAGCGGAAGAAACGTACAAGGACTACTGAGAACAGTGCAATGCAGTTATTATTAATTTGCTGCTAAGTAACAGCTCATGGGCTGTTAATGCAAAGGGGCTTGCCATATGGACGGCATTAAATGATGCACCTGGAGAACATGGGAGGTTCCATTGCACCCAGCGCTTGGTAGCTTTTAATTGGACTTCTGCACTTAGTTTCACTTTCTATATGAAAACTCTGAATGGTCTAGATCAGGGATGGGAAAGCTGTGGCCCTCCAGCTCTTGTTGGACTACAAGTCTCTCTATCCACTGTTAGCCATGCTGGCTGGGTCTGATGGAAGCTAGAGTCCTACAACACCTGGAGGACACTCGGTTGGCTGTCCCTGCCCTAAAAGCATGGAACTGGCAGGGGAGCATCATCTTTGGATCTCAAAGCTTGAGTACTGCAGTGGTAAAGGCATTGCTTAAGGCAGGGGTAGCCAACATGGTGCCATCCAGATGTTTTGGACCACAGTTCCCATCAGCCCAATTCAGCAATAGCCAATGCTGAGAGCTGACTAAGACGCCTGGAGGGTACCACGTTGGCAACCCCTAAGTTGAGGAAAGCTATGTATAATTATTTAAAGCAGGGAGGACAACCTCTTGGTCTTGCAGATCTTACTGGACTCCAGCTCTCCAACAGTTTGACTTCACCTCCGGAGGCTTTTATTGCCTCCCGAGACAGATGGATGCCAAACACAAACCCTCTCTCATAACCTCTGACTGTTGGCCATGCAGAGGATATGGGGCAAAGCTGAAGGAATTGGAAATAGTACAGAAAAAAGGAGCGATGGTGGAAATCCAATGTGGTGTAGTGGTTAGTGTGTCAGACTGCGACCTGGAAAATCACGGTTCAAATCCCCACTCGGTCATGAAGCTTACTGAGTGACCTTGAGCCAATCACTGCCTCTCAGCCTAGCCTTCCTCATTGGTTTTTTTTTGGGGGGGTGTTAAATGAGGGAGGGGGTTAGAAACACCCCCCCCACCTTGAGCTCAATGGAGGAAAGTTGGGATATAAAGGCACTAATTAATTCTAAACTGACTAGTGAAACCTTAATTGATTAACTATATAAGCCAGAGATCGATTAAATAGTACAAGTTTTCTGAAGGGGGGAAAAAAGGTTTTTGATGATGCCCATTTCTTACACTAGACATCCTCTTTGATGAAGGATTCCATCCTGCATGTGAGGGAAGGAGGAGATGTTTCTTCTGGGCTGGTGCTTGCGGTCTCCAGCTTCTGTAAGTACTTTCAGAACCAGTGTGGTGGTGTGATTACAGTGTTGGAGTAGGATTCGAGGGACCCAGGTTCAAGTTTACTGAGTGACCTTGGGTTGGTCACTATCTCTCAGCCTAACCTACCTCATAGGATTCTTGTAAGGATTTGAAAAATGAGGTGTGTGGGGAACAATATACACTCAGCTCAGTGGAGAAACTTTGGGATATATAACTGTAATAAAATAAGCAAAAGTAAATATAAGTAAATAAGTAAAAATAAAAGCTCAGAGAATATTTTGCATGATGAGTTGGGGGACATTTTCTGCCAGTTCAAATGGTTTTTAATCAATTATCTTGCTTATTAATCTGTGAAATGCTGCAACCCTAATTATAAATCCCTGAATCTCTGGTCGCCTCCTATGTGCATTTTCAGAGAAGTCAAAAGAGCAACAGCAGTTTATCTCAGTCTGGCCCCTTTTGAATGTTAATTTTAACAAAGAAGCTGCAGTAAACGAAAGTGGCAATAAAAACAGCAGCATTCAAAGTTCGTAAAGTATGTAAATACAGCCAGTTCTCTCTCATGCTGTTCTTTGGCAATATGCAATGCTCCCAAGAGTTTGATATTATTATTATTTCTGCAAAAGGAAATCTTATACAAGGCTGGATACCCAATTTTAAAACTTTTAAATGACTTTTAAATGATAACCCTTAGAACACATCATAAGTACTTCTTTTTTTTAAAGTGTGTATTTGCAGGCAGATTTGTAAGCATTTTAGTCTCCTCTGAGAACTGGGATGGATTGGACTTTAATAGGTCCATCCATCCATACCCACGAGTGCACACCTTGGCTAATAACCTATGCACTGTTCAGGCAGTGACCAAGTGTCTATAATAGCTTTCTTTGATGGCTCATAACTGTGAAATTCCCTTCCTCTGAAGAATCTCCAAAATCTGATTCCTCTCCCCCTCCAGAATTGATGCAAGTATTTATTATTATTATTTGAGCTAGTGAGGGTTAAACAGATATGAGGAATTTACATTTGTTAGGCTTTAATTTGATTGATTTTGATTGTTAGTTATACAGTATTCATTGAATTAATTATCTGTTCATTTGCTTTTCTGTATCCTGGTCTGGGAAGAATGGGCAGGCTAAAAATCCAAACTGAAATAAATGCATTCACAAACTAAATAGGTCAGGAGGCATCATCAGAGTCAGACACTCTGAAGTCCACCAAGTTCAATAAGTTTTTAAGGATGCTTGAATTCTTTGCTGGATTGTAGCCAGTGGCCACTTATCTGAAAGTATAATCTGAAAATTGACAAAACTTCAAGAGTTGTGCACATTTCCAGATTTTACGTAAGTTACATTTGATTGATATTTTAAAAAACAAACAGAGCAGAGCTCCTCTAATATTCTTTGAAATTCTGGATGTAAACACATTATGGCTTGCATCCAAAGTTACTCCTCCATCCGTGTTGAAAGAGGTGAGGGTTGATTTCCATCAGGATCTTCTGCCATGGTCCATCCACCTCCAGGGAGGTATGCAGAGGGGGGAAAGCAGAGGGAAAGCCATGTTCTGTGACCATAAACTCTTGTTCTACTTATCTAAGGAAAGTTAGGATCCAAGTTCATGGGTAGGAGATTGTTTTATTAAATGAATATGTGCTTTGTTTTGTTTTTACTGCTTGAAAGTCTGTTTCAAGGTGTTTTCCTCTGAAAAATCTGAGAACAGAAACCACCCACCCACCCACCCAAATCTACTTGCTGGGACATGGGGGGTGGTGTGGTCTAAACCACTGAGCCTCTTGGGGTTGCCGATCAGAAGGTTGGAAGTTCGAATTCCCATGACGGGGTGAGCTCCCATTGCTCTGTCCCAGCTCCTGCCAACCTAGTTCAAAAGCATGCCGGGGCCAGTAAATAAATGGGTACCGCTGTGCTGGGAAGGTAAACAACATTTCTGTGCGCTCTGGTTTCTGTTAAGGTAGCCCGTTGCACCAGAAGCGGTTTAGTCATGCTGGCCATATGACCCTGAAAGCTGTCTGTGGGAAAATGCCGGCTCCCTCAGCCTGAAAGCGAGATGAGCGCCGCAACCCAATAGTTGCCTTTGACTGGACTTAACTGTCCAGGGATCCTTTACCTTTATCTTTTTTACCTGCTGGTATTTCCAAGATAAGTCCATGAACTTCTGGGTGGGGCACTTGCATTTAAAACCTCAAGAAATGCAGATAGTGTGTTTGCTTAAAAAGTCCTTTCAGCTAGCCATCAGTGCGACTGACCACAAAAGAAACATGGAGACACCTACATAAACAATATGATTTCAAGTCAATGCACATTTAAACCAATCCATGTAGTGAACATTTCATTTCCACACTGTTCTGCTATCTATTTCCTTACACAGAATCCATAGCCTGGAGCCCTGGCACCAGCTGTCAAGGAGAACTCCCTCTGAGGCTGCCTCTAAGCACACATGCCAAAATAAGTTCCACAGGAAATGAATAGGATTTATTCTCACGAAATGTGTTTATGATAAAGATGAAAGAGCTGTGTCCTGCAAACATCATCCAGTGATTTATTTTTAGCTAAGGTTCAGATGTCAGGCTAAGAAAACCTTCCACGTGGGTGTTCTATTGCTCACATTTTTGCCCCACTTTTCCTCTAAGCAGCTAGGGCTGGTTTCCCCCTATTCTTTATCTTCACAACAACCCTGTGAGGTGGGTTAGGCTGAAATACAATGAATGGGCAAATATCATTCAGGTCTCCTTAGCTCTTAGCCCACTGCCCTGACTATCCTATATAGCTGGTGAACTGTTGGTGCTTCTAGTCTGACCTCATAAGGCTGTTCAAAGAACCATGAGAACAACAGACACTTGTACACAAGCTACTTTTGCTTCCAGAGAAAAAGTGTCCTGGTTCACACATGGCATTACACCATGGTTTATTAAACCATGGCTTAGTGTTTGAACCCAGCCCAGTAGCTTAACTATGTTTTATTAAGTGTTGTTAAAGGTAACTTCTTAACCAATGTTTGTAGCTGGTTTATAAAACCATAGTTAACATTTAACCTCAGCTTACTGTTATGAGAAAATCCAGACCTCCTCTTTAACCATGTTTAAGGAGTTATCACCACCAAAAGGCTAGAGAGCCACAAGTGAAGGAAGGGCATCAAAAAATTCAAATCACTCTCAAAGTTCAGCTGCTGTGTGGGGTAAGAAGTCAATAAGTGATTGTCTGCCAGATGCTTCAGCTTTAACTATGGTTTATTGACTATGCTTCATGTTAACTATGGTTAACACTAACCATGGTTAGCATACGTGCGAATCAGGTTAATGCCCTAGATTAATTTGAGCCTAAAAACATTTTCCCCAAACTAGCTAGGAGCTATTTGTGTACAGAAGTGGGCTTCTGTATTACAAATTTACCTGGATAGATAGTGAATTGCATGCACAAACTTCGGCTCTGCTTAAATGTTGACAAATTTCCATTAGGAATAAAATAAAAATGCAAATTGTTGAAGAAATTAGAGAACTGACTTTAAGATTGAAAAATGAGAAACTTAGAGAAACTTAAGAGAACTGAAATGGTCATCACTAGCTGCAGCTGCATTGCTGGGTCAAGTCCATGAAGGAGGGCACAGGGTGAGGGGACTGGGAATAAATCTCTTCCTTACTCTCAGGCAGCCATACTTTAGAATGGTCAATGCTCAGCTGAGCTACCAGAAGCCAAATAGAATAGTTTTGGTGGCCAGGTGGAACAGCCAGTTAGTTGCCACTTGATCATCTCAGGATTTCTGGATTAAACACTAGAAGTTATGAGAACAGGCTCTATACAAGTAGCTGGTATATTACATTGTATTTGCAGCAGTGAAGCCTTGCTAAGAGCATGGTATTTGCTGGGAAGAGACAGTGAGATAAAGGTGGACTATAAGAGAGAAAGAGAAGCAGTGGATATAGCACAGTACATTTTATGTGATATTGTGAGGATGGTTTTAGGAAGAAGGAGAAAGAGTGCTGCCAGGTTCCGGAAATTGGAAGAGGAAGGGTGTAGTGTAGGAGGCAGGGGGGAAATAGGGAGAATCCTACTGGAATTCCAGGAGAATGTGAGATCTGGGATAAAAAGAAGGAATATCAGTTTTAGGAAGGAAGGAGAAAAGGTGGGGTTGAGAATTAGGAGGGGGATAATGGAATTCTAGGAAGGAGAGAGAGAGCAAGAATGAGGTTGGAGTTAGGATCTTGTGAAAAATGAGATGTCAGGAGAAGGAGAAAGAAGTAGGGTGCGGGTGATGATATTTGAAGAATTAACAGTAGGAGGGAGCAGGGAAAAATGGGTTTGTGAGTTGGGACCTTGGAGGGAAGTGAGATCTGAAGGAGGAAATAATGGGGTTGCAGTGGGTGAGAGAAGTGGCAAGGGGCAAAGTGGAGGAATTATTTCACAATTTATTGATTTATATGGGGCTGGGTTCATAGGTTTCTACAGGCTTCTAGTAATTTTATTAGGTATCAGTAGGTATCCATTAAGCTTTTAAATGAAATATAATGAATTTTATTCATCAGTCCATATAATTCCAAAGTTGCCTATATTTTTAATTACCTCCTCCCTTATCAAATATCATGGAAATGAAATATTTGGGTAGCATTGGGCATGCATGAGCTTAAATTTATTTAACAGTGCATTCATGTCCTCATTTTTCCATAAGGTAAAACTAGTGCAAGATATTCATCTTTACGTATTACAGCCATCCTGTCCTCCCTCCCTCGCTCCTCTTAAACAAAAAACCTTTAGGTACCACATAAGCACCAGTAAAGTGCCACAATGAAGCATTTAAGACCTTTACACGGAAACAACACGCTCATTCGACACCACGAACGTGGCTACATGTTAGCCTATTCATTGGTGCAAAGTGTCACCTCTATCCTTGTCTCCAAAAGAAAAAGCCAAATAGAAACTTTGTGGCTGCACACACTTTTGAATGCTTTAATATGAGAGCAACCCTCTCATTACGCGGGACGATTTCACCTCCGAAGGGGAAGCTCAGCAGCTGCTAGAAACCCTTCGAAGGAGACTATTATTATTATTATTATTATTAATCATCGTCATCATCGACGGCGATGATTATTGCTGCTCCTGGCACCGAGACAGCGCCGGGAATGCAAGATTATTTCCGTGAGATTAAGTCTGGAGTCTGAGGGAGGCTCTTTTTTTGCGTTTGGCGGAGGGCGCTGGGAGGAATAAAGCCGCCTGGGTCTTTAACTTCTAGGATTCAGGGTTGTTAAGAGCTCTTTCCGCGCGAGTGGGAGACCTCCCAGCGCAGCGCCTCCCCTCTCTCGCCTCCTCTCGAAAAGCCTCTCCAGAGCAACGGCTTCTCCTCGCCGGAGGCCGCCTGCAAATGGTTAAGAGGGCGCCTGGGCGAGGGGTTGGGCCTGGGGGAGCGAGGCGAGGGGTGCTGGTGTGGAGAGCACCCTTCTCCAACGAGCAAGGACCTTCCCACTTCAGGCTGCGGCTGGGGGAGGAACTCTCTCGCCTTCGCCTTCCCTGCCGTCGACTGGAGCACACCCTCCAACGCCACCCCTCTCTCTCGCACACCCCCCCACCCTCTCCATTCTCCCTCCCTCCATCTCCTCCTCCCTCTCTGTCTCCCCCGGCCTCCCTTGCGCTCTCGGCACGCACGCACGCACAGAGGCAAGTTAATGGGGAATAAAGAGGCTGGAGTCCGCGGCAAGTGCCTGCTCCTTACAAATGAGCCTCCAGGCAGCTTTTCCCACCCACCTACCCACCGCCCCCCTTGCTCCTCCACAGCCGCCGCCGCCGCCCGCCCCTCCGTCGAGGAAGGAGGGGCGGCTAAACGTGGCCTCTCGCTGCGTTGAGCGCGCAGGAGGAGGAGGAGGCGTGGGGGAGGGGATTGGAGAGGGAGAGCGGAGCAGTGGCCCGTGCGCGCCTCTTGTTCCCGGTGTAATTTGCAGCCAATCATCAGTAGGTGTCCACATCCCTGCATCCTCCTCACCTCCCTGGCGCGCCTCAGCCTCTCCCTCTCCCCCCCCCCCCACGTCTCTCTTCTCTTCTCTTCCCTCCCCTCCCCCAGCAACCACACACACGCAGGCACACACACAAACAGAGAGGGGGAGAGCGAGGGGGAGAAAGAGAGAGAGAGACTCCCCCGGCTGCGTCCCTCCCTCCCTCGCACACAGCGACTGGAGAGACGGACGGAGCGCAACGCGCAGGAAGAGGAGACCACCGAGCAGCACAGCCAAGCGCTCTCACACATTCACGCGCGCACGCACACACACAGCACACACACACGGCGCACACACACAAGCGCGCGCGCACACACACACATTCAGTGCCTGCTCTTTCCTCTCTCCCCCTCCCTTCCCCCCTCCTCCTTTCTCTGCAACAAGGAGAGAGAGAGAGAGAGGAGGAAAAAAAAAAAGAAAGCCACTTACAGGTATTTGCTTAGTGGATCGGCGTCTTTATTCCTTTCCCACCGACCCCCCTCCCTCATCACCGCCCTTTTACAGTTTGTTTACAAGTATCAAAGTTGTAATTGAGGAGCTGCCAAAGACACATCGGGATATTCTTCCTTTTTTTTTTCTTTTTTCTTCTTTTTTTCCACCCCCTTCTTCTTTGTGTTAGGGAGTGATGTGCAACTAATTAAAGACAGACAGGCGGGTTAAGCGTCTGCAAAATCCAAGTGTCCCCCCCAAAAATACAGAGACTGGTAAGTGATTGTTTTTGGATCTCTCTCCTTCCGCCCCCCCCTTTCGTTCTCTTTTCTTTCTTTTTTCTCCCTTCCCCCTTCCTGTTATCTCTCCTCTCCTCTCTCCCCCCCCCCTTCTTGTGGTCCGCTGGGGTTGTTAAAGTAGATGAATGCTAGGCTTGGGCAATAAAAGGCGCTGCTGTATTAATTTATTAATTAATCTGCACCAGCCCCTCCTCCTGAATGTTAAATATGACCTTTGATCTCTCTGTCTCTAGCAGGAGCAGATATGCAATATTGAACATGTACAGTCACATTGGCTTAAGCAGCGAGTAGATCGCAGTCTCTTTAGCTGCTTTTAATTATCCGGGGTTTTTTTTTATTAAAAAATAAAATAAAAAAATCGCACGATATTTTCAATTTAAAAAAGAAAAATCAATAGCTGCGTCTTAGACACCTCTTTCGCGCTCCAGAGATGCATCGATTAAACAATAATGACCTGGTTGGTGGGCACCATAATTTTCTCGTTTCTGGTAGCAGTAAACCTTGAAAGGGGATTTGGTGGTGGCGGTAAGAGAGAAGAGGCTGAAATTGTAGCAGGGGTTTCCTGGAGGGGGGAAAAACATTTAAAATGCAACGAAAATGGGGCATAGACGTGTGTTCTGTTGAGAGCCTATGTGATATTATTATTACTCAAACATTATCACTATCTTTTCCAGTGTGAGTGCATTGCCTATGCAGAACCAGGAAAACTACTTGTATTAAGTAGTTGCTGTTAATGGAAATGAAGTTATACTTTCTTTTCCTTTTTAAAAAGTAGCCTTATTTCATACACTGAATTTTTCTGTGATTAGGTTGTTTTTGTGCGTGTTTTCAGAATAGGGAGAAGACCTCCTTGTTGCAACCAAATCCTTACAAGGAGCAGTGGTTTCAGTTTTTTCCCCTGATGTAAAAATGCAGAGGTGGCTCTAGTGTGATTAGGTCTTTCCGTGATTAAAAGATGCATGTTGGTCCCTATCTGCCAGACAAGGCTGATGTGACTTTTCTTTCTTTCTAGATTTGCTCTCATAATCTGGATTAGTTTACCTAAAACCCTGCTTTTCAGTCTATCCCAGCAGTTAAATGACGAAGTCCCCCCCAAGCTAGTAGGATGGGCTAGAAATGGTTCATTAGTCTAATTATGACTGTAATTAGTATAATTGATAACTATTTTTCAACTGTAGGAATCAGGCATAAAACTGTACTGGGGTCCTTTCTTAGTGTCTCTGGGGGACCTAATATTCTATTTACAAGTGAAAAAAACAGGGGAATTTTGCAAGTAAAAACATTTTTTGGTGGGAGGTGGAACCACATTCTGGATGACAAAGATATATATTGTGTCCAGTTTGGTTTTTGGTTTGTTTTACTTCCTAAAGGTTGGAAGAGTGTACTTCTCCCCGTGTTACAAACTAATACGCCCTCTCTGATATTGGATGGCCTATGTGAAATAAAAACAAAACCCCAGAGTAGGTAACTCAGAGCAAGGGGTATACCTTGCAAATCTTTTTTTAATAAGACTGATAAAGTGCATTTGGGAGGTGGTGCGTGCCTCCTTGATATCTATCTAGATTTTTTTACATAGCGTCCCTGGCTTGAAGGTTGTGTAGCATGTTAAGTGACTGCGTGGAAATCCAGTCCCCTTGCAGCTGCAGGATCTCATACCCAAACCTGTGAAAAAGCCTTGCTTATGTGTGTATAAATATATATCCCCCATCTCAACTCAGTCCCTTTATTATTTACTTAATTTGGGGGGCTGGGCAGGGACCTTGGCTCCCCCTCTACCAAAGAGACCTGGTCTAGGGACCCTGCAAAAGAGCTAGCTGTGATTCAAACTGATGACACCCCCCCCCCCCAATTCAGAAAGCAGTTGCTGCTAATCCTCTAAAGAACCAACTAGGTGAAAACAAAACAAAATCTCGATATTCCGACGGAGGAAGATCGACTCTTGGCGGCATTGTGCTTCCTCCTACTTTTTAACGCCTGAACAGACTTTCTTCTTCTTCTCCTCGCGCTCCCTTTGCTCATCCCTCCCCAACCCCCCGCCTGGTTTTCTCCTCCCGAGCCCGCTGCTCTCCAGCCCCGTCTTGCCCTGGCAACCCGGCTCGTTCACACATTTCCTAAAGCTCCGATGCCCTCTGGTGAGAGGATTGGGAGCCCTTTCCCACCCCTCATTTGCATGTGTTTAGCACTCCGGTTGCCCCTTCTCCCCTGGCATTTGTCAGCCCGCCCTCCCCTCCCTAGCTATTAAAGCATTTACCGCGGGGTGGGATTGGAGGGGGCGGCGGAGGGGGGTGGAGGAGGAGGAGGTGAAGGGAAGGTGGCCGGAGAGCGGAGGAGGCACCGTCGGCTGCTGGGCTGGGATCATGTCTTTATTGATTGTTATGCAAACGAGCTGGGGTGACTGACGGGCCCCGTCTCTCCCCGCAGCGTGTGTTGTGTGGTGTCTTTTGAACACAACAAAACAAAAAACCCTCGCACGCACAGACAGTCCTCTCTCTCGCGCGCGCGGATCCTCTTTCCCTCCTTCTGCGTAGACTTTTCCCCCGAAATGACTTTCTTTCTTTCAGTTGCGACGGTTCCCGGGGAGGACGACGACGACGACGACGATGCAAAGGAAGAGGCTGCCTGAGAAGACTTCGCCGTGTGCCGAGATGCCCCCCCAAGAGGATTAGAGGGCAGCGCTTCCCCCCCTTCCCTCCCCCTGACCCCCCGGGCTACCCAGCACCCGGCCCGGCCCCCCCGACGGCTCCCGTGGCCCTCCTCCCCGCCCTGCCCTTCCCTCCCCTGGCCCTCCCCGGCCCCCCCTTCCTCTCCTCGCCCCCTCCCCCCTCCTCCTCCTCCTCGTCGTCCTCCTCCTTCCCGCCCACCCTGTTGCCCCAGGCCCACCCGCACCCCCACCCTCACCCCCACCACCCCCACCCCCTGGGCACCATGAACACCAACGTGTGCGTGGAGACGGGGCCCACCGCCGAGGCGCCGGGCCTGCCCAAGGAGAACCACCTGCCCGACGGCGCCCTCAACAGCCTTGTGGATTACAACTCGGAGATGGAGAGGTACCGCTCCTTCGCCACCTTCTACAAGACCAACGGCGGCGCCTTCCCGCAGGCGGCCAAGATCGCGCGCATCACCACCCCCATCTTCCCCAGCGCCGCCGCCGCCGCCGCCGCGCGCATCGGCATGTCGCCCTGGAACTGCGACACGGCCACGGCCGCCGCCGCCACCGCCATGCTCTGGGGCAGCGGCGGGGGCGGGGGCGGCGCGGGCGTCGGAGGCCCCGCCAACCCGGCGGCGGCCGTGGCCGGCGGCGTGGCGGCCCGCAAAGCCGCCGCAGCCGCAGCCGCCTCCTCCGCGGCCGCAGCAGCCGCCGCCGCAGCCGCCGTGGTCTCGTCGTCGGTGTCGTCGTCGTCGTCGTCGCTGCACGCCGCCGGCCGGAGCGGCGGCGGCGGGGGCGGCGGCGGGGCCGGAGCCAGCGGCCTGCACCACCGCGGCGACTCCCAGCAGCGCCTAGGCAAGCCGGGCTGCGCGCCGGCCGAGCAGGCCTCGTTGCAAATGGCCAACAACAACTTCCTCTCCACCTTGGCGCCCGAGCACTGCAGACCTTTGGCGGGCGAATGCATGAACAAGCTCAAATGCGGCGCCGCCGAAGCGGAGATAATGAATCTCCCCGAGCGCGTGGGGACTTTTTCCGCTATCCCGGCTTTAGGGGGCATCTCATTACCTCCCGGGGTCATCGTCATGACAGCCCTGCACTCCCCCGCCGCAGCCTCCGCAGCCGTCACAGACAGCGCGTTTCAAATTGCCAATCTGGCAGACTGCCCGCAGAGCCATTCCTCCTCCTCGTCGTCCTCCTCCTCCCTGGGAGCCGCCGGAGGAGGAGGAGGCGGAGGGGGAGGCGGGGGCGGGGGAGGAGGAGGAGGAGGCGGGGGAGGCGGAGGCGGAGGAGGGGCAGGCAACCCTGCCAAGAAGAAGAGGAAAAGGTGCGGGGTGTGCGTGCCCTGCAAGAGGCTCATCAACTGTGGCGTGTGCAGCAGTTGCAGGAACCGCAAAACGGGACACCAGATCTGCAAATTTAGGAAATGTGAAGAGCTAAAGAAAAAACCTGGCACTTCGCTAGAGGTCAGAGGCGATGATTTCTTTCTTCCCAGCCTGCCGCCGTCCCTCGTGAACCCCCTTCCCCCGCCGCTCCAGTGCTTCTTGTCTAGTTTCAAGATGCAGCATCCCTTCTCTGAAGCCTCCTTCAGGTTGTGAGGAGGTGGGGGGAGAGAGAGAGAGAGAGACCCCCCCTGCCTTCTCTCCCTCGGCCCTGCTTGGGCCTCTCCACACACACAACACAGGCGCAAGCCAGCCCCCTAGCCTCCCCCAGCCACTGGTTTTTGGATCGCCCAGGAACCCAGCTTGTCAAAAATAGGGTGGCAGGTCCCCAGGAATAAATCTATGGCAGGGGACTTTGAGGGATTTTGTCCCACTTTTCGTTTATTTTTCTTTTCTTTTGGTCCTATGGAAAAGGGAAAATAAAACAAAACAAGGGTGGTGGTGGGTGGAATCAGGAAGCCCCCTAACTTCTGTTATGTGGAAATGAAAAGAGAAAAGTCTGACATAATCATTTAACATCAGAGAAAAGGATTTTTTTATATATTAAAAAATCATTATATGAAGATTAAAAAAGAGAGAGAAACACTTCTACACAAGTTGAGCTTATTACACTATAAATTGATCTGAACAAATCCTGTATATTTTTTCTGTTGCTATAAAGAGTTCTGTCTGGTGACATGTAAACTATTTTTTACTTATGTGAAACCAATGGTGAAGGGTGAATCTTTTGAAAACCTGAAATATTTTTTAATGCACATGAAGCATTTATTTTTAAGTTTTAAATTGTGGCCATTTGGAGGGACCCCCCCTATTGTGTGTGTGTGTGTGCTGTGTGGGTTTTGTTTCATTTGGAGGTTAGGGCAAAAAACTTTTTTTAAGTTGACCCCCAATTTTACCATTGTCATCAGTTCGGAACAAATTAATAGCTAGCTGATTTTTTAGGATGACTCTTTAGGGGTGACTTGGTGTCAATCAGATGCAAGGAAACATTTGGTGGTAAAGGTAAAGCAGCTGGTGAATTGGGCTAAGAATAACATACTTTTTTTGCAATGCATCCTTACCAAAAAAATTAACCCTTTTGCGGTATGTTTTACAATTTGATAAAAGTACATCTATGACTGAAGTTATTATGTGTGATTGAAATGTATATACATTTATTTTTAAAAAGAATCTTGTCCTCAGAATTGACAATGTATCACAAAGCTGTAAAAGACAAGTTTCCCAGTTTGGTAGACAACACAAAAACAACAGCCAAGAGGGGATGTTGTGGAAATTGCAGTTCATGTATTTAGTCTAGCAGAAAGGGGTGTGGGAAGGGGAAAAAAAAGTGTAAAATGACTAATGGTATTATTTTTAGATGGAGGAAAACAAGAGGAAAGACTTGTAATCATATTTAAACCCCTGTCATTATTAAAATTATAGTGTTGCTGGTTAGATGAACATATCGGAAGAGACTGTGTGTGGCTGGGGAGAGCTGAAATGGTACCAAAAGTTCTTTATAGGCTGAGAGATGTAAAGCAGGGATGAGAAACCTGTGGCCTGAGCAGGGTCAATGGCCAGGTAAGATGGGAGACCTGTAGCTCAATAACACCTTGCAAGGCCACAGGTTCCCCAGTCTTGATGTGAAGTCACCCAAATTAGGAACTTGGTGAGACTCGCAACTGTGACCAACAGGAGTTCTATAAATGGATACATTTCACTGGCATTAAATGTTACCACTAAGTTAAAAGTTCTCATTTAAAAAAACAACCAACTAACACATGATTTTATTATTATTTTTTTACTTTGCCCTTTGCAAGATTGAACTATCCTTTTGGAAAGTTTAATAACTCAGGCTGCAATCCCGTGCACACTTTCCTGAGAGTAAGCCCCATTGAACGCAGTGGACCTTACCTCCGCATAAACATGCATAGACTGCATTTGTCATTCCTTCTTCATTTCCCATTGCTGCTTATTGTGCATATATGATAAATGGATGTCACATCAATGCAACACACTCTGTGGATTACGCTTCAGATGGTAGAAATCGGTTGTATATAGATTTGCCTGTTATTTTTGGTTGCGAATGCACTCCTGTTTATTTCATAGAACATTTCAAAGAATGTATATTGTGATTTTTACAATAAACGGTAAATGCTGGATTTGAACACTAAACCATAACCAAAAATAATTTATTTTTCTCTTCCTGGTAGCAGTAAATGTAATCTCTGCAATTCTGTGATACTTCTCCATAGACAATGTGCCCCCCCCCCCCATTCAGTTAGTTTAGTTATGTCTTTGGTAAGGCTGCAGTCCTCAGCACATTTACTCAGGAGTACGCAACATTGAAAACCATGGGACTTACTTTAGAGTAAACCTAGGGAAGAGAGGGCTGAATGTCCCATTCAGATTAGTTGGAAAACTTTGGTAATGATTGAAGTCCCATTGCATTAAACTGATAGGGAACCTAATCCTATGCATGTTAACTTCGAAGTATATCCCACTATGTTCAGTGGGGCTTATTCCTAAGTAAGTGTGCGTAGGCATTGTGGCCCTAGCAATGAACTAGATGGTTGTCTTGGCAAATGCGTGTTTCCAAACCCATATTTTCTAAAATAATGGGAATGTTGGAGGTAAGGAAAGAGGTGCTTAACCCTTCCTGCACCAGCAGAATTTTGCCTGCAAATACCCTCACCCTGGTTAAGAGAAAGCTGCTTAGGATGCAATGGAAGGGGGTCTGGCAGCAAAATGTGAAGACATAAGCACTTCTTCCTATCCTCTAGTTTTCCTTACATTCCTACAAAAGTGTTGCGAGGTTTGAGACACAGGGCAGGGGCTTCAGGATTCGTTCATGCCTTAGTGGCAGCTGAACATTTTTGCTGGGCTGAGGCCAGGTCTGCTTTCAACAAGTCTGCAATCTTTTGTAAAGCTGCTTGTTTTGTGAACTTTTCCTAAACTTTATAGCCCCACCCCAAGTACTCAGAAATAAGCCCCAATGAATTTAGTTGGCTTTGCTTCCTAGCAACGATGCTCCAAACTATACCATAAAGTACGGTTGTAATGTAGCTTTGGGGATGTAAATCCTGCAGGATTATTGATCTGTCCAATCAATGAGGCAGTGGGTGGAAACTGATTTATGAATGAAGATTTGGCAGGTGTCTCTAGGTACATTTGATGAACTTTCTGTTTGCCAGACAAAGAAAGCCCTGTATCTTCAAAAATTGTCCAAGCATGTCATATGAGATCACTGCATATTAAAACTGCTTAATAGCTCTGGCTAGTAAAAAATGCATGGGTTTATTAGTACTTCCTTAACTTTTTTTGTTGTTGCTTGTCTCCTATTGACACACACACTGTGCTGTTACACCTGAACTAGAAGAAAGGAACCACCCCCTTCTAACTAGTTACCAATAGTCATTCACTTCTGTGGATTGTAGCCATTCAGTCGCAAAGGATATCATTGCATGTGACTAATATCCATATAGGCACATTACTTGCCAGTTAGAAAGAAGTTTAAATCGACTCATTTTCTATTCGAGTTAGGTCCACTATTCCCCCCCCTTATTTCTCCTTTCCCCTTCTTTCCCCCCTTTTTGTTTTAATTGGATAATAAAGAGTGACAGCATGACTGCTTAAAGCTCATGTGCAGCAACACGGGTCTGGTTGTAAGGCAACCAGCTGGAAGCATGTCAGAGACTGACAGGGCCTACAGGACTGAACTGACGCCTCCACAGCGGTTGCAGGTGGGTGAGAATAGTCTCCCCGCTGAACTGGCTTCTCAGGCTGAGATTGGCTCATGGTGTCTGCCAATCAATGCTTGGGCCAGCGGTGAATTGCTGCAGTCTTGACGGGTTGCTGTCTGAAAGGAGGCAGAAAAAGTAGGGCTCTTCAGTTCTGTTGTGTGTTTTGAAAAAGCTCTGAATGGTGTTTCCCAGTTAGCACAAAATGCATCCTACCTTGCCCGGAAAACCTGGACATGCGTAAAATGGAAGCTACAAACAATGTATTCCATCCTCCAGTCGAACTTCTTCCTCCCCTGCTTTTTCTCCTTTGTGTTAATAGAACTTGATTTTAATACAGTTACAGCTCCAAGCCAAGTGTTCTGATGTGCAAGCAGAGACTTTGGTGTACAAACAGAACTATCTGAGAGGAAGGATTTCCTATTCACTTCAATAAACTCTGGATATTTTGCTCACATAAGTCTTTTGCATCTATGAAATGGTCCCCAGCTCTAAAGCAGGGATAGGGAACCTCTGGTCCTCCAGGTGTTGTTGGACTCCAAATCTCATCATCCTTGGCCATTGGCCATGCCAGCTGGAGCTGATGGGGAGTTGAATTCCCACAACATCTGGAGGGTTACAGATTCCCCATCCCTGCTTTAAGCTTGCTGAGTTTAGGATTGGAGCAATGAAGTTCAACACTGCTTCGCATTTGCATCAGCATATTTTCCTGGGATATGGGAACATTGACAATATAGCATGTTTTGTGACACTGTGCTATGGTACACCTTCTAAAGGTATGCAGGAGAAGCAAGTCTTGGGGCTTCTCTTAAAGCCTCTTACCCCTCTCTTTTAATATGCAAATAAGTCCACAAAAGTTTATAGCCACTTTAATTTGTGTTGCTAGCCACATACCTGGGCAATTCACTTGCCCATTGTTTACACATACCAGGGCAAATCACTTGTGTTAGTGGGAGATATCAACTCTCTTGTTCACAGAAAAAGATACTTTTGGTCACTTGGAGGCATTTCTTATAGCCACAAGAAGATCAAAAAGTTTCTATCTTCAGATCTGTGTATTTTATGCATGAACCATAAGCTTTTGAAGAAAGAGTTGCCTCTCTCTCTCTCTCTCTCTCTCTCTCTCTCTGTGTGTGTGTGTGTGAGACACACACACAAATCTGATTTCATTTTTCTTACATAAATCTCACCCAAAGAGCACTTAGTGACTGAGTGATTTTTAAAAATGTAACATAATAATATGAAAATTTCAGTGCATGCAATTAATAGTAGCAAATGCATAAAATAAGATTGATGTCATGTAGAGCCCTGTGTATTCACACCCATCCACAGCGTTCATTTAGATTTACGGTATGTTTAAAAAGGCATAATCATTATTTATCCAGAGAGACTACTTATTTGCCTCCCATTAGTGTACATTAATATAATTTCTACTGTAAATTATAGACTAAGGGGCATGGCCAACATTGCCTCTCTCACACTTTGAAAAATCAAAGGGCCTGCTTCCACTTCGTTTTGATTGCCATTATTTTACATTTTGCCCAATGTTATTGATGTTACCAATAAGACACCCACATTTGCCCCATTTTGCTTTCCAAACCCGTTCCTGTAGTGTAGGACAAAGACAGGCAATCAGGTACTGAGCCATAATGTTTCAAAACAGATTCTTGAACAAAATGATTATGGTCATATTAAACCTCCATGTTGTTAAATATCTAATTTTGGTTATTAAATTTTTCACTATGGCAATTTATTCCAATTATTAAATCTTTTTTAAGGGTTCAGTTCTAAACACACTACAAAAGTAAGCTCCATGATAACTTCCAAATATGTTCCATAGGAATCAATGGGACTGAACTTCCAAGCCAGGATATGACCTCACTTCAGAGTGCATGACCATAGTTTTTTTATTGTTATTAACATCGAGGAACATAACTGCTTTTATTTATACCAGCAAGGTATTTGAAAATGAGTTGACTGAGAACCAGAATTTGACCTACTGACTGAAATGAAAGTAGCAGCAGTCTCTGACCCTTAAAAATGTAGCATCATCTGCTGTAGCCACTAGGGAGGGGAAAGGTCCTGTAGCTGGTGTTACACTGTCTGCTCCTTGTTTTTCTGGGGAGTGGGAAGGTTGTTAATGCAACTCCACTGAGCTCTGTGGATAGGGATCAATTAGGAAGAGTCTCAGAGGGGATATTTCCCCCTTTTGCCTTTCAGTAGCTGTAGATTGCATTCTGTGATGGCAATCAGCTGTGCAGGGAGATTATGGGAGACGAAAATGGAACAGGCTGCTAACATGATTAGAGTAGCTAACTGGAAATCAGCAGAAAAGCTGGTCTGCTTTCTGGCTGCTAGGCTGTGCCACAGGGAGAAAAATATTCAGCCAACACACCTGTATTTGTTTGGTGTTCTGTCTTGATTTGCGTTACTTGAAACCATGTAAAAAGGCAGGTCACTGGAACATAGGGCCTCCTGTTCAGCCTCATATTCCAACATTTTTAGATCATTCCTGTTAGTGAAAGTTTCATTATGGCAGAATGTGCTGCTGTATTGGCCGGATTCTACCCAATTGGGAGGCACTTCCAGATGACCAGTTTATTGAAGAATCACCTTCATTTGTTCGCAGGGCGTTTAGATGACACTGCCTGTTTAATGAGCATTCAATCTGATTTGTTTGCGGGGAGGCTAGAGGATGTTCTGTCAAAGCATTTCTCCGTCATTTTTCTCCTCGCAAAAAGTTATTTTTAGGAAACAGGCTGGTTGTGTAAGAACTCCCATGCAACTATAATGGTAGAGTCTGTCTAGCATGCCCATAGCTCAGTTGGTAGAGCATAAGACTCTTAATCTCAGGGTTGTGGGTTCAAGTCCCACGTGGGGCAAAAGATGTCATCACTGCATGGGGGTGGACTAGATGACCCTCGATGTACCATCCAACTCTATGATTCTAGGAATTTGCTGGTTTGTGATTGGATCCCACCTGGAAATAGTGACAGCCTGGAAAAGCCCTTGGTATTCATCATGGGATTCACAGGTGTGGTGAATCTGTGGTCCTCTAGATAATGTGGGTCTCCAACTCCCATCAGCCCTGACCATCAGCCATGCTGGCTGGGGCTGATGGGTGTTAGAATTCAGCAACATTTGGGGGCTACAGGTTCCCCATCCTTGAGCTAAAATGCATGTACCTTAGCTGTTGTAGAGTTAAGTGTTTTGTCTGTCAGTTGCTAAACCAAACATGGATTGGTGTACGGTTGGGCTCCCTCCCCCCTTAAATTGGATACAATTTCATTGTGAGCAGAGGCAGGGTTTTGTTTTATAAACCACCCAAGTTTCATTTTTGTACTCTTCCTCGGCATTGTGTACAATACGTCTGTTACAATAGTGTGTGGATCCTGAATTAATAAGCAGACTGCAGCCATTTGAGCTCACAGTAGAGCTGTGCAACTCCCTACTTTCAAGGCATATTTTCTGAAATAATGAAGCAATGCTTGTGGCAATTAATGTGATGTTTGTCTCCCTCCTGAATTTAATGGGAACTGAATTCACCCTAAACTTTGACTGCTACCCAGCTTCATCAGGTTTATTATATCTTTTCATGGAACCACTGGATTTTCATTTGTGAACTTGAGATTTCTTTTGAGTTTGGTGGGGGGGGGAATTCAAAAGGTTTTAAATATTGTCATGGGAGTCACTGTGCACCTGGCAATGTCAGACCAATGGATTAAGCAGCAGGATCAGATCTAGAGTCTTTTTGCTGATCAGCTGTTCTAATGGCCCCTTGATCTTTAAAACCCTTAGAGGACTTGATATCCTCTTAAAGACAGCTGAAATTTAATCCCCTCCATTCAGTTTTCTCTTTTCTCACCAATTCCTACGCATGATATTTTTCAACAAATAAAAGCAAACCACAAAAGTACACTGCAGCATGTATAGTTGTGGGTGCATGTACTGTGTATGCATTAGTGATTATAAGTAGGTGTGCAACATGGAAACTTGCCCCCAACAAACCTCTTTGAAGTGAAAAGGAATTTCTATAAGAGTGTAGTTTTGTTTTGTTCTGTTCAGTCTCAGTTAATGTGGATGGAGTTCCTTTGGGTTTGTGCACAGAAAAATGCCAAACTCTTTTCTTCTGCATTCAGAAGGCAATCCAATTTATATACCGAAATATATGAATGTAGATAAGTCCGGAAAAGTTGCTAGCCCACAACAATTTTTAGTAGCTTATCTGCTGGCACATCTGTTAATCAACAGTAGTACATAAATGCCCTGAAAGAAGGAAGACAACTCCCTCCCAATTCATGAAATATTTGAAATACATGCTGAAATTAAATGGATTTTCAGTAGACTACTTTTATAAACTGCAAGCATCCTTCATCCCATTTCAGTAAAACTTCAGAGACTGCTCAGTTGTTCTATAAGCTCGTGTCTAATTTGAAAATATATTATGTACTACCCAAAGTTTAAGTTTACATGTGAATTTAGATTCTTAGAAAAAAGGAAAGACTCTATAAATTAGTGTTGTTTCAAAATGTTTGTCCAGTTCCCCACCATTCTCCATCAGTTAGTGAGAAAAGTAAATGCATTTTGAAATTGTCAAAGGAAGAGAGGAAACATCAGTGAAATTCTTGTCTTAAGTGTGAGGTGGCTGAGGGGTTTTTGTGAGTGTCCTTTCTGCAAGTTCTCTAATGATCTGCACTACTATGCTGTCTTCCTGGGTGCCCACACTTCGGCCAAAGCTCAGGAGAAGACACCATTAGAAAACCACTCTTAAGGTCAGGAAATGTGGGCAGCTGGGAAGACTTCAGAGCACTGGGTGGGTGAAAGTTTAATGGAAGAAAATATACACCTTGCAACAAGCAGGTATGCTCAAAATCCCTTACCTGCTGAAATTCTAAAGGAATTTTAATGCCCCCCAAGAATGAAGCAGAAAAGTGGAAGCTACTTTTGCAGGGGAAGAAAACCTTTTCAAGCAATCAGAGGACAAATTCTGGCACAACACTATTTTAAGCAGTCAGCTGACTGGGTTAGGGTTCAACAATGGATCCAGCATGGCATACAGAGTGCCCCTTCACTATTATAAAATACGATGGTTGAGGAGGATTGTTTAGTGACTCAGACAGTAAATATTATAATATAAAATCTGTTAAACACAATCTGTTCTTGCAGTTTCTGTGTGGTGCGCTGTTACGTGTTTTGAGTCTGTGTCCCGCACCACATTTTAAATTATAATTTTAAACAGTTTAGATTAAGAAACTACTGATATCAGACTAGCTTTAATCAAGTTTGATTTTTTTGTATTTTTTTAAAAGCATTTTCAAACTTTGCATATATTCAAACTTTGTCAAATATGTTGCTGTGTTCTTAAACTTTAATATAAATTTAACATTCGGTTCCATTTTGTAGTCCTGGATGATAGCTTTTTCACCAGAGCTGAAATGCCTTTAGACATAATTCTGGACCATAGCTATTACAAGAGCAAACATAATTTTATCCTGGACCTATGCACTCACTGCATCCCCTTTCTTCTGCCATTTATGGCCATGAGCAGGAGATCGGAAGCTTCTACTTCCATTTTAAATTAACTGCAGTTTAGCATGTTTCCTGAACCCTAAATTGTGGTAACTTTTAACTATGGTTAGTTGAAGCAAGCTAGTGACATAACTAAGGATCTAACCTTGAATTGCTTCAACAAACCATTGTAAAGATAAACCATGGTTTGTTGAGTTTTGCATGACACAAGAAGTTGCTTTTAGTTTTAAGAATAAGTGAAAGCTTCTGAATGGATCCTTCCAACTGTACCAAAGGAGGGGAAGGAGGCTTTTTTCTTATAAGGCTAAACTATGTTTTAGTGCTGTCTGAATGAGACCAATGACTATGGCCACATTCTACAGAAAAAAATTACGGACCTAAATTGAACATAAGCATATGTAGCTTTCTGTGAACCGCACTGTGCTTCTATTGCTTATATTTTGCCAGTCTGGTCTTATGTAAGTTTACTTTGTTCAAAGTAAGTTTCACTGACTTCAATGGGGCAAACTCCCAAGTAAGTATGCATAGGACCGCAGCCTTAGTTTAGACAAACCAAGTTTTATTCAGTGTGTTCAATCTAGGAACATAAGCACATGAAGGAGCCCAGCAGGATGAGACCAGACACTCACATAGCCCAGTAATTTGTTTTCACAGAGGCCAACCAGAAGCCTCTAAGAAGCCAATAAGCAGGAAATTAGCACAAAAGCCCTCTCCTCAGTTGTGATCACTGGCAACTGGTATTCAGAATTGCTCTGCCTCCTATAATAAAGTCTTCATAGCTGGTATGAATTTGTCTAAGCCCCTTTAGAATCCATCCAAGTTGCAGGCCATTACTATCTTGTGGTAGTAAATTCCACAACTATGCTGTGTGTGAAGCATATGTGATATTGTATCTGTTTCCTTTACTGATTGGAATTTGCCTCACTTTGTGCTTGTGACGCTTATATTTGGAGTTTGCTGTAAATTAGGTACAATTTCCTTTATCCAAATGCCCAGAGGGTCACCAGGTACCCCAGACAGAAGTATGAATGGAGAGAATTGTTCTTTCTGCAGATTAACATTCTTATGACTGTTTCCTTTCCAGAGATGCAGAAACTGAGATTTTCAGTTTGTTTGGAATATTCATATCACCTATATGTTTAAAAAAGTTTCATTCATTTCAGACAGTGCATGGACTTCAGAAGCTGCATGTGTCCCAATAATTAGACATAGCGGACAAATAAGACATTATAATTAACACTGTGTCACTTTCAGTTCAAGTGAGTGCTAACCCCACCAAAGTCAGGGTTTTGTAACTTTGATGCAAAAAGTGGAGTGGCATTGGTAAACATCCTTTCCTACATAAAATGTGGGAAATAAACACAGGGTTATATTCAACTAATTTATACTCAGTGTAGATCTATTGAAATGTGTAGCTGTGATGACTATCTGAAGCCCATTAATATTTATGGGTCTACTGTGAGAGTCAGTGTGGTGTAGTGGTTAAGAGTGGTGGACTCGTAATCTGGTGAACCGGGTTCGCGTCCCCCACTCCTCCACATGCAGCTGCTGGGTGACCTTGGGCTAGTCACACTTCTTTGAAGTCTCTCAGCCCCACTCACCTCACAGAGTGTTTGTTGTGGGGGAGGAAGGGAAAGGAGATTGTGAGCCGCTTTGAGACTCCTTCGGGTAGTGATAAAGTGGGATATCAAATCCAAACTCCTCCTCCTCTTCTTCTTCTACTGTGAGTAAATGTTAGTTGAATGCAACTCATAACATGATCCACTCATCTCTTCTGCTCATAGAAGGACTGTGGATGTTGCCAACTAAGCAGATGAGGGTTGCATGAGAAAAACGACCCCAAATCCAGACATACTGTTAAGTTTGCACAAGTTATTTGCTTTGCACAAATGCTTAAGACTTTTTAATGGGCCACTAGATTTTTAAAAAATGTTGTAGCAGGCACGGGGAACTTGAGGCTTCCAAAAGTTGTTGGACACCAACTCCCATCAACCCCAACCAGCATGACCAGTGATCAGGGAGTGATGGGAGTTGTCATCCAGCAATATCTGGAGGACCACAGGTTCCCCATCCCTATTTTACAACCTATGTATTCCTTATATGCCATTTTTCTCGTATTGATGCTGCACTATGAGTACCCCATTAGCTTGCATAAGCATTCATAGAACATCAGTAATATATTCCTCTGTCCATTCATGTTTCTTTGGATCCAACCCAATAGCAGCCTTATGTGATATTTGGCAAGATAGACCAGTGTGTGTGTTTGTTGGACCCAAACTGGTTTTCTACGTTCTTAGGAGTGGTTAAACCAGTTAGTTTACTTCTTTGAGTTAATCTGGATGAAAGTTACAGGATTAATTCTTAAGAGTCTTCTGTTATTTTAGAATGCTATCTTTTCTTCCATTTTTCTTCATTAACGTTTGCAGGCTGCACACAGTTTTATTTATTTGTTTTGTTTTGTTTATTAAATTTCTATACCTCCTTTCACCCAAAGATCATAGGGCAGTTTACAGTATATAACACAAAAAATATATAGCATAGTAACAAACAAAAACAATACCCAGTTTTAAAGACCATAGGTTTATTTTATGTACAATTCCCACTGATATTTGTGGGATTCACACATAGCTGACTGGGAAGAGACTGGCAGCTGAGGAAGCACAAACACTAGTAAATTTCAACATTCCTATCCTTTTAATTACTTATAGAAGAGCAGAACTTGGTTGATCTATTTAGCAGTATGCAAAATTTACTGAGTTCTCCTCCCCAAGTCAATGGATGGTTTGCTTAAATAAGCAAAGAAGTCTTGACTGTACTGTAGTGAATTGGAAAGCCTTCCCATGTACTATACAATATATTTGGCTTTTTATAAAGTTGTGCACTTCAAAGTTGTGCACTCTGAGCTGATCTGCTTACTAAAGTCCCAGTGTTTTCAATAAGACTTATTTCCAGGTAAGTGTGCATAGGATTGCAGTGTGTGGATTTTTAAAAATATGTGCTAAACTTGGCCTTGGAGTTGTTTGAGATGTGAGGGGGTTATTATTTTGTAAATTGTAGCTGTGCAATAGGCTGCTTCAAAAGAGAACACTTCTTATCAAGATCGTTGAAACCAGAGATACAAGTTATCAATGAATGACAATTTTTGTCTGGGACTTAGCGGGGAGAAAAAGACTTAACCCCTGGCTCCACTGCTTAGGCTCCAGGTTGCTCAGGTCCCCCTGCAGTTGCTATTTGCATGACAAGCTGCATTCTGGCAATTAACCTCCATATGGTTTGGCCCTAAATAGATCAAGTGGCTCCTATTCAACATTCATCCTGATTTGCTTGCACTAACCTTATGCCATGCTTAGATGGTGTATGGTCTTCACTAAGCGTTTTTTGGGCTAGATGTATGGCAATGAGCATTAATCATGCATTCATCCTTTTTGCTTGCAGGGGGGTTACATGTCTTCTTGTTAATCATTTGTTCATCCCACCCTTTTCAGTGCATTTCACTGTCACTTTTCAAACTGCAAGAAGTTCATTTATTAGAAAAAGTGAATTTGTTGTGTTAAGGCAACAGAGCACTTTATTCCACTTCAAATGCATAAATTTAAAGTTCCAGTGTGCACATGAAGCCTTCCTGCAAGACAGTGAAGGCTTTATAAGCAATAACACACAGCAATGATGATTAGGTATTGTTGGCTATGTTCCTTCTGGAGTTGTTTCACCCAGTTACATATGCTACTTCGAAACACTACAAAAGTAGCCACAATGTATTATCCATTCTTATCCATGACTGATTCGCAACATGTTGTGGGTGGAATAACAAACCAAATTACCACTTGTAGAGAATAGAGTTGAATAGGGCTAATGAACAGAGATGGTCCAAAGGCCTCTACAATTGTTTGAAGGTGGGTAAAGGATCAGACATTTCACTGCTCCAAGGAAACATGGGAACTGTAGTAAGGAAACAGTTCATGGGGTGGGTCAGACCCCAAAATTGTTGAGATTTTTCTAGGAACCCCCCCCAAATGCTGAGATTTTTAAAAGTTGTTCAGCTTTTTTTTCTTTTCTTTCAAAAATGCAAAGAATACGAGATTTTTCAATTGACAAAGTGCCACCTTTCGGAAATTCCAGATGTATGGCAGCCCTACACTAGACCAACATCCTGGCATATAGGGGCACAGTTGCTTACCGTGAGATGGAAAAGCAAGGCATTGGGAAAGTTGGTGCAGTGCAAACACACTGGCAGGAGTGCTAACCTCCCCACCACCTTGTCTTTCCAGTAAACAACAGCAACCCACCTGTCAGGAAGTGTAGCAGCCCTGCCACACCCCATGACCTGCTTCTGGTGAGGACATTAGGAGTTATTCTTAAAAAGATTTCTATCCTTCACATACAATTAAGTCCCTCTTTACACTTAACTTGTATTCAGTACCTGCTTCTACACCAGTCCAGATATGCACAAAAACTTCCACACGTTTTGTTGGTCTGTATATTTGTGGATGTCTAGTCCCTTGGAAAGTGCATTGTCTTTGTGTTATGTGATACATACCAGGATGAACCAGCAGGCCAGAACTTTTTATACATATTTGGACCAGCATGGAGTCACTACAGAGGTGACAACATCCATATTTGTACAGGTACATATAAAGAGGGTCTTCGATTTCAATGGCTCATTGGCTGTATCCAGCCTGCTTGAAATTGGCTTGCAGTCTTGGTATGTGTTTTACACCCTAATTCAAAAAGGGAAAGGTGTTGGCAAATTCTGACCAGATAGAGCCACTGTCTTGCTGCCAGCCCCATTGCCACCAACTCGTCAGCTCAATGTAGGGTTGCCAGGTCAGAAGAATCCCAGACTTTCAAGGACCAAATCTGAGACGTAGGAGTAGTCCTTGCTGATGTCATGGGGGCTGGCCCTGGTGATTCTTCCTCTGCACTTTCTCCCACCACTGAGTCCTGGAGACAGAGGTTAATTGGGAGAGAGCAGGAGGGAGTGGAGTGGGGGAGATAGTCTGCAATGATTTGCAGCCAGCTCCTGACAGGCTGAAGCTTGCAAGCTACACACATAGTCTTCTTAATAAAAAAAGAGATTTTATTTTTTTTGCCCACCTGCAGATTCAAGCCCTCCTCCTGCCTCCTGGAGTGGTTCAGGCAAACCTGGAGACTTCAGCTCAGGCCTGGAGATCTGGCAATCCTAGCTCAATGTGCTTTCTTATTTGCTAGCCCTCCCATAGTTCTTTCAAGGAGCATCTGAGACAAATGTAAACATGTAATCTCCACCAAGATTGTGGAATCTCCCTGCTCAGCAGGATACCTAAGCCCCCTCAGCAGGGGCTTAGGTCCTAATATCTATTTCTATTTTCTTTCCTCTCTTGTCCTGGAGCAAGGTAGTTTTGGAAGAGAAACAACTTCTTACACGCCCATGTTGCTGGGGACCCTAATCTCCCAAGGGGTGGTTATTTGGGCTATGTTTATTCAATCATCTAACTCAGCCTTCATCTCCAGAAGAAGTGCAATCCATTAAATATTTATTTTTGTTTCAAAGGGTCGGGTCAACTGCTTTGGGTGCAATCCTGCTTCTACTCCAGGAGCAACCAAGCAACTGACTCAGGCTGCAATCCTATGCACATCGTATTTAGCAGAGTAAGTTCCATTGTATGTAGTGGGACATGCTTCAGAGTAAAGATGCCTAGTATGGTGCTGTCAAGGGATTCTCAACAGCTCATCTTGTAGTGAAGCTGCTCCATTCAGGCTGTCCTTCCATATGAAAAGAAACAAACAGATATTAAAAACAACTCCTAGATGTCAGGGAAAAAATGTTTTAGCCTAGGCAATGTGACATAATTAATTTTCCAGGTCCCTGATTCCCTACCCTGTTGGAGGAACAGTCAAGCTTGCAGTTCCCTGCCTGCAATCTGAAGTGGTACAGCCCAGAAACAATTTGATCTGTGATGAGTGGTTTGCCTAGAGCTGAGATGGGGAATCTGTGGCCCTTGAACGTTGTTGGACTACAATTGGACTACAATTCCCATCACCCCTGACCATTGGCCATGTTCAGGCTGGGGCTGATGGGAGCTGAAGGGCTACAGGTTCCGCACCCTTGACATAGTCTCACATTTGCGTGAGTTAGACAGAACTATGGTGACACCAGAACACTTTTGGCATGTAGAAAACAGTGTTCTAGACAGAAATAAGCAAACCAGCTATATTCCTTTGAATGATGAGGACTTCCAACCCTTCTCTTTTTGCAGTGATGTTAGCAATCATGTTTGAAAGAGGTCACCGTGCTCTCTTCATCTTTATAAAGGAGATGTGGGCAGGCTTAGGTCAGAGTACAGTACTTTCCATTTGGTGCGAGTCTTTTTCAGCACAGTGCCTTCCTTATAGCTGGTAAAGCGATGCAAACTTATTTGACTGATTATAAACAATAGCCATGGCTATTGCCTTATATAGATAAGCGCAACTGTGCTTTATACCCCTATATTGTTACAATGGAGTGTGCTCTTTTTTGAGGTAGTAAAACAGAAGGTCTGTAACTGTTTTCACAAAAGATACTGCAAGTGCTTTTTTATTTTTAAGTTTCTCCATGTCTGTAATGTAGGTGAATGTGAGACTGGCATTTCTAGAATGCCCGTTCGGCCTAAAAACGTCTCTCTAATGCTTTCCATTCTGCAGCAGCAAAGTCTGCATGCTGTTTCTATATGTATTTTTCACATTTGTATCCATCCTACCTTCAAGGGGCTGACACTATAAGTTGGGCATTATTACAAGATTAGGCAAAGTGAACTAGATGCAATGTGTGAGATCTGCAATTAGGACCTCCCACAATGTTAAAATATCACTACATGGGGAGTGGTGGTGGGAGATACCTTTTCTCCCACACTATTTTACTGGTTAAAATCACTCCCTAAAGTTGTCATTTACCCAGAGGGAAACTTTCAGGAATCATAGTTAGTGTAAAGTGGGTTCTTATGCTCCGAAGTCAGAAAACTGCTCCCTCTAAGTTCCGTGTAGTCTGCACTGACTAACAGTAGTTTTCCAGGTCCAAATGTCCCAGGTTCAGTCCATGAAATCTCCAGCTAGGGCCAGGAGGGAACTCTGTCTATAATCCTAGACAGATGCTGTGAGTCAGTGCAGACAGGACTGAGTTAGATGGACCAATGGTCTGACTCTGTATAAGGCATCTTCCCAGCTTCCTACTGGTGTTTCAGACAGGAAGACTTTCCTACCTTCAGATGGCAGGGGTTGAACCTGGAAGCTTTTCATACAGTGCAGATGCTCTGCTGCTGAGCTGTAAGAAACTGGATAAATATTTACCCGCAGAGCAAATAATAGCTTCAGGGTGGCTTTTTAAAAAAAATAAAAAAATTCGGGAAGTAGCACTGTGCGTGTTGTGAGGAGGGGGTGCATAAACCCTCCTTCCCCAGCACTGTGCTCCTGTTCTGATTCCCCTCTCCCTCACCTATTATTATTTTTTAAAAGCAACCATGGGAAATCTGTTATTAGATCTGTCACATCTCGTTACACCCTGAGTGATGGTGACTGTCTGATTCATGGCTGAGCAGGGATTTGAACCAAGTCCAAGACCCTATCTACTACATCAAACTGGCTCTCATTCACACAGACGGCAGGAGAGTGGCTCAAAGGTTCATTTGGATTGAGAATTGTGTGTGAAAATGGACCCCTTTGTCTCTGAGCATATCTGCACCAAGAATCTGAGCAGGTTTGAGTGTTGCAGTTTCCCCAATGGAACCCAAGGAGTTACACCTTTGCGAAGGGTCAGTGGTTCCAACAGAATTCTTCTAACCATACTTACTACAGCTCCCAAGTTTCCTAGGGAACTAATGAGAGAAAACCAATCGATATTGTAGCATAGATGTGGACAGGTTCTTATTGTTCACTGTCTGGACACTGACAGCCATTATTCATGCCTTGTTGTGGTTTTTGGAGAGTGATAGAGCTCATGCACCAGCAAAGCTATGCCTGGCATCTTGGAAGCTTTCAGCTTGTTATTTTCCTCCTAGGAAACTTTGAGCATGTGTTCGGCTATCCCATGAGCACACTTTTGTTTGTGCCGCAAGAGCTGAATCAGATTTTTGTTTCAGATGGGGCTTAGCAATGGGGCTTATTTATGCTCCACTATGAGGTGGTTATTGCATTTTGTTGAATTAATTCTGCTTCGTTCCAATATAAGTATGAATCGGTGTGTACAGAAACATGTGTGCTACTGAATGAATGCCAGTTTGCAAGAATATGTGATTGGGTCTCCTCAGGTGTGAATTTATAGTATCTGGAGCAAGAATTAATAAGAAGCGCATCTGTGTGCAATGGATAGCTTATTGGGATTGTGTTTAGGGGGGCACAGGACTGTTAACTGGGGTAGGGCAGATCTACTGTTAAATGAATGAAACTTAAGCTTCAGGGTCTCTAATCCTGGAGGGGCCCCCAAAGTCCACATTGCTTAACAATTTTGCTTTAAAAAGCACATCATGCATATATAACATTTCCCTATTTTTTTCTAATGTTCACCCCTCCCATAACTCAAAAACTATAAGGCATAGGAAATTTTTATTCATCCAGTGATTTTGGCTCGTGAGAAAATCTAGTGCAGCAATTTTAATCAAAAGCTGAGATGATATAGCTATACAGTGATACCTCCAGTTAAGTACTTAATTCGTTCCGGAGGTCTGTTCTTAACCTGAAACTGTTCTTAACCTGAAGCACCACTTTAGCTAATGGGGCCTCCTGCTGCCGCCATGCAATTTCTGTTCTCATCCTGAAGCAAAGTTCTTAACCCGAGGTACTATTTCTGGGTTAGCAGAGTCTGTAACCTGAAGCGTATGTAACCCAAGGTACCACTGTATATATATATCTTAATGTGGTGATCTGTAATGGAACAACCCCATTAAGAAGGTAACAGTGGTTACCCAGACCTTGTTGCTGGTTGCAAAGGGCCTCCCATATCTGTTCAAATTTCAGGGCCCCCAAAATGTAGGTCTGTCACAGCCTTGAGGAACTCATTATTTCTCTGCACTTGTGAGAATATATAAAGTTCTCTGTATACTAAAAAGTTCTCTGTATACTAAAAAGCTCTATAGAGAGTCTAAAAATATAAAACAGGTGTCAATCCACCTACAAACAATCTACAAAGTATCATTGGGAATATTTTATCTCAGCACTTCAGATTTTTTATTCTAAAAATTCTAATCCCTTCCCCTCTTATATAATCAACTGCGTTTGTCAAGTAAATATTTCAAAAAGAGGTACTTTAGTGAAAAGAATATTAAAGCATTTAGGAATCTGCCACAAGAAAGATGTTTTAGCATGGGATGGGATCTTTAACTTTTAAAATGCACGTTTTTATTCATTTGTTCACCATAGCGTTAGAAAGAGTAGGTTTAAAAAGCCCCAAGTACCCCCTTTTTTTTCCTGATGAAAGGCTCCAAGGCTACACAACCAATCCACAACAGCAGCAAAGTTGTTCCATGAAATCCTTTGGCATAAATAAACTCCAGCCACAATTAATTTATCCTAAACTTGACAGAGGACCTTGACGTTTGGAATTTAAGAGGTGTCCCCATTGCTTCTGAGCAGTCGGCTTTTTTGCCTGAGGTGCCACACCGAACTCTGTGGCATCAGAGCAGCTGCGCTAATGGCAGCCAGAAGGGCAGTGGCACACGGGGACTTTCATCAAGTCCTTTGATGTCACAGAGGGCCTTGCAAGCCTAGGGCCAAGCAGCTGATTCACTTGCAAGGGTAACGCCAGACCCCGTGAGATCAGAACCAAGAAGCCAAAAGCGCTAGGCAGAGGACTGAAGCCGAGGAGGAAAAAGCAGCTTTGTTGATACACCAGGCGCAACACATTGCTCATCTCATTATCGGTGCAGTGGGCTGTTCCTTGCCCGTGGCCTTGTTCCCTCATGTGTGGCTTGTGTGAAGGGAGCATAAGCCCCAGTTGATCTGCGTCGCTTTGAGATTCCAGCTTATGTGTAAATATAAAATATGCATGTTTCCTGCAGGTTTTAGTTTTGGATATTTATGCTATTTTGGAGCGGCAAGTTCTGTGTGTCCTTGTTTGTGTGACAGCCTCCTTTTTAGCTGCTCCTCGCCCCCCCCCCCATTGCTGTATCTTGTTCTCTCATGCAAACACCTGTCCTCAAATTGAATTATTCTGCAGGGTAATCGAAAGCCTCCCCCACTCGGCATCATATGTTTTCTCTTGTTTATTGAGTTATGTTGCACCATACTTCAGATGCGACAGCCATTTAATAATCTTGAAGCCTTAGCTCTGCAGGGGCTAAAAAGATCCCAGCAGGCTTGTTAACTTCTGCTCTGAAACATTATGGGAAATATTTTCTCCTCCTAGGAATCCATGGGCTTCCGATTAATTTATTTTAAGGCTATAAAAATCCATAGTCAGGTATGTGGGAAGCATATTGAACGCTCCCTCCCCCCTGCCACCCCCTCCACTTGTTAAGGGTGCAATCCTATGCACACAGTGGGTTTTACTTCTGATTAGACATGCATAGCATTGCATTGTATGTTTCCCTTTTTTCAGGAATTAGTTGGTCAGTTTCATACCGCACACCATATTGGAAAAGAGAACATTGGCAAACTTATGAAATCTACACTTTATTCCTCTCTTTGAATAGCCCTCATCAAACATTTAACTACAGTTTACTAAAAACTTAGAATATATCTATATCTTCCTATATGCATAAATATGTAAGGCTGTCATCACGCAATCCCCATTGGTGGATTTGTAGTTGCATGGCATAGGAAGGGGAAGCTGTAGCAGGGTTAATGTGGTGGGAATGGCAGAGGGGTTGGTGAGTGGTTTGAGCAGGGATGCAGCCCCCAGTTTGTGTGTGTAGATAAGTGTGTGTGTGTGTGTGTGTGTGTATGTGTGTGTGTCTACAGACATGCACAACCACTTTTCTAAGAAGTTTATTGTTCAGCTAAAGAAAACAAAGAGGTTTCAACTGGATAAAATTATTCAGAGCAGGGTATGAAAGAGCATTCCTGATTAAATGGTTGCAAAAAAAACACACACAAAAAAACAAGCCTGGCAAATTTTAAGAAGAAAGGAGGTTCAAAGGTAATAGAAACAGTACCGTTGATGAAAATGAGCTGAAAGACAGGCTTGGGTGGAATATATATATAACATTTCTCATAGTCAGCAATTCTGGCTGGCATTCAGCACCTGCTGAAGCTAACTAATGACAAGCTCAAGAATGGACAGGACAGTTGACGTGCTGTTTGAAAAATGTAAACATCCTTACTGAGAAAGCTTGGCTTCTTAAAACTAAAGCAAAATCTATTCACAAAGCAAGTTATGCAGATCGTTTAATTGTATGCCAGGCTGCTTGTTGGACAGTGTTATTAACCCTCTTATTAAGCACTGAAAAGTTCTAAGCATGCTCAAGGTTCAGGGCCTTGGGTGCCAGTTCTGTTACTGCTCCCTCCATCCCGATCTTGCTGCCTTGAGACAGTGTGGTGCAGTGATTAGAGAACAGGACAGGGATGGGGAACCTGTGAACCTCCAGACATAGCAGAATTCCAACTCCTACCAGCCCTTGCCAGCAATACCAATGGTCAGGTATGTGGGGAGTTGTTGTAGTCCCACTACATATGGAGGGACACAGGCTCCCTGCACCCAGATGAGGACTTGGGAGACCAAGGTTCAAATCCCCATTCAGCCATGAAGCTCACTGGGTAACCATGGGACAGTTGCCGTGTCTCAACCTAAGCTACCTCCTAGGGCTGTTGTGAGGATAAAATGGGTAGGGGAGGGATACAGTTCAGTTGGTAAAACCATGTATGCCACCTTCAGCTCCTTGGAGGAAAGCATATAAATGTAAGAAGTAAATAGCACAATCACCCCCGTCATCAGGAACCCTACAAAATCAGGGTTCCCAACTAAAGGGAAGCTTATACGTACATTCAGGCAAACATTCTTACAAGCCTCCCTTAGATCTTGCGAGGCTGAAAGAGGAGGGGAACAGCACTCTCAGCCCTATGCCTCCTTCAGGGTTTCAGCTTCCTAATACCCAGAAAGGGTGTTATATTAGTGCCTGAATCTTTATTGGAAATAGAACCTTCTGCAATAAGAGCCTAGTTGACATATGTACAGTCATACCTCGGGTTGAAGTAGCTTCGGGATAAGTATTTTTGGGTTGCACGCTGTGGCGACCCGGAAGTAACGGAGCGCGTTACTTCCGGGTTTCGCCACTCGCACATGCGCAGACAGTCAAAATGATGTCACGCGCATGCATGGAAGCGGCTAATCGCAACCCGCGCACGTGCAGACGCGGGTCACATTCGCTTCTGGATGCGAATGGGGCTCCGGAACAGATCCCGTTCGCATCCAGAGGTACCACTGTATATATGTTGCTTTAATTCTCTGTGCTCAGTGAATCTATGCTTGATGGCTGGCAAGCAAATGTTTGAACTGATTCTACTGGAAGAAATAATTGCATTGCGGGGGATGTGAAAGCCCTATCTGTGATGGTGCGTTGCACACATGACCCAGACCAAACATTGTGAGGTGCAGGTTGGGGATGAGCAGAGCATCTGTGGTAAAAGAGCTTGAGAAGGTCATTCTGGAGGGACTTTTAGCTATGCAGGTTATCAAAATATTACCCTCAGATCACTTTGGCCAAATGAACCTGTATATTGGAGAACTTGTGGTCCTCCAGATGTTGCTGAACTACCAACTCCCACCATTCCTGATGAATGGCCATGAGGCTAAGCATGCTGAAAGTTGTAATCCAACAGCAACTGGATGGGCATGCACACTCCTCTCCTAGTGTAAAATTCCCACAGTGAGAACTTGGTTTTTGAAATAAAAAAGAAGAAAAGAAAAGATGAAGGTTTTGTATCAGTTACCAATTGTGAAATTGAATAAATTTCAGGCATGCCACCTAGGGAACTTTATGGTATGGGGCAGCATTAAAATAAAATAATATAAAATATAAAATTCTTCCTACTCAGAAAAAACAACAGCAACATCTAAAGCATAGGAAGTTTTTGTATATCAAATCAGACAATTAGTGCATCTTACTCAATATTCCACACCTATACGAAACCCTAAAGAGCTACTACGAGTCAGTGTAGAGCAGAGATGGGAATCTATACTTTTCCAGATGTTTGACTACAACTGCTGTCATCCCTATTGGTCTTGCTGGCTGGGGTTGATGAGAGATGAAGTCCAGCAAAATCTAGAAAGCCACAGATTTCTAATCCCTGGACTACACTAGCCAGGAGCTGCTCTCTAGGGCTTCATATGTGGGGTGGTGGTGGTGTCTTTCCCAGGCCTAGCTAGAGATGCCATGGATTGACCCTGAGCCTTCCATGCAAGGCACATGTTCCTCTAATTCCCCCCTATAAATGTTGATGGCCATCCAATTAACTGCTGGGATCCACATAATAAAAGAGGATAATGGATGGTGCTGCTACCACCGTCAGAGGCAAACTGGCCTGTACTAAAAACGGGGGTGGGTGGGAGGGGTGGATGGAATTACTTCCCAAGGGACAATTCACCCGATCATCTCAATTGGTGCTTTTAGAAGGGCTTTGAAGATAACTCTCCTCTGCCAGGCCTTTAAGTGTAGGCTGTTGAGAGTTGATAATTGGTTTTTAGGGGTGGCCTCCTATTTCTATGTTGCATGTCGTTCTTTATATTGTACTTTTGTGTTCTCTTTTTAATGGTTTGTATTAGGGTTTCATTGTGCTTTTGTGGGTTTATTTTGGAAGTATAATATTGTGATGGTCATGGTGATTAGGAACACAGGGTAGAAATTTCTAAAATAAATTAATAAGCAAATAATAAAAGGTATGAATTGGGTACGGGAGCCCCGGTGATTGTGTCGTTAAAGTTTTCAGCAGAAGCTGCTGCTCCAAGAATTTTGGAGCTCATGCGTCGGAAAACTGAGAGATAATCGAAATCTGGGGGGGAAATGCTTGGAGCACAACTTTTATTGCCAAAGACTTTGATCTTTGGAACAAAATTGAGGCTTGAGCTGCCGAGGATAACTGTGGAATCAGAAACATGAGCCTGTGGGATTTATCCAGGAAATAGACTTCTGCCATAGATAGCTTTCTGGAGTTGGAAAGGATGGTGTTTGCCAAGAGCTGCAGTTGTGAGGCCAGCATGAGAAACACTAGGAATAGGAGCAGCCCAACAACACAGTGGGGCAGGGAAAGAAACAGGCCACAGAAGGACCGTGTTGAGCCAGGGCAATGCCTTTGGTCTTGGGAAAGGGGGAATAATTGGTGACACCAAGAGAGGTACTGAGAACAAGCAGAGGAGAAAGATAATTTGCTTACAGACCAGGCAGTACGTTATTAACTGTTAACTGCTATCTGCTACATGGAGAAGGCAATTTTTTAAATAAACAACAACCCATAAGATAAAAAAAAAGCCTAGATAGAATAAGTCAGGGGTCAGCACATTTTTTCAGCAGGGGGCCAGTCCACTGTCCTTCAGACCTTGTGGGGGGCCGGACTATATTTTTTGGGGGGAAATGAACAAATTCCTATGCCCCACAAATAACCCAGAGATGCATTTTAAATAAAAGGACACAATCTACTCATGTAAAAACATGCTGATTCCCGGACCGTCCGCGGGCCGCATTTAGAAGACAATTGGGCTGGATCCGGCCCCCGGGCCTTAGTTTGCCTACCCATGGAATAAGTTAATGTATTGGGCCTAGGAAAGATCTTTAAAAGTTAGGAAATCACTCTTTGTTTAGGACAAAGAGAGGGGAGGCATGCATGGTCCTAACAATTCCTTGGGCTGAGATATTTGTTCTCTGTACCTCCACTGGTGAAGCTTGAGCAAATTGTGTCACAATAAGAGCATAAAATGAGCCTTTTGAATCAGACTAATGCCCATCTAGTCTAGAATAGAATAGAATAGAATAGAATAGAATAGAATAGAATAGAATAGAATAGAATAGAATAGAATAGAATAGTTGGAAGAGACTCTGAGATCATCAAGTCCAATCCCCAGCAATGCAGGAATATGCAGCTGTTCCTTACGGGATCGAACCTGCCACCTTGGCATGTCAGCACCATACTTTAAGCAACTGACGTTGAATCTACATACATATAAAAAATGTTCTGAAAATGCTTTTTTAAAAAAGTATTTTTAAAAATACAAAGAATTTTCCATAGGGCTCACCATCGCCATCTAAGTGTCTCATTGTATATTGCACTTAAAACACACTTAAGACATTTTATTTGCAGCTGCATAGCTGAGTCCTGAGCTATCCAGGCCAGCCTCCTGTTCTTAACCAGATGCCTATGGGAAGCAAGACCCAAGCACTGGTGAATTAGTGCATCCAGCTAGCACTGCAAAAGTAGTAGATCAGCATTTCCATCTTGAGCCCCTTCAGCTATTCAGGACTTCAACTCCCTTCATCCTCAACCAATCAGGGATGATGGCAATTGTGGTTCAAAACTTCTGGAGGGCACCAGGTTGGGGAAGGTGGGTCTATGAGATAGCATGCTTTCTTCTGCTACTTCTTCCTCTTTTGTATCTCCTTGGGCTCCTGGAAGCTGATTTTTCCAGAAGCCTGCTGGAAGATTGTAACCTTCAAAGATGCAGTTCCTTAATACAGCCAATCCAAGCCTGGCTCCCTCTGGGTGTTTCAGACTACAACTCCCAGCTGCCTCAGCCAGCACACTGCATTAGCAGGGACTGATGGGAGTTGTAGTCCAAAACACCTGCAGAGCAGCAGGATGGTAAAGGCTCCCCTAAGTGAAGGCAACAAACAAAGACATCTTTCTGATTTTGGCTATCCCAACTTGAAGAAGGCCTCATTTCACTCAGATGAAGAAGAGGGCATCTCTACGAGTAATGCTGGAAGAAGGGAATCTGAGAATGAAAAATCATTTTGAAGGCGTACTTGAAAGAGGAAGTGTGCTCAAAAGCAGCAGATGTAAAAGAAGTGGCCGGATCTTCAGTAAAAAGTACAGTGTTCCTTTCAAGGGCAAGGAATAGGAAACTGCCGCAGAGAAAACAAGGAGCCTTTCTCCTGAATTGCCACCACTCGTTCAGTACCACATAAAGTCACAGAGATTATACATTGTTACTGCAGCACACAATAAAGGAGAGCTGAGCTGAAAATTCTGGGGAAATGTTTTTTTTTCTCCTGCAAAAATGTTGGATAGTTGTCTTTTCCCCAACCCACTAGAAAACTGAGGGCAATTTGCAGAATATTCTGTGATTCCTTCCCCCCACTAGTTTTTACAGATAGCTGCAACAAACGTAGAGAGAGAGAGGGAGGCAAGGAATGACGCTAGGTTGGGAGCATTGTGAAAGGTGCAAAATGGTGACAGGCCTCCAGTACTGCCTCCCTTGCTACTTTTTGCAAAGGGAGCATCATCGCTCCCTCCACAAAACCCTCTGGAAAAAAGAAAGAAGCTGTGCAGCTGTTACTGCCAACAGTAAGCCTCAACTCTGAGAAACTGTTGGCAAATTTCTCTTTCCCCTTGAGAAACTGGTGGAAATTTTCCTCTCTGTTCCCCTGGCTCATCATTTGGGGAGGCTCAACATGCTGGTTTATATGTTTGCTCTGATTTAACTATTGCTTTGCTGCTAAGTAGCACTTCTGGATGAATATGGGTTCCTTAAAAAAACAAACACACATCTCACAAGGCTAGTTGTTACATGAGTTTTTGTACATGGCTTTGAATACCTAAGAACAAAATATGGCAGTGGAACCTCAAATGCACAGGGCACCGGTATCTCAGTGTATCCTTAAAGCATATGTGTTGGGAGGGGGACGCACGCTAAAGGTCACATTCCTGGAAGATGACTACCATCTATCTGATCAGTGGCCATAGTTGTCTACCATTCCTGGAAGGTGACTACCATCTATCTGATCAGTGGCCATAGATGTTGTGGCCAACATCTCTTGTCTTGCTTCAAAAATATTTTGCATAAAATTTTAGATTCTATATGTTTAAAGTCATTTGTGTGTGAGAGAGGGAGGGAAAACGAAGGTGCAGGATTATGCAGTTTACACTGTGAACATAGAATAAAAGGTTCATTTTCTCATACATGAGTAGCAGCACTGGATTTTGACATAATAATTCTTAATATTTTGTAGTCTGATTACATGAGATCAGATTCAGATCGCATCCCGCGCCCAGGTAATCCTAAGAAGAGTTGTGTCCCATGTTCTCCTGTTTTGATTATGGGGTTTAAAAATCCCCTCCAAAAACATTTTCCCTCCCGCAAACCCTTAGTATCTTTTTTCCCTTCAGTTCTGCTTTTTGCTTCTCTTATCGGCTTCTGTGCTGATGCCCTTTTAGCCTAAAGCTTAGGGCTTCTTTCTCCTTCCTAGATTGATTGTTCTGAGTCAGAGATCATATAGAAAAGATGATAGCATCATGATACGAAGCAGTCAGTCAGATTTGGCTGTCATAATGTTACTGAGGAAAAGAGAGGCCCATTCACACATTGAGCAATGCTTCCTGGGTTACTCACATTAGACCCTGGCTAATTAAGGATTGGCTAATGAATGGGATGACATCATGATGTTACACAGACAATTGGTTTTGGTTAGTGCTGACATCAGTGAGAGCAAACCAAAGTATTCAGAAGGAGAGCAATGATTCCCAAATAGCTAAAGCATTCTATCCTCTTTCAAAGCAGCCCTTGAAATATCACAAATTAAGGACAGCATTTATTCACAAAGCTCCTCCAACTCTCCTTCTCCTTTTCATCCCACCCTGAACTCTAAGCATATTTTTTTGGGAAGAAAGTGTATGATCACAGTGGAGGACCACACCTTATTTTCAGGTTTTTGCACTGCAGTCCCCGGGACCACTGTATGGGCAAAATGCCATTCAGGCCCAAACCCTGAAAGCAAAATTCATTGCTATTTTTATGCAGAATTAAATGTTATGATTTATTCTCTGTGTGTGAGATTCAGATGAGCTTCTGGTTTCTGTCAAATGAAATATAGGAGATATGTAACAGAAGAGGAAAAATAGCTGCCAAAGAGTAGATTCATGTCCTCGTGATGCAAACAAAATTCACTTTTTTAAAAAAATAAAAAAGGTAAATCTCAAATAAGATAACAAGAAAGTAGTAGGGTCTGGTCCTGTTAAGACCCCTTTTCTCAAAAGTATTTTCACATTTCTCCACTTGTAAGAGGCATCTGATGGTCTTATCTGCAACCTGTCAGAAAAATTCAGAGGTTCCCAAGCACAGATATAGGGAGCCTGTGGTCCTCCAAATGTTTTTGGACCCCAAGTCTCAGCACGTGCAGCCAGCATGGCCAAAAGACATGGATGATGGCGGCTGGAGTCCAGGAACCTTTTGTGGAGGCAGAGGCACACACTTCCCATTCCAGCCCTAGTGAGTTGTTCTGCAAAGTGGAGATTTCTTACTCGTTTCTGATCTTAGTTGGAGAAAGTAGCAGACCCTCCAATACAATGGCATTGGCGCTTGCATGCAAAGTCTTGCTTTATTAACATAGACATGCCTAGTCTGTTACAAAATAAACACATGCTGCACCAGATGCGCAGGACACATGTGTGCATTTCTTTTTTGAACTTGGGCTCTTGCTCATGTGCATTTTAAAGAGATAACCGTGTGCACACAATTCACACGTACGTACTTCGCATCTGATGCAGCACATGCTCCTTTTGTGTTCTGGCATGTGGATACCAGTACTAAAAGTAAACTGAGAATTGGCTGGGACTCAGAAGCATGTCAGCAAGTATGCACAGAAGCGACTGCAGCAAAGCACTATGAAGCGTTTTTGTAAACAGTCCTTTTATGCCGGTTGGTGGCCAAGGCAAACAATTTTGCAATTTGTGTGTATGTTGGTGTGTGATTTCTCCTGGTTTTATTCTGTGCTGGTTCTATTTTGACTACTTGGAATAAGGACATCAGAAGCGCATTGCTGGATCAGGCAAAAAGCCCAACTAGTCCAGCATTCTCTTCTCACAGTGGACAACCATATATTTATGTTAGTCATGCAACCAATATGCCCCATTGGTCTCAAACATGCATGGCGTTAGTTTGGACTGGGATCCCTGCATATTTAGTGGCTCACCACAGTGTGCTTTCATCACAATGTATAAATTAATTGACAAAAGATGCAGTGATGAGTTCTGGCTTAGATGTCTTTGAAAAAGATAAATTTGTAGAGGAGCATTGGTCATGATACCCTCCATATTCAAAGGCAGTATTCCTGATTATTATCAGATACTGTAGATTGTAACAGGGGATTGAAAATCTCTGTTGTGCCCTGGTTGTTAGCTTCCAAGGGCAGCTGACTGACCCCTGTTACAGTGGCTTGTTGGACTAAATGGATGTTTGGCAAAGCAGTTCTTGCAGTTTCATATGTTCTTTTGTGTTTGGTAACAGAAGGTGATGGAACTAGAGGAGCAAACCGAACACGCATTTCCTCAGCTGCAAAGTTGCTTAGTTGAGGAGAAAGTAGACATGATGTGAGAGGACCATGAACTCCTGCCTATTATTATTATTATTATTATTATTATTATTATTATTATTAAAGTTGGGCTGTAGCAGAGCACGAATCAGGTTAGGATCATGGAACTGGGAAAGGGGGAATGCAATGATTCCTCCAGGAGGATCCCTGTAGGTTTTCCTTGGCAGTTCAAATAGCAACTTCAAGGAGGCTATTTTAATTGTCTTCCTATTTGTTGTGACCCAGATGTGACCACTCATTCCCTCCCACCCATGGCTGCTATTAATTTAAAGGAAGAAAAATAAGGGAGTTCATAAACACTGATCTGCTTCATCAGATCTAGTTGTACTCTCCTATTACTGATTTCTAGAATAAAATATGCAGAGACTTAAACTTATTACAGTTTCTAAATAGCTGCAAATGGTGTGTGTGTGTGTGTCCTATGGATGCATGGATAAATATTTGTTCATTCATATAATGGTTGGAAACATCTGGAGGTGATTCCATCCTGCATCCCAAAACAAAATCTAAAATATTTAGATTTAAAGAATTCCCCTTTATTTCATATAACGAAAACAATACGGAGCATAATGGTTGCCCCATATTTCAAAATGTCACAGCCCTGCAGAGCATTGCGTGGAACGCACATTACAGCTTTATTTTCAAAATGTTGATCTGGCAACCTTTCCACCTTCCCTCAAGCAGAGGAAGTGGAGAGACGAGAAGGTGGAGGTGTGAGTTTCTCATGGCCTTTCCCCACAGAACTAAGCTCAGCTCTCAAAGTGAACTGAATGTAGGCCACACTGCAAGGGGCAGGAAGAAAGGGAAAAGTCAGATTCCTGCTCTCTTTTAGAGAGAGAAGAATATGCTCTGATGCATTAACACAGGAACAGAGGAAGCTGCCTTATGCAGAGTCAGACCATTGGTTCATCTAGCTCAGTATGTTGTTGTTTAGTCATTTAGTCGTGTCCGACTCTTTGTGACCCCATGGACCAGAGCATGCCTGGCACTCCTGTCTTCCACTGCCTCCCGCAGTTTGGTCAAACTCATGCTGGTAGCTTCATGAACACTATCCAACCATTTCGTCCTCTGTCATCCCCTTCTCCTTGTGCCTTTCCCAACATCAGGGTCTTTTCCAGGGAGTCTTCTCTTCTCATGAGGTAGCCAAAGTATTGGAGCCTCAGCTTCACGATCTGTCCTTCCAGTGACCACTCAGGGCTGATTTCCTTAAGAATGGATAGGTTTGATCTTCTTGCAGTCCATGGGACTCTCAAGAGTCTCCTCCAGCACCATAATTCAAAAGCATCAATTCTTCGGCGATCAGCCTTCTTTATGGCCCAGCTCTCACTCTCACTATAGTCTACACTATACTGAGCTGTGGCTCTCCAAGACTTCAGGCAGGGGTTTCTCCCAGTCTTACCTGGAGATGCTGGGGCTTAAACCAGGGACCTTTTGCATGCAAAGTAGATGCTCTACCAATAAGCTCCAACCCTCCCCCATTATGTTATGCTCCTTCCTAACCTGGATGCTCTCAGTGAGAACAGAATGTTCAAAGGCTGCCTTTGATTTATGAAGCACTGTATCCCTTGCTTCCATAAACCCCCAGGTCCCCAGAGGATCCCGGAGCATCTCAGAACAGCAGCTCCCAAAGTGTCAACTAAGGGGACCATTTATAGACTTGCATGTGCTACCTTTGCCTCTCATCCGCTCCTTGCTCAAGGATGACATTTCTCTTCTGTCCTCTAATGCTGTATCTCACCCAGATGACTGCACAATGCTCTCCTGTAATGCATAGGTTGCAGGTGCCTTGTACTACGAAGGAAAATTTGTATTTTGCATGGCAAGTACTGCCCTGCTTGATCTCTAGAAGGCTGTGTTGGATGTTTGCCACAGGTCTCGGCCAATTTAAGTCATCTGTTCACTCATCTGTTCTGATAGGTCTGCATGATAACCTTGAATCTGTCCTGCATGTGCCTGGCTATCATCCACAGAGACAGCACAAAGGATTTGGTAAGAGTTGTTGCAACCTTGAAAATCAGAATGGGGAATCTGTCGTCCTCCAGATGTTACTAGGATCACTCCAGCTTCCATCAGCTCCAGTCAGCATGGCCAGTGGCCAGGGACAATGTCAACAATGTGTAGATGGTACTGAGTTTAAGAACAGATTTGCCCTTTTAAATTCGAAGAAAGGAGAAAAACTAAGATTCAAAGGGTGCTGTTTTGGACCAGTAATTTGATGCATCTTTGTATGGCTTGGAGGCATAAAGAAGATTGTACAGCACAGTGCATTAATTAACTGAAAAGAAATAGCTCCACATAGTTCTGTGCCCACAATTATTAGCATAGGTCAGCTTCTTCATCATTTGCAAAGAGAATGACTGAATGACTTAGGATGCATTCTCAGGATTGCAGATCAAAGATTAATTTCCCCTTAACATGCATTAACTGTTCTGTTCCCATATAAACCATTGCAACTTAATGTGGAGTTTCTCTGCTCAGATCTGTAATATTTGTGAGGCGTCAGAAGTCTGGAGGGTGGCAACATGAGAACAGGCTTTTTCTGTGGTGGCTCTTGATGTGCAGAATGCTGTCCCCAGGGAGGCTTAAAAGCTTCCCTAAACAGGGCTGCCTTCAGATGTCTTCTAAAAGTCTGGTAGTTGTTTTTCTCTTTGACATCTGGTGGGAGGGTGTTCCACAGGGCGGGTGCCACTACTGAGAAGGCCCTCTGCCTGGTTCCCTGTAATTTGGCTTCACGCAGCGAGGGAACCACCAGAAGGCCCTCGGCACTGGACCTCAGATAAAGCAACCAACAAATTTGAATGAATGAATATCTGTTTTAGGAACTTAGGCCCAAGTAGGAGGTAGAGCTAGAAGCCAAAAGCAGGAAGCAGCAAATTGAGAGAAGACCAGTTGTACATAGTTTGCCAATAAGACTATGTATTGTTCAGCTCCTCTGACCTGTTCATCATTAACTGATAACATTGCAATGTCTTCCCCAAATACTTGTTGCTATGTCTGGTTGTGTGGAACACCCTGCATCCAAGTCTGGAGATGGTGGCCATTGGGGCTGGTAGGGTAGCAGATAGAGGGACCAACAGCAGGGGGAAACCAGAGCCAGTGGCAGGTTGTAAGTAAGAGGGCAGGCAGGTGGGGGCTGGCTATGGACAGATGGTGATTGGTAGGACGGTGGCCCATTCTCCCTAATAGCCCAGCCCCCACTGGGCTGAATGTATCATGCGCCTGCACAAAGCTTGCACTGCCGCACAGCTTACTAGCACTTTCATAGCTCTGATGGAGCTGATCATTTCAGAGGCTCTCTCTCATTCCGCCATCTCCAACCCCCCTTTTCTCCCCCTCACCACATGTGATCAGCACCCTGACCATCTGTTCAGTGGTTGGGGGAGGAGATAAGATGTACTGGGGCAATGGACTCCACTCCCCGCTCAGATTTCTGGTTGCCTAATCCTTTATTAATCTATCCCCCCATATCAGATTAGGTGTGTCTCTTCACAATAGCTAAATTATCGCCCCAGAATGTTAAACATTTGGGGGGGGGCAGGGGAGCCATTATTTTACCATTCTATAACAAGAAAGACAAAATCTGTTATAAATTGATTTGCTAGTAGTCTCTTACCATCTCTTTGCCTGGTATTTTCCCTGGCACAATACCAGATTCCCATGGTCTCACTAATGTTAGTAAGCAGAGTCCAAAATGTTCACATAGGAAGCAATGCCAGGTGGGTGTCTTCTATCCTGGGTTCAAAAGACCACATTGCAGTCCAAATCTCCCTAGCAATGGGAAAACATGATTCAGGAATCTGCTGGCAATGATTTTCTATGCAGCTTGCCCTTGCCACACATTATTGTGAAGTGGTTGCCCTTTGCTATTGCTTTTGAGATTTTGCCAAGAGTTCTGCTTTGCTCATATATTTAACAATTGAATGTGGGGGAAAGGCATTCCTTGCGAATGTGGTGGTGCCTGAAGCAATTGCTTCATATCATCTTAGGGTGGCACTGGGCAATATGCCAGTAAGTTATGGCATGTTATGTCGCCCCAGGAGTGATCAGATGGTCATGTCCAAAATAGACCCCACAAGCTTACTCTGCTTGGGTTTACTGATGTCTGTGGTTACAGTTCAAAGAAAGAGGTTTGTGGATTGAAATCTTGGTTTGAGTATACTGCTGTGTGTGTGTTGTTTGAGTCAGTTACAAGTGTGTCAAGTTTCCTATGCAGAGAGCAGCACTTCTACATTGGAGAGAGAAAAGAAATTCATGCAAGCCATGAATAGATCATGTGTCTGTGAGCAAGAGCTCAGAAGCTGCATCTGTGCCTTTCCACTGCATGTAGATCTATTTCAATAGGTGTGTGCCTGCGCAAATTGTTACACGTGATGACCTGCATACATTTTGTATGCTTCTCCTATGTTGGCTGGGGCAGTAGAGGGAAATAAGCTTTTAGCTCATGTGATCTCTGAAGAATTTTGTATACAAGCGTCTCAGTATTTGGATGAAAACAATCCGTGTGTATGTGTAATACAGCCAGCAAACAATGATGTTCAATTTTCTTTTTATGTAAGTTTGTAAAAAACCGAATCTGCAAAGTGCAACATAGTATAAGTTTTAAGGGCAAATTATCTTTATCTCATAACAATGTAGCTTTGTTTGCCCTCCTACCCACTTTTGGGTGCATGGGCCCCACAAACTATTATACTTTCTTTGAAATGTGGAACTTTTTACCCTGGTGTCATGGTTAATTATTTCTAAAAAGGCAATTAGCAGTTGCCAGGGGCTTAGATAGCAGCTCTGCTTTTGAGTGGCTCCCATCTCAGCAGCACAAAATAAACACTTTGGTTTTTTTAAAAATATCCATACTTGCAACAAAGTGACTGTGTTATTTAAGCTGAGTCTGTGAAGAAGAATAGCAATCATTGGCTGCAGATCATTTTGTTTGAGATACGAGACAGGAGAGGATGGAGTTTGTGCAATGATTATGGGATACATCCAAACCTTACATCCAAACTACAACTCCCACCATCCCTAGCTAACAGGACCAGTGGTCAGGGATGATGGGAGTTGTAGTCCCAAAACATCTGGAGGGCTGTGTTTGCCTATGCCTGCCTTAGGCACTACTATACATGTCGCAGAAGAGAGAATGGCTTTGGGAGTGTGTTTGGAGAATGACATAGTTCTGTATCTGAGTTGAACACATCACCATCCGTCCTTGACCAATTAGGAAATTTACTGTTTTAAGGCCCCACCCTCCAGAAACAAATAATGGGCACTTTTCAATTATTGCTGGGCACACCCAGGTGTATCCTTGTTTTGAAATTAATCTATGTAAGTAAGAGACTTTCTTAAAAAAACCCAAAAAACACCTTTTATTAACATATCATCACAATATATGTCATTAATGCTTTTTTTCTGGGGGTACGCAGGGGTGCGCATACCCCTAAACATTTTGTGAATCTTTGTACTTTTGTCCATTTACTGTATTTATTTCCCCTGATTAGAACTATAAAATGGTGGTTTTCTTGAGTCAAAATGAGAGTACCCCTAAACATTTTTTAAATAGAAAAAAAGCACTGTGTGTCATGCATATCATAATATGACTGGTACATAATTTAGCTAAACAAAATGCGAAATGAGACTACGTATGCCTTGATAACAACGAGCGTGTATCAATATTATTTACTCTGATTGATAGTAGAGCATTATACAACAATTCAGCCTTGCATAATATTATATAATAATAATCAGAGTTTATCCTCATTAGCCCAGCTTCATCTATCAAAATATTGTGAACCCATAACCTGTATCTGGCGCTACTTACTGTGATCCCCTACACTTGTTTGTGTGAAAGAGTGTACACTTGTTTGACTGTTCAAGTATTGCGTGCACAGGTTGTGCACTTTGTGGGATGTAATGTGCAAACCCCTCTTCTGTGCAGGGCTAGGCTGAGAGAGTAGCCTGCCACAAATCACTCAGCAAGCATTACAGCCACAGTAATAAGAGGAGAAAATTGTATGTAAGACTTCCTTCTTTTATTTTAGTTTGTGGGAGGGGATGCCCTTTTCTATTAAAATTCACCAACAAAGACACACAGAACAAAGAATTGAAGGCTTGAAGGTTATCAGGCTTATGTTTTGGTAAATTTTCTAGGCTGCCAGTGCTTTTATAGCATTACCTGTTAGCAGAAGCTGGAACAGCAGGATTTTTGAGTTTCCTCCGGGGAACAAGGCTGCTGTTTGTCAGTATTTGCACCTGCACGAGCAGTGAAGGTTGCCTTAAACAATGCTGATCAATTCCAATTTTATTCCTGACTTCCCCTCCCCCTAACTTCCAGAGGAATCTGTCTTTCCTGTCACTCAGGATAATGATCCCCCTGCAAGCACAGCCAAGAATCCAGAAACTCACTGTAATCTCATCAAGACTTTGATTCCCCAGCAGGGACTGTTGAATTTATACAACCAGGAGGTTGGGGCACTTTAGCTTCCCACATCTGTGTGTGTTCAGCCACTAAAATGGGTAGATTTCCTTCTGGCTTTTTAACTCTGCTTGTTTAGAGAGGCAAAACCAAAGAATTTCATTCCACAAACTGAGTTTAAAATGATCTTGGTTTATTTTTTCAACTCTAAATGCATTTGATGTTGCTGTTTTTACTTTTAAATGTGATTGGGTGTTTTTTGTGTGTGTGTGTGTGGGGGGGGAAGCATAGCAGTGCCCAATCTCTGGATCAAAGATTATCATTATGATTAATAATTCCTGTAGCATTTGGATGCTGTAAGCCTGTTTCAAATTGCATGTGTGCAAGCCCTGTGGAAATAAATGGGATTTATATGCATTTAACTGTGCATTCTGCAAAGTATGCATCCAGATCCTAACAATCTTTACTTGGAAGCAAGTCCCTGTATTAGACATGAGCTGATCAACCTACTTTCTTCCCATATCACTTTTGCACGTGTTCATTCGTAAGTCTGTTCTATAATGTTTCTGTATTCATATATTTTTTTAAAAAAATAGCACTGCACAACCATTTGTATTTAAATACGTATTTTCTTAATGAACTCATATGCCAAAAATTTTGGGGGTACCACAAAATTCAGAGTAGTATGCAGTCCAAGGGATAATTACATTTTGGTCCATACTTTTGTCTGTCAATTCACACTGGAATTCACAGAACTCAAATTCCCCCAGCATCCCAGCTCTGTAATCCAACGATGTTTATCCCCACCTTGGAAATGCCCCTAGGAGTGTGCCTTTATGTTCCTTAACTCGTTCCTTCCAACAGCAGCCCTGTGAGGCAGATCTCTGGGATTGCAATGGAGAAGTGTGGCTGAGAAAGCATGAATTAGGTCATTCAGTCAACGCATTACAGCTTCCACGTGGAAGCTATTTTAAATTGCACTGTGTGGCAGCTGTTATCATGTGGCAAGCTGATTTTATGCAGTGGTGTCAATCTCCTTATTATTATTATTATTAAGTGGACTGTCTTGGAGAAAATGCCAACTGTTCAGTTGCCCATAGAGCGATTTAAAGTAGTTTCCATGTAATACTGGCAGTGTGTGTACTCATCCTTCATTATCGACACCCAGGCAATTAATTAATGGCTGAATCTTTCTGGAATCACCATAGAAGCTGCTTGCAGGGTGGGGCAGAGCTACTATGCTAGCTGCCTGGCAGGTGGGTCAATCTGGCTTACTGGTGAGGAGAGAGGTGAGGCAGCAGAGAGGTCAGCATGGTGCAAACACAGCAGCAAAGCTAATCTGGCACTCCTGCCAGTGCATTTGCACCATGCTCACCTCCCCGCTGCTGCCCCCTCCCAGTAACCAACAGGCAGGGAGGTAACGTAGTGTCTCTGCCTCCCAATGCTAGCATAGCGGCTCTACCCCAGCCAGCAAGTTGCTTCTGTGTATCTGGATATATATTTATTTATAAATTACATTTTTATGCTCCGAGGAGATCAGGACAGCAACACTCATGGCCCCCTCCCTTTTATCCATATAAAAAGTTGGTGAGGGGATTTGATGAACTTCATGGCTGAGAGGTGACTTGAACCCACACCTTCCCAGTTCATTCTAGCTTTCATTTTCTACAGTATTTTATTTATATCTGGGTTGCAATGGGGCAAAGTAGAAAGGCAATGGCAGCAGATCAACTGTAGCTCAATCTGCAGTAGGTCAGCAAGGGTTTCTGGCTCCCAGTTGTTTAACAGCAACAATGAAATGGCTTTTCCCACCTAAATTAGGCTACTTAAATTAAGAATACTAACCTGGACTATGAGCACAGTTCTGTTATGTTGTCAAAAACTGATTACTTGGCTCCTGATGGGCTCAGAAGCACCATGCGATTTAATTCTATGTCTTTTGCACTTGGTTCCAGTTGGTGGATCTTGAGATTCTAGTAAAAAAAGAAAAAAGAAATACAGTGTAGATGTAACAAGTTTGAATATGCCCACCTCTGCCTTAGAACTTGAGATAGGCCAATCTGTCAGTTTTGGGTTCTCTCTTGGTTTTTTCCAATTTGTAGTTCAGTTCTCCATATTTCAACATAAATTTGTGAACCTGCCCCACCCCCAGCCACAAAAAAGTCCTTATAATAATTCATCAGTATTTTAGTGAAAATTTCTCCTAGTATACACATCTTTGTATGCAATGTTACTTAATATACACAGTTTTGCAATCAATTATCCCTAAAACAATGCAATTTCACATGCACATTTCGCTAATATCTGTACTTTTATGCACGCTTACTGAGCATGTGCATTTTTGTACACATTACTTGTACACATTGCATTGTGAAATTTGGAGGAATGCAAATTTTGGAGTATGAGTGTGCTTCAGGATAGATTGATTCACCTTTAAATGATAACTGAAACAAATTTCTCACCCTTCTCTTCCTAGAGCTCAGACAGACAAGATTCATGGGAGGTTTTTAGCTGTCATTTGTGATCTCCAAGCCCCAGTTTTGTACAATCCAGGCCTGGGGCAGATTAATGAGAGCCAGGGAATGAAGATCTTGCCAGGGAAATTGGCACTGCACTCTGATCATTATCCCCACCACTCATCCTGCCTTTTCTCATTGGGGTAGAATGGAAGCAGGGGAGCTTATGCAAAGGACTTGGCAGGATGCCGACGTTCCTATTCTAGCTTCTGGGGTTAACAAATGGAGAAAGGTGGCTGAGCTCTTTGCCCTCCAGTTCCCATCAATATTTCCCACATCTGGGTTATAGAAACAGAAATATTAAAGAGAATCTTAGTCCTTCCAAAATAGCATTTTGCAAATTTGGAGCTAAGGTCTGATTGACCTTTATTTGCTTTCGATTGAGATGCCATGTCTGATGAAACATGCTGTAGCAAGAAGAAGAAGAAGAAGAAGAAGAAGAAGAAGAAGAAGAAGAAGAAGAAGTCAATCCAAATCCTGTCATTTTCAGGGGAAAGGTGGCTTTTTTAGTTCTTTTCGATACCTTGCTCAAACAAAGGTGTTATTTACATACCCCCTTTTATGTTCCTTTGAATTTGATTTGGGCAAACGTGAGTTGCTTGGCATCGTTCTGAACTCAATATCCTTTTATACTCAACTTCTTTATAAATTATACATCCATGTGCTTGTTTACTATCAGCAGCCATCTTACAGCCTGCACACTGCTGCATGAAAAGGTCTGGCAGCAATATGTGCCGTGCTCTTAGTAGCTTTGAAAAGCATGTTTACTTTGCTTTAGTACTAGTAACACCTTGCAACCTCAGTGTGTGTCAGTATAGAACAGGGATAGATAGAGAAAATAAATTCCTACCCTGGGATTCACCAGTAGCAAAGAAAATCAGGAAATTCAGAATACCTTTGTGAAACAAAGAAATCTGCAAGTCCTCAGAAAGTAAATATGATTCCCTGCCCCCATATTTAACTAATATAGACATAGAAACATTGGAGGGCAAGGTGGAGCAGGCAGTTTTTACAACTGCATTGCTTAAGTGCTCACAATGGCTTTGTTCGGGAGGAAGATGGGGAGAAAAGCAAAACAATTTGGTCCTGCCTGTGGGAGCAATGAGGGAGAATTTCAATTCATTTTGCATATAAAGGTGAGCCTATCTAATCTGCTTCTTCTGAAACAATATGGGAACCAAAACTGAGACATCCTAAATTCACTTTTCTCTGGATTTTGCAATGTAGTCTTCCAGCCAAGTAATATGTACAAAATTGACATGCATGTACAATATTTGTATATATATATATTACTGAAAATAGCAAAGAAAAGTTCATTATATTAGACACAAGTGCTTTGCAAAAATGTATGTACTGTATTAGATAAAATTGCATACGAAAAAGTGTATATTAGGAGAAATGTGCACTAAAATGCAAATTTTAGTGGAGAACTGTCTGAGAAATTGAGAAAAATCTACATTTTGCCCACCCCTAATCTCCAGTGACCTTCTTGGATGCCCTGCCAGTTTCAGTGGCTACCAGCCACCATTGAAATTCAGGATCACAGAGTAGACTGTAGTAACGTAGTTCTAGAGAGAACTCAAGTATAAATACTGGGAGAATCTTCTGCCATCTAAATGAATGGCAGCTACATGTGAGCATGATGGGGCTCTTGAGCACATTTTGTTCATGGAATCATAGCATTGGAAATGATTTCGGAGATCATCTAGTGCAACTCTCCACTCAATGCAGGCCCTACAGTGCAGGATGCAAGTCATAGCGGAGATGTTCTCTGTTGCTTCAGAGGGCAGGACTAAAACTAATAGGTGGGAATTGCACGGAGGCAGAATTTCCTAATTAGCGAAAACTTCCCAATGGGAAGAAGCATTCAAGAGTGCATGGGACAGACTGTCTTGTGACACTGTTTACAGGTATCTTCTAAGCAGAGGCTTGATGGTCATCTGTCAAGGATATTGTAGCAGTCGGTGGGATGGTTGCACTTATCTGATCTCCCATCACTGACATCACTCTGCCTTACCAGGATGGGGAGGGACAAGATCACACTTCAAAACGACCTTGACAGATTAGAGAACTGGGCAAAAACAAACAAGATGAATTTTAACAGGGAGAAATGTAAAGTATTGCACTTGGGCAAAAAAAATGAGAGGCACAAATACAAGATGGGTGACACCTGGCTTGAGAGCAGTACATGTGAAAAGGATCTAGGAGTCTTGGTTGACCACAAACTTGACATGAGCCAACAGTGTGACGCGGCAGCTAAAAAAGCCAATGCAATTCTGGGCTGCATCAATAGGAGTATAGCAGCTAGATCAAGGGAAGTAATAGTGTCACTGTATTCTGCTCTGGTCAGACCTCACCTGGAGTACTGTGTCCAGTTCTGGGCACCACAGTTCAAGAAGGACACTGACAAACTGGAACGTGTCCAGAGGAGGGCAACCAAAATGGTCAAAGGCCTGGAAACGATGCCTTATGAGGAACGGCTAAGGGAGCTGGGCATGTTTAGCCTGGAGAAGAGGAGGTTAAGGGGTGATATGATAGCCATGTTCAAATATATAAGAGGATGTCACATAGAGGAGGGAGAAAGGTTGTTTTCTGCTGCTCCAGAGAAGCGGACACGGAGCAATGGATCCAAACTACAAGAAAGAAGATTCCACCTAAACATTAGGAAGAACTTCCTGACAGTAAGAGCTGTTTGACAGTGGAATTTGCTGCCAAGGAGTGTGGTGGAGTCTCCTTCTTTGGAGGTCTTTAAGCAGAGGCTTGACAACCATATGTCAGGAGTGCTCTGATGGTGTTTCCTGCTTGGCAGGGGGTTGGACTCGATGGCCCTTGTGGTCTCTTCCAACTCTATGATTCTATGATTCTATGATTCTAAGATGGCCGTGAGGTCAGTATGGTGCAAGGGCACTGGCAGAACCAATTCAGCACTGTGCCAATCTGACATTGTATTACTTCACCTCTTCCTCCTGGTAAAACACAGCAATGAGAACAAGCCTTTTCTGTCACCTGCATGTTCTGTCCTACTGTCAGTCCATCCCTTAATCTCCTTTCCATGCTACATATACCCAGCTCTTTCAACCATTCCTCTAAGCACAGGTTCAGTCTTGTCCTCTGGACATCCTCTGCAAAGGTGTTGTGCAGCAGAACATCTGAGTGGGATGGCGGATGTGCCCATGAGTAGCGGAGGCTAAAAAAGGATCTCTTCCATCCATCTGCTAAACTAAGTGGAGCCTTTCCATGTAAGCTACACCTGAGCAGGATGGGAAAAATTCTCATTGGTCCACTGCGACCAATTTGTGAGGCACTTGGTGGATAAAGTGGTTCATAACTGTTCTGACTTGGATTCTTCGTTGTCAATATACCTCTGATAGCTGCTTATTTTGTTATGCATTCTTTTCAGCTTGTGCAAGCTGAGAATCTGGAGAGGATATGAGGCCCTAGATCCCTGCTCATCCTGGCTAGTTTACAGAGGACAGGCTCAGTGGGTGTAATGAGTGATTAATGCTTCCCTGAGAGACAGAGTGATACAATCTGTTTAAAAATGCAGTGGTTAGACTTCTGTTTAAGAAACCCTCTTGAGATCCCACCTTACTGGATAATTACTACTCAGTATCCAGTATTCCATTCTTCTGTGAGGTGCTTGAACAGAGTTTGAGACACAACTCCAAGATTCCTTTCATGAGATAGAATATACTGACCCACTGTATTACATCTCAGTTTGGTGACTGAAATGCCTTCGATTGCCCTCTTGGGTGATCTGCTCTAAGAATTGAACAGGAGGAATTAATTCCTACTGGTTGTGCTGGACTTCTCAGCAGCTTTTAATGCCTCCTGCAATAGAAGGTATGGGGAGCCTATGGCCCTCCAGATGTTGGACACAAGTGCCACCATCCCTGACCATTGGCTGGGGCTGATGGGAGTTGGAATCGAACAACATCTGAAAGGCCACAAGTTCTCTGTTCCTTAACTGCAGTATCCTTCAAGTTTGTCTTGCTGGAATGAGGCTCGAGGATACTGTATTAGTGACTCCATTCTTTCCTGGAGGGTAAGATTTCAGAAGGCTGGTGCTGAAGAATATCTCTTCAATGCCTTGGCCTTCGGAAACTTTAGGAGAGATCCCTCAGAGATCTGGTGTTGGCTGTCATCAGTATGCAAATGCCCCTCAGTTCTGTATCTCCCTTCCATCTCAGTTTGGGGAGAGCTTCTAAACCATTATCTGAGTGGACAAACACCCAGATAAGATAGAACTGCTCTAGATTAGGAAGGTGACTGGCCCAGCGATGTGAGCTTTTTCTGGAAATGATCGCACTCCCCTTGAAAGACGAGGCTCACAAAACAGCATCTGGCACTGGCATTGCACTTAATTCCCACATTGCAGCTGCAGCCAGAAGTTCTTTTGCTCTGCTTAAACTGGTGTGGCAACTGTTCCTGTTTCTGAGAAGAGTGGACCTGTCCACAGTCGTGCCTTGTTTATGTGGAGACTGGATGACCATAACATGTTATACATGGGGCTGCCTTTGAAGGCTGGAAACATCAGCAGTACAAAATGCTGTGTGTGGTGCCATGCTTTTGTAGTAGCATGCCACTCTGTTGTTTTACCAGCCCCATTGGCCACCAGTCTGTTCCAGTGCACAATTCCAAGTCCTGGTTACTGTCACCTTTAAAGCACTAAATAACTTATGACCATGATGCCTAATGGGCTTCTGGGCCCCGTGTTAATCTCCATATCTGTTTATCTGAGGCAGCCCTTCTGTGCATTATGTTACCCTCTGAGGTATGCTTGGGATGCACAACAGGTCCTCTTTGTCATGGCATCCAGACTACGGAACTCCCTGGGAGGTTTCCTTCTTTCCCAGTGCCCCACTGCTGGATGAAGACCTTCCTTTTCCAATAAGCTTTTAATTTATCAGTTGTTTCATTGATGCCCTCTGTTTCTCTAATTATTGACGGGTTACTTTTAATCTGCTGCCTTTTAAATATTGTTTTTCTTATTGACTTAATTATAGTGTATTATTGATCATTAATTAATTTTCTGTTTATGTATCTGAAGGTAGCCACTGTGATGCTCTCCAGAAGTTGCACTGCAACTCCAATCAGCCTCACTTACCATGGCCAGGTAGATGATCAGGGTAGATGGTAGATGGTCAGGGATAATGACAACTGCAGACCAAAAACATGTGGAGGGCACTATGTTGACAACTGATGATGTATGACAACCTGAGTGCCCTAATTTTGGAGGTAGAAGGGAGGCTATAAATTATGTAATCCATAAAGTATTAAAAATACCTAATTAGTCTACATATATTTTAGAATCGACTAAGGATCCACGTACCTTTTAACCTACTGGTTGCTTTCAGACATAATGTCAAACAATGGTTTGGTGCTATGCAAATGAACCTTGAGGAGCCCTAAACGCACACACTTCTTCTCCCCTCCTGTTTCCTCCCATGCAATAATTTCCTGCTGCCTGATCCTGGTTTGTTGCTTAGTGCAAGCCTTAGTTTCACTGATCAGACATTGGCAAACTCTGATTTGCCTGAAACCAGGACTGAGCACCAGGGAATTGCTCCCCATGAGGCAGGAAGGGCACACAGGCACAAGGTTCTTCCAGGTTTGTTCATGTACCACCAAACCATGGTTTGACCTTATGTTTGAACAACTGCTGGATATCTCATTTTAAGGAAGATTCCCCCCCCATATCAGTTATTAAGGAGTTACATATTAGAAGTAAGTTAGGACAGCTAGCATTTACCCCACAAAATTTTCCTGATTCAGGGAAACACTGAAAAGTATTTACTGGGGGCTTTCTACTTAGCTCCACCTCAAATGTTACAAGATCATATTAGAGACGTTTTAAAGGTATTAAGAGATCCCCTATTCCCCTCATAGGGGTACAATTCCCAGAGTGCCTTGGCAAGTAGGATTGATTGTTAAATCACTTTGGGAATTGTAGGTCTGTGTATGTTTCAGCACCAGGGTCGGATTTAGGTTTGATGAGGCCCTAAGCTACTGAAGGTAATGGGGCCCTTTATATGTCCAGCTGTCCTTTGTCAAGAACAAATTGTCACTGGTTTTTTGTGTTGAATATATGCTATATGGTAATTTATGGACCTAATAGTTATCTAAAGCCATTTGCACATAACAAATTGGAGTCTATACAACACAAAACACAGTTGCTGTATGTAGGTTGTGTCCCCCCCCCCTTATATTTTGGAAATGTACATTTTTTTTCCTTTATATTTTTTGGAGGCCCCCAAGAGGCCCTAAGCTATAGCTTGTTTAGTTTATACATAAATCCATCACTGTTCAGCACCCTTAATAAAGTACAGATCCCAGGATTCTTTGGGGAGGAAACCATTACTATTTAAAGTGATATTTCAACTGTATAGGGCAGAAGGGGTCTTAATGCTGGTGTTTTAAAAGAAAGGGGAGAGTGGGGTACAGACAGAGGCATCCATACAAGAACTCTAAGCAAAAGCTTACTATCTCGCGGCTCTGTTACTTGTTGAAATTATCAGTGCTGCTCTTTGGACAAGCAGGTGCCACACTGCTTCAAAGTGATCTTGTTCAGGAACAAACAGAAATGGACACAAATTCACTGTCTATTTTCTTTCCCACACCCACCCTCTTTCTTGTGGGGGTGGGGGTGGTGTTTGCTGAATGAGCAGTTGCTTTGCTTCAAGCATGCCTGTATCCCACCTGCTTCATGTACCACCCTGTACAAAATCCAACTCTTTGACCTGCATAAGTCACTAAGACTTGGAAGTATTCCCCTGGGCTGCAATCCTGCACACAATTAAGCTCCTTAAATCCCATTGAACTCAAGGGGATTTAAGTGGCCTAACCATAAGCAGAATTGCATTCCAAGTCAAGAGCTTATATCTAGAGTAGTAATGTGTGATTATTTGTCATCTACCCAGGACCTTCTGAGTATGTCTGCATTCTATCATAGGAACATAGGAAGGTGCCTTATGGTCGATTGGTCTAGATGCTATAGGGAAACAGTTCCATTGCTGTACCTAGCTAAGGCAATGGGTCTAGCAGCAGTTCGCCAGGGTTCCATAGAGGGTCTTCCCCAGCCATAGCTGAAGATGCCAGAGATGGCACCTGGGAGCTTCTGTAAACCATGTGCTGTACGACTAAGCTATGCCCCCCTCTTTCAATTTGTAGTGAAAGGATGTCAATATGTTAATTATACCCAGCTCTGATGTTTGTTTTCATTTCACTGAGGTTCTGCAGTCTTAATGTTTACTTGATCTCTCCCTGTGATTGGGAACTGGATGTAGGCAAGCCCCAGCAGAGCTAAAACCAGATAAGGCTTGAAAGAATGTTTGCCAGCATACTTGGTGACCAGTGCTCTGGGGACTGAGGGAGTTCAACAGCCTTTTAGTCAATCTCGTAATTTTGGATGGTGTGTTCTTGTTGTGCTATTGCTGCTGATTATGCTAATCAAGTTGTGCAAAAGAAGGTTCTTTCTTTCTTTCTTTCTTTCTTTCTTTCTTTCTTTCTTTCTTTCTTTCTTCAGATACTACTTTTCCCTGTAGCACAATGACATAAGAAGTTTCCCGCTGCCATAATGCAGAAACTCAGTTCTCTCTCTAGCATCTAGCCTTTCCAGATGCAACATTTAACTGTTCCAGCCAGAGAAGCGAATGGACATTTCCAAGTACACATTATAATGCACACATGGCTGTATGAGAGGGTGACAAAATAAAGGTGACTGATTGTGAATACACTTGCCTAATCTCTCAAGCTATGGAAAGAGTGAGAGAGAGAATGAGAGAGGGAACAATCATGGTCTATATACCATGACAATACTGTCACTGTCATCATTTTGTAAAAGTTTTGGGTTAACTTTTGAAAGCAGGAAGAGAGAGAGGGAGAATTCACTTTGCAGGAAAGTTGCTGTGTTAGACTATAGCAGACTAGAAGATTGGAACATAATGGCAGCTCTTGAGGTGATATGCAGTAGACTGCCAATACTTTAACTTCCAATAGTTCAACAATAGCAAGTGAAAATGCAAGTTTAAAAAAATTCTGCCAAGGTTGACCATCTATTGGTTAATCACCTGTGTCATAACTTCCAAGTTCCTTACCTACAAAATATGAGTATTAACTGGTTGCCTTGATCATGTCTTTGCGTAAGTCAAGTGGCCATTAGAATCTTTTACCTGTGGTAGCTCAAACATAGATTTGTGCATTTATGTTCAGGTCATCACAGTATCTAGCTCATAGGGTGCAACAGGTAATTGGTGAGCCAGCATGTTGCACCTGCCTTTACCTCCAAGCTACAGTTTTGTACCTGACTCCACTTGGTGAACCTTGAAATTTTAGTAACAAAATCAATCCCTTAGGCTTGAAGCCTGAAGTCCACTAAAGCTCATGCTACAACAAGTTTCTCAGTGATGGATCTTGATTTAATCATACTTAGAGCAGACCCATTGGAATCAGGGGAACTTAAATTCATCATGACTAACTGAAGTCCTGTGGATTTCAATTGACTTATTCTATGCATGCCTGTGGCTGCAGTCCTAGCCCTACTTACCTGGGAGTTAGCCCTATTGAGTTCAATAGGACTTCCTTCTGAGTAGACATGGTACTGTAAGTCTAGCTCCAACCTTTAGACTTTAAGCTGCCACAGAACTCCTTTGTTTTGATGTGTAGTGGGATGTCTTTGGCTATTTTTTAAAAATTAAATGCTATGCTGTAAATGTGTTTATATCCTACCTTTCTTCCACCTTGGAATCCCATCCAGGCACTGGTTGGTCTCAGCCCTGCTTAGCTTCAGCAAGGTTGTAACCTAATATGCTTTTAGACCATATACTGGGACTCTATTACTATTTCATTTAATTTTTTTGTTACCAAATATGTGCTTCCATGGCTAAATAAATAAATACATCTCAATCACATATACATTCATCAGAATGGTGATGTTTGGTTTCCAATTGGTGGAACCTGCTTTGGTTGCCAGCGGTTCCTCCAACAGCGGTTGTGAAATAAAAGGGAGTTTTTAAAATAAATAAATAAAACCTGATTACTAAAATGGCACCTTTGCTAAGCTGAGGTATTTCTTTGGATAATTAAAACATCACGAGGTGTTGTATAATACCTAGATAACTGGAGAGCATGATTGACACGTCAAGGCAAGAGCCAAACAAAGCAGGTGAATGAAAAGAAAGAACAAATCTTACAATGCACAATGGAAAGAAAGCTTAACTTGTTTTCTTGCTTTTTTTTATAGAGAACACCAGTTCCCAGCGCCGAAGCATTCCGATGGTTCTTTTAAGCAGTAGTATTATCTTATTTTCAAGGCAGCCTGAAGTGAATGGCAAGCTAAGGTCTTGTTTTAAGAAACTGCTTAGTCCACCACTGAAGAATATATTCAGATAACTATTTTCATTTATGTATAGGGGTTTCCTCAAAAACAAAAACAAATTATGAAGTAGGGTGGTCTCCGGGTAAGAGGGGAAGGGAAAGCCACTTTGAATAACCCATCGGCGATAATGCAGACGTTTCTCCCCACGGAAATGCCTGAACATAAGATAGTACTGTTTGAGCTCCTAACTCATCATGTTCACGTTCACTGTCTTGTGTTTTCATGCTGTTCAGAAAAACCCTCCTTGCAGTCACTTGTCCTTCCCCCTCCACTGCTTCCCACGTTTCCCCAAATGACCCAGTTGCATTTTTAGCAACTGGTTCCAGTTTTAGCTACCGCCATTTGTTTTCCTCTCTAAAGACCCCTACAAATAAGGGAACACGCCATTCCAGAGGACTCTAACCAGCTTGTGAGGGCCACTCTCTTATCAGGAGACCACCACATCTGGGACCCTGGGGGAATTGGCCAGTTGACTCACATTCAGTGCACCAATTCTTTCTTTGATGTAATTTAGCTATACTAGTGAAGTTGTTGTCTATTTTTAAAGTGGCTGTAAAAAAAAAAAAGTTTGGGTAAACCCCTGCTATAAAATAATGTATCTTTACAAAGTACCATATCTATACTTCATTTTCCAATATATGTGTTTCAGTACTGTAAACTGTACAGATAGCAGCTTGTATTTTGTGTGTTTAGACACAAAGAGACAATCACGTCTGAGCGTCTATGGAGCGTAACTGTTTGTACACAACAGTGTGGTTCTGCAAGTTAAATCCGGAGCAATAAATCCAAGTTTTTAAGTATTATTTCTGCCAGTTGTCCAGTAGCACCACTGTTTTTACCATTTATACCTGATGCAAAGTTGTGCAAGACATGTGCAAGATTATTATGCATCCAACAAATACCTTTTGGACCATACTGTTGTATGAAAAGGAAAGACATAAAATGTAAAAGTTAATTGTTTGTGAGCACGATATTAGAGTAGCAAATGCTTAATTGCATTGCTTCAGAAAGAGCTTTACAGAACAGGATCTGTCCAAAGCATGTACATTTAGCAGACCCACTTTGCACTGCACCACAAAATAGAGTTTACAGCATAAGAGGACATACAGAAAGGATTTAACAGAGAGTTATATCAAAGTTGTTTTAGGATACAAAATGAAAAGAGTACCAAACCTTATTTCAGGGTGGGGTGGGGGAGATGGAAATTTGTCATTCAATATATTTACCTTCCCTCTGGAAGTTGTTTTATAGACCTTTCAATAGGATTTTTTTAAAAAAATACCCTTTATAATGTATCTGAAACTATTTTTGCCCTATGTGCAACATTTATTTCTTAGAATAGTTTGTAAGGTTAGATGGCATTGCATCATCTCTGCAGGTCATGAGAGCCTGAATATCTTTATGGTGTTCACAAATATTAGCACTTCTAATGCAATTAAAATTGGGGTGGGAGTGTGTGATTTATACTTTTCTCTGCCTAATTTTGCCCTGCTGGCCCCGCTGGGAGTCAGTGGAATTACTCGGCATGGAATTTTAACTGTACCGACAAACCATTGGCTTTGCCGATTAGGCTCTGGTTAAATCGTTCATAGCAAAATCCCATACATGCCCATTCACAAGTAAGCCCCCCTGAGTTCAATGAGATTGAACAGGTAACTGTGCATAGGATTGCAGTCTTTTTTTATCATGGGGGAAACTCACAGGCTTGAAGAGTATTAGATGTTTTGGACAGCATCAAAGAGTTTTGATTTAAGATGAGCAGAAAAGGCCACCACAATGAATCACTTCCTCTGTCTAGCTTGTTTTCAGCTGCCTTTAAAACCAGGAGGGTTTCTTTTAAAGATTTCTTTTATCATATCAATTTTGTTTAACCCTTGAAAGTAGCATTTGAGGAGTAACACCAGAAGAGTGAATTGGTTCTCTCTCACTACATAGCAAGGACATAGCTCTGGCTCAGGCATAGTGTTGCACCATAGCTTAGCATTACAACAGCAAGCCTAGTTTCCACCCCAGGACTATGAGCTACCTCTGGTGCAACCATGAGGAGTTTGAAAGCTCCCACTTGCATTTTAGTACAATACAACTTGCTTTATCCTTGAAATCCAGACAAATTCAGGTTAATCTTAACTATAGTTAGTGGAAACAAGCCAACTTTAAACCATGGTTTATAAAGATAGGGTGTTTTCACTAACCATTGTTAATCTTTATTGCACAGCATGCTAAACCACATGTTCTGACAGCATGATAAACTGGGCTTGTCTTGGGTAATGTTAAACTATGGTTTAGTGTTATGTCTGACAACACACTTACATATTATTCCCATAATTAGTCTAATTGAAATCAATGGAATTTAAGGGTTTAAAAGGAGCTCTTGAGGCACATTATTTTCTCTTAGATCCATGGGGTTAACCTTTGGAGGACTGTGTGTGCAGTTCCAGGTTCTTTTCACAGCTCAACTTTATACATCTTTGGAACATTTTCTCTATGGCTTTCTACTGGAAAGCTCAAATGAAAGGATACAATCTTGCTATGAAGAGTTGTAGTGTATGAGAAGTGCTTGTGTGAATGTTCCCATGTCCTAGTAGGAGACACCTACCCCTCAGCTGGGCTACACCTTTGAATTAAATAAATAGGTTTGTACCAGGTCCCTGTAAAATGATGTGTTCAAGGGCCCTTCCAGGCAGCTTCAACTGTGGAGACAGGAAGCTTCTAATCCCTAGACTTTGGACCCAAGTGTGTGGTATTTTGACACACAATGATGCCTCTCAGGCTGGTCTAGGTTTTTGCTGTCCAAAATGGCTACTATACATGTCCTAAGAGGTAAGCCCCAGCATTTCCTGCAGCACCACACAAGTACACCTCTTGAACTATAAGTAACTTCCCATGGGAACCTTGTAGGCATCTCAGGGTTGAAGGACCAGTTTGGGCTGGCTTCCCAAGATGCTTCTGAAGATCTCTGCCCTTCCCCGGAGACACTTCCTGCACCTCTGGTTGAATGCCATCCTGGATGAGCCCTTGAAAGTTTCTCTACTTTAAATCTACATAAGTGGGGGAAACCTCAGGTCCAGAGGACCTGTCTCCCGGGACCCTTCCCCATGCCACACCTCTCAGCAGCCCTGTTTCACATCTTCCCTGATGGTTTTTGCCTCACTGAAGTGTATCCTTGAACTCTGATGGCGCCTCTTGTTTACCTGAATGGAGGATAAAGAGGGGCGCGCAAAGGTGTATAAAAACAAGCTTATTGCACAAAGATCACAATTCCATTCATTGCTCTGTTGGCTTTTGCCTCTGGCCCCATCTACCGCAGGGATGTAGCCCTCAGAAGCTTTCCCTGAAGGGAGCATGGGAAGAGAAGAAACCCATATCCTGCTCTAGAGTAAAGAAGTTGTATATGGCCTTTTTTCATTCCGAGAAAAAAAAGCCCCAAACTTTTTATTATTATTAAGAAACAACAGATAATTGATTATCAATACAACAAATGCTTGAAGCCTTACTGACCCAACTGGCTGTTGAGCTTGCCTTGTTTGGAAGATCTTTTGTGATCGCGGTTAAAAGTAGGGACAGAAAAATTCAGTTCAGGCTACGTTAGGTGTACAATGATTCATAGCAATGTACTAACTGTCTTAATACCCTGATGTTGCATGTGTCAATGTGGTTTCATTTCTGGGTTTTTATGTTTTGTTTTGTTTTGTTTTGTTTGATTGATTTCGGAAGAACTGATGAATTTGTATATCGTAATTGTGATGTTTTTTACATGTCAAATCCGAATGGTTAAAAATTCCAAAACTGTCAATTATAATTATTATTATTATTAAAAAGGACATGGATACATTCACTTGGATCCCCGCAATTATTATTTTTATTATTGGAATTTCTTTTAGTCTATGTCTACCAGCCTTATCAAGAATTTTTGTTTCATTGACACACAATTTGTATGATGTGTAGTGCATATATTTAGAGTATTTTAGTTGCAAGTGTTTTGAAGAAGGAAATCTCTTTTCTGACCTCTTAGCCTCTTTTCTCCTGTATATGGTTATCATTTGTAACATTGATTATTGTTAGGGGTTTGAATCTCATTTGTGTTTCCCAAAACCTCCTCAAACGATTTAGGCTGCAATCCTAACCAGTGTGTGTTGATGGGGGTGGGGGAGAACAAAGGTGGTTTGACCACCTCATCCAATATTCTGCTAGGACCTCCTGGCTTGGTGGGTGGTAGTGAAGGCATTGGAAAACTCTGCACATACGTATCTTAATTTTTTTTACACCCCCCCCCCATTTCACCTCCATTGTTTCCAATGGGAGGGGAAAAGGAGGGAGGAGTTTAGACATGCTCAGAAGCATGTCTGAGTTCCCACCTGACTTGTGAGCAGGACAGGGGACCAGGAGGGCTTGGAATCTCCAATACTGGAGCTCTGTCAAAACTCCCTTTCCAAGATCAGAACTCCACTCTAACACCATGGGGTTTGAGCCAATCCAGCCTAAAGCGACTTTGATGCCCTCCAATGGATCATACAATTGCATCCTTAACATATATAATATGGACTTCTAATACTGCTCACACACACACACACACACACACACACACAATTTGGTCCAGTAGTTTCGTACTGAAGTTCTCCCATTTTGGGCAAAAGGATAACTCTCTGTGAACTAGTGGATGCAATTGCAGAGGTCTCTATTTCATTGGAGTGAATAGGGAACCAAAACACGCTGTGCAAAAGGTTCTGTGTGTGCCTCACAAAATACAGGAAGGATTGGGACAATAGACTGCAGTTTTGATGTCTTTTAGAACTGAGTGCTAAGTCTGCCAAACTGAATGCAGTATTTTTATTTTTTACCATACCTCAGATAAGCCTGTTCAGCTGTAAGGTTGCAAGTGAAGCATGCATAGGCGTTATAGGACTTAATAATAGTCAACTCTGTAAGAGAAAGGAAATATTCCCTTTTGTTCAGAACCCCCTGGTATGCAAGTCACACAATTAACACTAAAGAATATGAAGTCTTTAAACGGGCTGTGTCTGTAATCAAATAATGAAAGAGGAAAAATAGAGAGAAAGCAATTAAATGAACATACCATCCAGGGTCGAATACATCCAGCAAAAATCAGTGGTGGGTCTTTGATCATAGTTGGATGCATAGTGATATCAAACGGATGGTTCTCATGTAACAGCTAAATGTTTCAGATTTTGTTTTTATTAAATTTGGCAGTTTCACACTGAGATCTGCTGATTCCTGGCAAATAAAGGACAGCTCAAATGTGAGAAAGTATTCCATTTTCACAATTGCAGGGAGCTAGGATTACTTTTTCCCCCCTCAGAAAAAGAGACCACAAAAATGTACTCCTATCACACTGTTCTCCTATTTCTGAACTGTGCAGTTATCTATTAAATTTTCTAATAGATCTTTGTGTAAAGTGTATGTATGCTTGTGCAATTATGAAAAAAGCAGTTTTTGAAAATGGTGTATTTATTTCAAATCACTTATGGGGCATGTACAAAACTGTATAAACCCATTCAATCTGCCCAGTAAAGTTGTTTTTGTGATATTTCTGTGTTGTTGAATAAAGGAATTTAGTACTCTAAAGATCTCTCTTTTTCCATGAACAGGTTAAATTTGAGGGATCTTAAATAACAAAATGATTATCCTTGGTAACAACCATGCAAAAATAACCAAAAAGAGAGAGAAAAGGTTCAGATTCTTAATTCATACTTACTCCAATAAATGCAATAAGGTTTTGGTACGATATATGTTCAGTGTTTTTTTCTTTATTAGCATTCAACAAAAGTCTCTTGAATTGCTTATCACACGTCACTTCCATTATCAATTATTATTATCATCAATATTAATAGAACCAGTGCTTTTTTCTGGGGGGATGCAGGGGTACACTTACCCCTAAACATTTTGTGAATCTAAGTTTGGCCTCATTGAGGGACAGTATTTCCATTTGAGTAAGAGGAAAATGAGAGTACCCCTAAACATTTTTTAAAGAGAAAAAGCACTGACTAGAACTATTATCCACCTTGCACCAGCAGGCCCCAGGGCAGATTACAATAATTTAAAACCAATTACAGTCACAAGAATAAGGTGGGGCCTGAAAATACACATCTCAGGTGTCAAAGGCCAGGTAAAGAGGTGCATCTTCATCATCCACTGAAAGTTGTATATTGAAGATGCCAGATGCAACACTGTGCCACAACTGAGGAGCTCTCCTAGGTCACCCCCTCGACATCTGTGGGTGGCGGAACTCCCAAAATGGCTCTTCTCTGCTGATCTAAACACCTGAGAAGGTTTGTAGGGAAAGGAGGCAGTCTCTCAGATATCTGCAGTCAAAGTCATGTAGGGCTATAAATGCTAGTATGGGTCACTTGAATTGGGCCCAAAACCAAACTAGCAGACATTTAAGTAGAGGGGTTATAGAAGTTCTAAAGGCAACCCCAGCTGCATTTTGAACCAACTGAAGTTTCAGATTTGTCTTTAAGGGCACACTGCAATAACCCAATCTAGAGGTCAACGGAGCATGGAATACCATGGCTGATCATCTCGGTCCAAAAGGGGGCATAGCTGGCAAACTAGCTGTAGACCTTTTTTAAAATAAAGATCTGATGTAAATCTTTGTATTAAAAAAGGGTTACTGACCCAGAAGCATATACCTAGGGAATATAAAGAGCTTCATACAATTAATTCCAAAATACATATTTCTTGGTTGAAGGAGAGCTGAGACTTCATGGAGTTAACCGCATTAGCGAGGTAGGGGGAGAATTCCACAGTACATCAAGCTGTACAGTATTGTCATTCTGATGAAATCACCATTTTGTTAATCTCTTAAAACATTTCTGGATAGTGAAGCTGTTTCAATACCAGCAGAAGCATTTTAGCTGCATTTTACTGCTTCATAGTACAAAGTCCTGTTCAATAGATGCCTTGTAAACTCCCAAGAGGAAGAAAAAAGAGGTCCCTTTGCCTTGTAAATCCATATTGTGGTTACCAACACCTGGAACGACTTCAAGCAGCTTAAAGTTTTTGGGTTCAATCCAACACTGCGTAAAGTGCACTTAAGCCCAATGATATCAGTCATCTTGAGCGTGCCTCATTTTGTGTCGGATTGCATTTTTATTGTTTTTGACATAAACTTTGAAATCATATTCTACGGAAATACGAGGAAACCATAGTAACTAGACTTACGGCATCAAATGCTAATTGGCTCAGGAAGAAGATAATTTGATTGCTTCCCCGCCCCGTTTTCAACAACTTTTGAACTGAACATGCCAAATTGGATCCAGAGTTGGCTTTCCATGAATAGAAACACTCCTTCCATTCAAGGAGTGGACTGAGATCTGGCAGAGGCTTGCCCCGGAGCAGCAAGGCAAGGTTTATTACATTTATATCCTATCTTTCCTCCGAAGAGCTCAAAATGTCACACACAGTTCTCCTCCTCCCCATTTTATCTGCTCAACAACCCTGTGAGGCAGTTCAGGCTAAGAGACAGTCACAGGCCCAAGGTCACCCAGTGAACTTCATAGCTGAGCGGGGATTTGAATCCTGGTCTCCTGGACTCTAACCACTACACCACACTGGACCTCTGTTTCCCTGCTGCACCACCACCCACATTATATCCCCAGAGCAGATATTCAAGAAGTACAGGGAACTGTCAAAAAAGGGATCCCCACTTCCTTTGGTAATAGTGTCCAGATGAGTGAAGGATTCCACTCTCTGGAATGCTGGATCCAGTTCATTCTTCTTTGCTTTTTTGCTTTCAAATGCCCAACAAAGATGAAGGTGTTTGAAGTCAGGCTATTCAAAGTGGCCCAGATTTTCATCCATGTCTTTACAGTGATGTGCTGTGGTTGACATGACGGTTTCAGTTTAAGAAAATGTAAACAGTCAAGGTGAGTCTTCTTCAAGTTTTCTTCTTATCATTTTTGGTGGTGGGGTGGAGTAATGATAACACCAAATCCAAAAATTACTTTTAAAAATTGCTTCATGGCTATCAGGGGTGGGCAGACGTCTGGCTGGTGGGATCTACTTTGTTTGCCTTCTCTTTTTTTAATAGAACCCCATTATCCACCAACAGGAGCCCACTGCAAAGTAACGACCTTCAAACCACAATAGCGAGTTGGCCATGTAGTCCAATGGGAAGGAAACATGCCATGAACACTTATGGGTTCCCCAGGAAAAGGGATCAAGTCACACTGCATGAGCAATGTTCCCTAACAAATACTCCAAGTGACACAGTTGGATCGCAAGGGGAAGAGGAACAAATGTGCCAGGATTAGTAGAACCCAGACCAGGAAGTTAATGGGACCAGTTCTAGGAGCTTCAATAACATTGAAATCAGGAACATTTTAAATCCTACCACGGGGAGATGTTAAAGTGGCCATCACAGGATGAAACTTAGTTCTTGAGCGCTCTCCTAGTACCAGTGGTTTTTAGGGATCAGAGGAGGAGGAGAGACTAGGGCAGCAATACTGGAATCCACTTTACATTGCAACTCCTCATCCATGAAACACTCATTTCCAAAAGTAAGTTATCACAAAGTATGGGAAGCTCTTGTTCAAGAACCACAAGCCCACAAACCCTCTTAGGTGCACAGAACCAATTGTGCATATCTTTGTCTCCATCCATGTTTTAGAGCACAGCTGGGAAAACTCTGGTTCTCCAGTTGTTGTCATGCCTGACCATTGACCATATTAACTGGGGTTGATGGAAGCTGAGGTCCAACCACACTCTGAGAACCACATGCTCCCTGTCCCAGATTTAATGTGTTTTCATCTCCAATCTGCAGAGAGTCCTTAGCAAGCTTTATGTTATGCCGTCTCCATAACTGTGAGGCAGGTTCCCATTACTCCCAGTTGACAGAATGGGAAATGGGACTGTCATCCAATGAATTGCCCAAGGCCACCCAGTCTGTTGACTCTGCTTCAATTTGAACTTATGCTTCCTGAGTCCAACATGCTATTCATCGAATCATACTGGGCTCTCAGTTTAATCTCATTTTTTTTCTTCACAAAGAAAATATTATTCTTCAGAGCCTCACATAAGGAAAAACTCAGTGGATTCACAGACTCAGCATGGCTGCACAGATAGTCTTATTATAAGAACTGAGCTGCAATGTTGTTTTAACCACTAGCCACTTCCTCTTCTGAAGTATTTCTCCAAGGAACTGCTTGGCAATTATTAATGTCATGATCCTGCAAGGTTCCACATGCTTGCCCAGAGATAGTGATCATCATTAAATTCTCACTTGCAAACTAATCAGGTTCTAATTATATGCATAACTCTTCCTTAAAAGACAATTATTAGTATAATTATTTGGATAAGGAGGAAGGAAGTACCAAAATGAACCCAACTAAGATCTGGCCCCGTGGAGGTCATCCATGGTCTAAAAACTTTGTCATCTAAAGAGACAGGATAAGGAATGTTTGGGAGGGGAAAACAGTGATGAAGTGATTTGCCAGCATGCAATATAAGACATCAGTGGAGACAAAATGGGAATACGGATCTTCTGACTCCTTTGATGATACCTTCTAGAGTTGTTGCTGTTGGCATCTTGTCTGTCTCAGGAGACAATGGAGGGGGTGAAGTCAAGCCGCTGGTGGAACCATTCTAAACTACATCACTACATCAATTGCTGAAGGAACAACAAGGCAAGATGGGGCTCATTTTTCGAAGAGCATGTGTTCAAAGGATTTTCTCTTGCAGTTTGGATGTGCAGATAAGCCCAAACCACAGGAGGATTGTGGACCCTGTAAAGTGGTAACTACAATAACTTTGGGAGAAATTCAACGTAGCGCTAAGCAGATCACTCAATTGGCACAAACATTTCTACTTCCCTGATGCAACGATTGGCTCTCCGGTGCCATTCTGGAAGTTCTCCTGACCATTCGAGTCAATTTGGGGATGAACAGGTTGGGAGAAAGAGTTGGGGGAAGCCCTGGTGCGACTAGCAGAAGCTCTTGCTCAGGCTTCCACTGATGGGGCTCATTAGTTGAATCCCATCCCTTATAACAGCGGTTCTCAACCTGTGGGTCCCCAGATGTTGTTGGACTACAACTCCCATCATCCCTGAGCTCTGGCCTTGCTAGCTAGGGGTGATGGGAGTTGTAGTTCAACAACATCTGGGGACCCACTGGTTGAGAAAGGCTGCCTTATAATAATACCTACTTATTCCTCTCTCTCTCTCTCTTTCTCTCTCACTCTCCTTAACTTACCTGTGGGGATAAAATCAGGCATGCCAACCAGAATGCCTTGGAGAAAGAGTGGCCTACACATTTTTCAAACCAGTCAATATGTAGGCCCATGTGCTTCTCTCCCCCCAGCTGTTGTATTCAGTGGCCAGGTGGAGAAGGCGACAGGGCTCTTGCACCTTTAATAATTGTATAGGAGAGAGAATTTCAGCAGGTGTCATTTGCAGAAGTGACAGCTGCTGAAATCCCCTCTTCTGCACAGCTACTCAAGGTGCAGGAGCCCCATCACCTTTGTCACCCTACGTGTCCATCTGTGTTGTAATGCTTGGCATTTATGTAGCACATTTCTGCAGTTCAAAGTGCCTCCCATATATCATCCCACTAATCCCTGCAACT